CCCTGGCAGGGCAGGGATACTCACAGTGGAAGGGAATGGCTGTCTCGTGGTGCTGAGCCTCCTCTGCCTGCTTCAGGTTCAGCAGCGTGGAGGCAAACAGGGGGTTGTTGATGAAGTGTTTCATGTAGTGCTTCTCACACTCCTCCTTGGATTTGGTGCACATCTGGTTGGCCACGTCCTGCCTGGAGCGGGGAGAGGGGAAAGCTTCGTGTGAACAACGCAGAAATGTTGGTTTTTAAAATTTCTCCAGTGGGAAAAGATAATTTTGGACAAGAGACTGGTTGTGTGCAGAGAACTGGCCTGTGATGGTGCCTGAACCCACATTCTCAGCACCAACACTCACATGGTTGTGCCAGGGAACATTTCTGGGGACCCATGAACAGTGAAATTCACTGTTTTCATATGAGAAACCCTCTGGCTGATGGAATGTACCCCATATTTAACAGGCTTGAAGTTTACTGATGCTATTTGAGAGCTTTTAACACGTTTTACTGACTCCAGGTGATGGCAAACTCTGTAACCAGTTATCAGTCCTGCTTCTGGCAGCAACGTGCACCTAAGAACTCTCAGTTCTGCTTCTGTGAGTTCTGGGGCTCTGCACTCTTAGCACAACTATTTTTGATAAAGGAGAAGACAGATAACTCATGAAAAGAGGATCTGATGCTCCAGCCTTGCACTTTAGCTGCTGAATTAGGGTCTCACCCACAATAAGTCACTGAACAGTCAATGTGCACTGATGAATTCAACAGTGAGATCCAGGGAGAAGAAAGGAAAATCTGCCCATCGTTGCCTGAAATTGGCTGAACCACAGGATTCTCACCAGTTCCCAAATCCACAGTCCATCACAGCTTCCAGGAGAGACATCTCCTCCTGAGCTGTCCAGTTGGGATCCAGGACAGGGAAGTCGGATGTCTGGAGAAGGAAAAAGCAGAACAAACTGTGATCCTGTGTTCCAACCCACCTCAAAAGGGGCAAAGAAGTTCTGAACCACGGGGTGGCACAGGAGATAATTCTGGTAGTTTTTAACTTTCACAAAACCTGATTGAATAATTAATTATTGGATTGCTTAGGGCACTGGGTCATCAACCACAGCAAATGCTGGTCCAAGTTTGTACCAGTTGTACCATGTTGTACCATGAAACACAGTAAAATTACTGAAGATTTTAAGAATTATTAATTTGGAGGAAGAAGAAACAGCCTGGAGGAACAGAAGCAATGTAGCTGGTTAAAGCACTGCAAGTCTAGTGAGGTGCATTGTGCTACCCAGGCACAACAAAAAGATGCAGCTGTAAATGACTCCACTGCTCCATTCTGTTCCAGGTGGATGTTTTTCTTTTTTTAACAGCTTAAAACCTCTGAATCAAAGAATTGCATCACTTAACCTTTCAGTGTAGTATGAGTAAGCAAGGGTCCCTCACTCCTGGGAAGCAGTGAGAGCCAGGACTGAGGAGGTGTTATCCAAAAGGAGTATTTACCATTATCTCATAAGTGTGATCACTTTGATGCTTCTTGTACTCAAATCCTCGGGTGAAACACTGCAGAACAAAAGATCAGAACTGTGTTACCTCTGCCCTGAGAATTTTCACTGGTCCCTTTCTTCACCTCCATTCTCTGCCCACCTGCCCATGGCTCAATCCTGCACTTTCCAACCCCCTTTGTCATTTCCCTGTCCCAGGTGTGCTGGTCCCTGCTGGAGAGAGCAGAGGTGACTGGGACAGCCCTTGCTGGCTCCCTCAGGGCAATGGGAGCTGTGCCCTGCTGTGTTTTCTATTGCCATCTCTATGGCAGCTGTCTTCTGTTAATTGGGCAGTTTTCCTTATTTCTTCCACAAGGATTCCTCCCTCAGGGGAGACATCTGCTGATAATGGGCTACTGAATGTCACTGCATGGCTGGTAAGAGTTCAAACATCCCATTGTGAGATGCTCCACCCAGAGGGAGGAGCTAAGCATTCCTAATTGGATATAATTTGAGTTTCTGGAACACCAGCACAGGTTTTTCTAATGGATTCCCAAGAGGAACAGCTGGGGTTTTCCACTGGAGCTTCAGAGGAACCTTCTACAGGATCACTGCTCCCCCAGAACCACATCTGCCACTCCAGGAGGACTGCAGCCACTCCAATTTGGACTGCCACCAACACGCTGTCCAAAGGGGTATCAGGTTGTGTTCTGACTCAGTCAGTGGTTCTCCTTTTGTGTTATTGCATGGATTTTGTTTCTTTTCCCTTTTCCTCACAACCTGTATTTCTGACGTGGAGTCTCTCGGTGGTTTTGCTTTCAAACCAGAGCACACTCACCTGCAGGCACAGCAGGAAGGGAGGGGGCCCACACTCAGCACACTTCACGTAGGGCTCCGTCAGGTACGAGGAGCAGCCTCGGCACGGGGGCTTATCAAAAGGGTCACCTGGAAAAACCAGAGGAAATCTCCTGTCACACAAGCACAGCACTGCTTTGGCAGCCCCTAAACCCCCCTGTGCCCAGCCCCAGCTGCTGGTGGTTCTTGTGGGCCCAGCTCAGGATGTTCTGTGATTCTGTGGATTTTAAATGAACTCAGTTGTGCAACGAAATTAATACGAATGTCAGGTTATAACGGCTTCAAACTCAAAGAGAGCAGGGTTAGATTGGAGAATTGGAAGAAATCCTTCCCTAGGAGGGTGGTGAGGATGCCCAGAGGAGCTGTGGCTGCCCCTGGAAGTATCCAAGGCCAGGCTGGACAGGGCTTGAAGCAGTGGAAGGTGTCCCTGCCCATGGTAGGGGTGGCACTGGGTGGGCTTTGAGGTTTCTTCCAACCCAAACCAGTCTGGGATTCCATGATTCTGACTTTTTCCGAGAAAATGGGTTTGAATCAGTTCAATTATAAGTAGAGAAAAATAAGGCAAAAGTCACGCCGAATAATTTGTGTGAGCGCTACACCACATTTACTCATTTTTTGGTCCCTTTCAGGGACGGTGACTCCGAAATCCCACTGCTCCAAGGAATCCTTGTGCCGTGCAGGTTTTCCAGGAGCAGATGTGGGAGCTGGATTCTCTGGAGGCACTTACTGCTGAAGGAGGCCAGGCGCTCCATCCCTCCCCCGGCGCTGTCTGTGCTCCCTGCAGAAAACCCGGCCGGGAAAAGCGCCAGGAGCGTCAGCCTTGTCCCACACCGGGTGTCCCAAAGGGAATTCTGCCTCTCCCACAGCCCTCGCGGCTCTGATCCTCCCAGGATGTCCTGAGCAAGCAGAAGGGCTTCGGCAGCCGTCAGAGCCCACTCCACATGGATCAGTCCCTCCTCTGGCTGTGGGGGAAATCCGACAGGAGGTGTGGGGTGGTGGGGATGTAACCCCAAAGTGAGCAGAGTGATGAGCAGCTGCTGTGCAGGGAAGTGCTCTGCACCTCCCAGAGGCACTCCCCATATCCCACTCCCCATCCCAATTCTCAATCCCTCACATCCCAATTCCTATTCTCATTCCCATACCCAGTCCTCACTTGACCATATCCCAATTCCCACTCCCCCATATCCCCATCCCCATTCCCAATCCCATCTCCATCTCCATATCCCCATCCCCGTTCTCATCCCCATATCCCCATCCCCATCTCCAAATCCCCATATTCCCATATCCCCATCCCAATCCCATCCTCATATCCCCATTCCCATCCCCATTCCCAATCCCATCCCCATATCCCCATTCCCATCCCCATATCCCCCTATCCCCATATCCCCATTGCCATATTCCCATTCCCATATCCCCATCCCCATATCCCCCTATCCCCATATCCCCATTGCCATATTCCCATTCCCATATCCCCATCCCCATATCCCCCTATCCCCATTGCCATATTCCCGTTCCCATATCCCCATCCCCATATCCCCCTATCCCCATTGCCATATTCCCGTTCCTATATCCCCATATTCCCGTTCCCATATTCCCACATTCCCGTTCCCATATCCCCATATTCCTGTTCCCATATTCCCACATTCCCGTTCCCATATCCCCATATTCCCGTTCCCATATCCCCATATTCCCGTTCCCACATTCCCATATTCCCGTTCCCATATCCCCATATTCCCGTTCCCATATTCCCATATTCCCATTCCCATATTCCCGTTCCCACATTCCCAATTCCCCCGTCCCGCCCCGCCTGTCCCTCTCCCCATCACCGCCAGGCGGCGCCCCCGCGCGGCCCCGCCCCCTCCGGCCCCGCCGCGGCCCGCGCGCTCCCGGCGCCCCCCGCGCTGCCCGAGCCCCGCTCTGCGCGCTCCCGCCGGCCCGGTGCCGGTGCCGGTGCCGGTGCGGCCCGTGAGGTCGGCGCGGGGAGCCGGGGTGTGTGGGGGGATCCGGGGCTCTCCTCTCACCTCGCTCGGGGCGGCGGGTCGGGCCCGCGCGCGCGCTCCCGGGCCCGCCGTGCGCACGCGCCGGGGCGGGGCGGCGCCCCCTGGCGGAACCGGCGCGATCCGCAGGGGCCGCCCCGCCCCGAGCGGGGCCTGAGGGAGCCGGGAGGGAGCCGGGACCGGGACCGGGGCTAGGAGCGGGGCTGGGCGGGGACCGGGGGTGGCACGGAGGGACCGGGGCTGGGCCGGGACCGGAGCTGGGCGGGGACCGGGACCGAGACCGGGGCTGGGCAGGGCACCGGGGCTGGGCGGGGACCGGGACCGGGGCTGGGCAGGGACCGGGGATCACACAGCGCGACCGGGGCTGGGCGGGGACCGGAACCGGGGCTGGGCAGGGACCGGGTGTGGGTGGGAACCGGGACCGGGGCTGGGCGGGGACCGGGACCGGGGCTGGGCAGGGACCGGGGATCACACAGCGCGACCGGGGCTGGGCGGGGACCGGAACCGGGGCTGGGCAGGGACCGGGTGTGGGTGGGAACCGGGACCGGGGCTGGGCGGGGACCGGGAGCGGGGCTTAGCAGGGACCGGGGGTGGGCAGGGACCGGGGCTGGGGCTGGGCAGGGATCGGGGGTGGCACGGAGGGACCGGGGCTGGGCGGGGACCGGGACCGAGACCGGGGCTGGGGCTGGGCCGGGACCGGGGCTGGGCAGCTCCGTCACTGAGCCCCCCGTTCCTTCCCGGATAGAACAGAGAGAATCCCGGAGCGGTGTGCGTGGGGAGAAACTTCAGGATCATCCAGTGCCACCCCTGCCAGCTTCCACTGCCCTTGGACACTGCCAGGGATGTGCAACCTGTGCCAGGGCCTCCCCACCCTCACAGGGCACAGTTCCTCCCCAATATTCCATCTAACCCTGGCCTCTGGCAGTCTGAAGCCATTCCTCCTTGTCCATCCATGCTCCTTGTCTGAACTATTTACCAACAAGATTAAAAATGCTGGCAGTTATTTCCTTTTTCTTTTGCCCAGGCTGCAAGCGCACGTGCAAAAATATGGGAAAAAAAAATAGGATTTGGGAGAGGCAAATGTGCGGAATGTCAATGAAATATTTATTGCTTCTGCTAACAGGTTTTTCCTGCATCTGGGAATTAGGACTCTGGGTGGTTAATGGAAGGAATCAGCATGTGGGAATCTGGTTCCTGCTGTTCCCAGGAAAGGTGATGCATCTGCAAGGTAAGAATGTTGTCCTAAAGCCTGCAGCTTTCCATGGACTTGAGATATTTCAGTGTTGAGGGTCTTCCTGTTAACGCCTCTGGCATGGGAGTGAAAAAATCATGAGGAGCATTAAAAATCCGTGGAGTCTTACAGGATTTTCAGGCCAAACACGACGTCTCGTGGCTGAGCTGAAGCCACAGCCCCCTGATGGCTCCTGGAGGGAGCAGTGACAGGAAAAATCTTTTTTTCTGCAGTCTGCTCCAGTGGTTTCCAGCTCAGCAGAGCCCTGAAGGTGCCACCATCCCATGGCTGCTCCATGGCACGTGTGAAACGGCTCCAAAGGGTCCCAAAGCTGCACCCCAGGGAGATCCAAGTGCTCACATGCTGCTACTCGGAGGTTTTAGCAGAAATCAGTGGGAGCATTTTCAGGCCTCTCCCTGCACTTGGTGGGATTTCTGGGCGCTGTTGGGTGGAGTTTTTTTGTGGCGTCGGCGTTTTCTGCCTCGGACACACGGTGGCGATGGGAATCGCCTTTTCCTGCAGAGCTTGGGGCTTGCTCGGTAACCACAGGCGGTGTGTGCCCCCGGGAATGGAAAATGAACCATTTCTGTTCAATCCCAAATAACCGCTGACATTTCCCAGAGAATCCAGAACGCTTTCTCATAAGCGCTGATGTTATGTAAATGAAGATGTTTATGTTGAAAACAAGAGCCAATGGAGCCTCGAGGGCTGGTGTTTTGCTTTACAAAGTGATCTGACCTTTCTCTCTGTTCCTTGGCTGCCAGGACACAAGTGGTGCCAGGCTGGCAGTGTCACCGACCCCCTCACCCGGGATGATCTCTCCTGTGTTTGCACTGGGGATGTCATCAGAGCCTGGTCAGGAGAGGTGGAACCAGCACTTGGCATCACGAGAGGTAAAAACATTTTCCCTGTGTGTTTTGGAGTTTATTTACTAAGGCTAAACTTCCTTTTTTTGAGAGAACGCAGTGGCACGAGTTCACAGTGCACATGCTTGGGAGTCACGGAATGAGAGTAAATAACTGTGTCCAGCTTTGGAGAGGGACAAGAAAAGGATGTCAGGTGCATTTACCACCCCTCTCCACAGCAGAATGTGGGCATGATTCAAACATTTAAAAGACAACGGTTGGAAAGTTGTTTGAACCCTGTGAAACAATTAAAACGCAGATTATTCCTGCCCAGACTTGAATCCCAGGATCATTATGTTGGAAAAGACCTCCCAGATCAAGTCCAACCTGGCTTCTCACCCAGCCCAGAGTAGTTTAATTTCATGGAATCTCCTCAGTTGGAAGGGACCCACAAGGGTCAGCCTCACTTTCCTCCAGCTGATCATTCCACCTGCCCCCAGCCTCTCCTCACATGCCTTCCCCTCCAGACCCTTCGCCATCTCCACAGCCCAAAAAAGCTCCTTCCAAATCTGTGCTGGACTTTTGAGGTGAATGTCTTTAACTTGCTCTTTTCCACGTGTTGGTGCCTCTCTTTGCCCTTGAATGGAGGAGGTGCTGCAGGATTTCAGTGTGTGAAGCAATCCCTCCCCCAGCAGTGTTTGGACAGTGTTTGGGGCTGGATGGATGCGCTGGGCTGGGCAGGCAGAGTGCAGGTGCAGGTTTTAGCAGGCCTGGAGCTCTGGGAGCAGCAGCCAGGATGAACTCAGCAGCTGTTGTAACCTCCTGGTTTGGTAAGTTCTGTGTGTGGTTATTATCAGTGGTTTGGGAGCAGCCCCTCAGCAAGCCAAGCACTCCCCCTCACTTCTGCAGGATTTAGCACTGGAGACCATTAACTCACACCCAAAACCTTCTCTTCAGCTCCTTCCTGAAGCACTTACTCAGAGGAGGGTTCTTGTTGTGAAAGACATGTATTTATCTCTACAGATGTAGAAATAAAAGTGTCCATGCCCAAAGTTTCCAGATTTGGTCCAAGTGGATGTGAGAATATGGTCTGTTCCCCCAATAATTTTATTAACTACAAACCCCCAAATTGGCTTTTCTGGGTATTTCTTGCCTGCAGTGGGTGCAGTTTCCTGCAGTCTCACACCTTTTAACCACTGCCTTGGTGGGAATTCTCTGTATTTGGGAACAGTGGATCCCACTTCTGTGCAGATCCTCGGGGTCCCTGCAGGATCAGCCTGTGCACAGCTCACCAGATCCCGCACTTAAACTTGTGTTACCCGTTCCATTGGTACTTCGGCAGCCCTGTAACAGCTCAGAGTTCAAATAAAACACAAAACCGTGAAAACAAGCTAGCGGGGTAGTTCTTTAACCCCTTCCTCCTGTTCAGGTGTGCAGCACGTCCTGCCTGATTTCTCCTGTGCTGCTGCTTGGCCCGCCCATCACAGACACCCATGGGTGCTGGAGAAGTCCCTTCGGGACTGAGTGTCCAGGCTCAGCGGGCACAGCCCCCTCGGAGGGCTTCCCTCCCGGGAGCGATGCTCTCGTCCCGGGGCTCCCGGGATTCCTGCCTGTCCCGGGGGTCGCGGCTGTCCCGGGGGTCCCGGGGGTCGCGGCTGTCCCGGGGGTCCCGGGGGTCCCGGGGCTCCCGGCTGTCCCAGGTGTCCCGGGGGTCGCGGGGGTCCCGGGGGTCCCGGCTGTCCCGGGTGTCCCGGCTGTCCCGGGGGCCCCGGCGGTCCCGGGGGTCGCGGCTGTCCCGGGGGTCCCGGCTGTCCCAGGTGTCCCGGGGGTCGCGGCTGTCCCGGGGGTCCCGGGGGTCCCGGGGGTCGCGGCTGTCCCGGGGGTCCCGGGGGTCCCGGGGGTCCCGGCTGTCCCGGGGGTCCCGGCTGTCCCGGGGGTCGCGGGTTTGGTCCCGGGGGTCCCGGCTGTCCCGGGGGTCCCGGGGGTCCCGGGGGTCCCGGCTGTCCCGGGGGTCGCGGCTGTCCCGGCTGTCCCGGGTGTCCCGGGGGTCCCGGGGGTCCTGGATGTCCCAGGTGTCCCGGGGGTCCCGGCTGTCCCGGGGTTCCCGGCTGTCCCGGCTGTCCCGGCTGTCCCGGCTGTCCCGGGGGTCCCGGGGGTCCCGGCTGTCCCGGGGGTCCCGGGGGTCGCGGGTTCGGTCCCGGGGGTCCCGGGGGTCGCGGGTTCGAGCCCGGGGGTCCCGGGGGTCCCGGCTGTCCCGGGGTTCCCGGGGGTCCCGGCTGTCCCGGGGGTCGCGGGGGTCGCGGGGGTCGCGGGGGTCCCGGCTGTCCCGGGGGTCGCGGGGGTCGCGGGGGTCGCGGGGGTCCCAAGTGTCCCAGGTGTCCCGGGGGTCCCGGGGGTCGCGGGGGTCGCGGGTTCGAGCCCGGGCGCGGCCCCGCCCGGCGCTCAGGCCACGGGCGTCGCCCCACAGGCCCCGCCCCCTCCGCTCCTCCCCATTGGTCACGCCCCCTCGCCGCGGCCCGGGCGGCAGCCAATGGGAGCGGCGGGGAGGCGGGGCGCGCGCGGGGCCCGACCTGAGGTAACCCCGATCACACCACCGGGAGGGGGCGGGGCCGGGGGCGGGGCCCGGGCCGCGGGGCGGGGCCGGGGGCGGGGCCGCGGGGAGCGCCAGGCCGGGGCCCGCGGCGGCTCCGCTGCACCGGCACCGTGAGGTGAGGGCGGGGCCGCGCCCGGCGCGGGCAGCGCGGGCAGCGCGGGGGGCCCGGGCACCGGCGGGCGGCGGGGCGGGCTGAGGCGGGGCCGGCCGTGCCGCGGGAGATGGCCGGGCCATGCCGTGCCGGGCGGGCGGGACCTGGCCGGGCGCCGCGCCGGCGGGAGGTGGCCGGGCCATGCCGTGCCGTGCCGTGCCGTGCTGGCGGGAGATGGCGGCATGCCGAGCCAGGGGCGGGCGGGGGTCTCCCGGGCGGCCCGGTTCCACCCCGGTTCCTCCCGGTACCACGCGCTCCGTCCGGCGCTGAGCCGGTCCCGTCGCTCGCGTGGCCTCGCCGGTTCCCCGGTGGTTCCCCGGTACCTGAACGGGCAGCACGTGGGCGGCCCGGGGCATCCCTCCTCCATCTCATCCCTGCGGGAATTTCGGGGTCCTGGGGAACAGTTTGGGTCTGGTTCTGCCCAGGGGCTGAGAGCAGCCCTGAGATGCTCAAAACCGGCGAAGTTTTAAAAGCAGATTAGCCGGGGAAAACCAAATTGTTGTTCTTGCCCTTCCATTCTCCTAAATATTCTTGAGGAAGTTTAAAATGAGAAGAAGTACTGTGTTAGAAAGTGTCTGAAGCGTGAGTGGAGTCTGTCCCAGTTTAGCAGGGAGGAAATATTCAGCAAACTGTTTAAGTGATGCCAAAATCTCTCACAGACAGTGGGATTCAGACAGTCTCGAGTGTTTCAGCGAACTGGGATAGCTGTAAATACAGGCTCTTCCTTTGGTCTCCAGAGGTTTAGGCTGGATAATGGGAAGCAGTTTTTCCCTGGAGGATGCTGGGCACTGCCCAGGGCACGGCCCCGAGGCTGCCAGAGCTCCAGGAACGTTTGGGCACCACTCCAGGGATGCCCAGCGTGGGATTTTGGGGTGTCTGTGCAGGGCTGGGAGCTGGACTGGATGATCCCTGTGGGTCCCTTCCAGCTCAGGACGTTCCATGATTTTTCATTCTACATCCACAGGTGCAAAGTTCTAGGCAGTTGTTTTTCTCCTGACATCCAGCCTAGCCCTGCCCTGGCACAGCTCCCGCTGTTCCTTCGGGTCACAGGGAGCAGAAATCCCATGGTGAGTGTCCCCTCAGTCTCCTCCAGCTGAACAAACCCTCAGCTGCTCCTCGCGAGGCCCCTGCAGACCCTTCCCCATCCTCGTGTCCCTGCTCGGGGCCCTCTCCATCAGCTTTGGCTCATGCCTGGCCCAGGATCCCAGACCGGCCCAGCAGCGGGCGTGGAGCTCTGAGGAGCCTCTGTGCAGCAGCTCTGGGGGTGTCTGGTTCTGCTTTGGGCCGGGGATGAGGCAATGCCCAATGATTAACCAGGAGGCAGGCTCAGGTGGGGCAGGCTCAGGTGGGGCCGGCACCGGGCCGGGCTCGGTGCTGCTGTGGGGGCGTTAAAACAGCGTGGCCAGGGAGCTGCCGAGGCTGTTCAGAGCTGGGGACCCTCTGTGCAGGAACCTCCCTTCTCTCCCGAGCTGGAACTGCCCCCCCAGCCCTGGTACAGGTGAGCACACTGCTGATTTTTACTCTCTTTTAATTTGCTTTCACCTTTCTTGCGCCGTTGTTTTCCGTGTTTGCCCACGGATTTTTGTCAGAGCACAAATCTATTTTGTCACTTTAAAGTGATTCACGTTGAGCGGCAATGCCACGGCTCTAATCAGGAGACATTTGGATACAACTATTTTTATTAATTTCCTTTTCATGTGCCATATCAATATGGTAGAAGTGTTTCTCTGGTTCTTTGAAAGAGCCCACTGAAATACTGATGTTCTCTTCAGTTGTGGATTTGTTTTCGGAATGGGGCGGTTTAGAAAAAAATAAGAAACTTTAACTTTCACCTGTCATTGCCCAAGTCTCAGTGGGTATATTTTTATGGTATTAAAAGCAATTTTAAAGTGAAGCTGTTATAAAACTTCCAAAGTCTGGTATTCTCACCAGTGCATTTCACAGTCAAGCCAAAGATGTGACTAATGGTAGCAGCAGAGCTGGGGTGGAGTGAAGTGGGGTTTGTTTTGCCTCGGACACGGCACTTTCTGGGGTTGGGTTGCAGAGTTTTGGACACGATTTGGGTGTTAAATGGGAGGAGGGAGCACAGCAAAGCTCAGTCTGGGTAGATCCAGCTGTGCCCAGAAGTGTTCCTGCATCCTCGGTGCTGTTACCTGGCCTTACATCACCACAGGGCTGAGCTCTCAGCCTTCATCCTTACACCAGCTGCGGGTTTTTCTCAGTCTCTGCAGAAGTTACCCGTTGGACAGGCTGCTGGCACCTGCAGAAGGGAGAGCAGAGGCTGTGCACAGCTGGATCATTTCGGGTTGTCGGGTCTAGTTGGGCATTATTGAAATAAACACTACATGTGCTCGTGGCACTCAAACTTACCTTGGTGCTCAGCTGGATTCGAGGTGCTTGTGTAAAAATCACACTGTGGCAGTTGCACTTCAGAGAGCCAATACAATATGCAGAAGTGCATAAATATATTCCTTTATTTATATGTTTAGCACAGCCCTTTATTTGTATGTATGCAACATACATCTATGTTTGTAAATATACTTCTATATGTGTATAGTAATACAAGTATATTTATAAAACTTACCTATATGTATATATAATATAAGTGTATTTTTGTCTATGTAATAGACCTCTATATTTATACAGAATTCACGTCTATAGTTGTATATATATAACATGTATCTTTATATTTCTGTGTGTGCAATATACCAGTGTACACAGCCTTGTGTATTTCACTCACAGCACTGAAATCCAGAGCCCTCAGTGAGGAGATCTCTGAGAAAGTCCCTGTGTAATTTAGCCCCAGACAATGCTGAAATTAATTTAAATATGAACGAGGACTCTCGGTGTGCTGAGAACAAGCCAAGCTTATCACTGCAGCACAACGCTGATTGCACAACCCCAGCGGAACTCCTGCCTGTGGGACTGGCTCCCAGGGTTGGGAAGTGCCTTGGGAAATGGACCTGAGTGGGGTTTCATGGGTAACAACTGGGTTTTTTGGGAGCTGAATTGGACAAACAGCGTGTTGGAGTGAAGTTGTGTGAGCGTGGCTGTGCCTGGCCTCTAGTGGATTGTTTCTCATGGAATATTTGAGTGAAATACCTCCCTTCCTGTTCCTCAGCTTCCAAAAAAAAAAAAAAAATCCTTGAAACTTGCTTATTAATATATTAGTTATTGAAATCAGAAAAAGTTTTCTTCAATGAAGTGAGGTTGAAGTTAGTTTGGCTGCATCCCAACCTCTTTGGCACTGGTGATTGTGCCAACAATAAATCTATCTGGATGAAAAACTTTAGGAGAGATCTGGTGCCAGGATAAATATCCATGTAAATACTGTCTGCATCTTTGTGTGCAACAAACAGAATTGGATTTGTGCTGTCTGAGCACCTCAGCTAAAGGAATCTCCCTGCATAGTTTAGCTTGCACATCACAGGTGGACAGGGAAACTTTCTGGTCATGCTTCCCCTTCTTCTCATCTCTACCCTCAAAAAATATATATTTTTTTATGCTTTTAATGTCCATGTCAGACAGATATTTGTGGCTTTTCAGTTGTAAAATGGTTAATGATGCCTCTGTCAAGTGAAGTGCCCGTGGCCACAGGGCAACGGGAGTTTGTGGGAGGAGTGATGTCAACATGGGATTTGATCTAAATAATACAGTCAGGTACATCCATGGCAAAAGTGCATGAGCCAGTTGGATGAGTTGTTGCTCCCCAGTCCCTGAAGGAAAGCAGGAGGTGGTTTTTGGGACTGCTCTGGCTATAAATGTTTCCTGGGCCCTCGCTGGGGCTGTCCATTTGTGTGACACCGCGGGCCAGGCTGAGCGCTGAGCGTTCCCGTCCAGCTGATCATGCTGCATCCCCGGGCTCCTAACGGGGCTGGAATTAGCAGGCCTGATGAATTATCCACTCCTGGGGGTTCAGCTGGCGTCGGGCAGCAGTGCAGAAGGCAGCTGAAAAGGTTTGTGAGTAGATAGTTGCTCCTGGCAGGTGGGATGGGCAGGTCTCTCGGACGATTCCAGAAGGTCGGACCCGCAGGAGGTGCCACGGCTGGACTTGGGCACTGCAGGTTGAGCTCCTGGGTTAATCTGTACCTGGAGCAAGCAAGCCAGCGTGTGGTGTGCCTGTGGCTTTTTCAAGATGGTTTTGATGGTGTAAACAGGAAAACACACGTGGAACATGCTGCATTATAACCCTAATCTTTACTTCCTAATTCTTTTCTTTTCCAGTTCGTTTTGGAAGTGGCTCAGTGCTCAGATTGCACGGATATCAGGAGGTTAGTGCATCCCTCATTTCCTAGTGATGTGTTTCCAGCTGGGTGTAGTTGTCATGTAAGTGCAGCAAAGTCAGAGCAGAGGGTATCCAATGTTTATTCCCCTTCCCACCTTTGTGCTGTGGGCTGTTCCTTTGTTTTCCACATCTCTCATGGCTCGCTCTCCGTTCAAATTATTTTTTTGACTTTTAAGAAAATGCTTTCATTCCCTGCTGGAATACTGGAAGAGACCCATGCCTTTAAGTGTCCAAGGCCAGGAGCAGCCTGGACCAGTGGAAGGTGTCCCTGCCTGTAGTAGGGGATGGGATGAGATGAGATTTAAGGTCCCTTTCAACCCAGACCAGCCAGGGATTCTCTGATCCTGTGAATTTCGATACTCGCAGTCCCCTGCCTTTGTCTGTAGGTTTTGGGTCTGTGTGGGGTTATTTTGGTGGATTTTTTTTTTTGCTGTGGGTGACTCCTGCAGCTTTATGTGAGGTGGGAGGCTCTGCAGCTTGTGAATCGTGCGAGCAGGGAATTCAGCGCTTAGAGCAGAACTGTTCTTGATCCCAGACTCAGGGTTCAGCTCCCACCATTTAACCCTGCATTTCCCACCAGGGAGCCTTGCTTTGCCCTCCAGGCACAGGTATTCACCTCGGGTTTGGTTTTATCCTTCCTTTTGCAGTGTTGAGAGCCCAGTTTGGGGGAGCCATGGAGGAATCTTCCGGAGCCAGCAAAGGCGCGGACGCTCCCTCGCGCTTCATCATCGGCTCCGTGTCCGAGGACAACTCGGAGGATGAGACCAGCTCCTTGGTGAAGCTGGATCTGCTGGAGGAGAAGGAGAGGTCTTTGTCCCCTGCGTCCGTCTGCTCCGATTCCCTCTCGGACCTGGGGCTTCCCAGTGCTCAGGAAGGCCCGGCCAGCCATATGAGGTATGGAGAAATAGTTAAATAGAAGTTCTTCCTTAAATAAAATAGTTTAAAAAAGTCTTTTTATCCTGTCACTTCCAATGATAATCCAAAGGTTCGGCTTTATACCCGTGTTTGGCTTCAAGTGTTTTGGTTGTGCCAAGACACGCTGTGGCATTCTGTTTCTAAATAACTTCTTGTGTGTTTGTCTGTATCAAACCCTTCAGTTTTCCTTTGTTTTTAGTGAAATATTTGTGCCTAAATTCCTTAAGCACCTTGCCTGTCTTGTCCTGGCTTTCAGAAAATGGAAGTGTCTTCACTGAGCTATTTCAAGTTTTCACCTGTGTGTGGTTTTTCTGGGCCCTGTTTGTTGAGAGCAAGAACAATATTTGCTTATTTTGTCCTTGCATGGGATTTGCTGCTTTCAGTGTAGCCAGAGAATTGGCAGTGGGTTGGATCAGTGGCTCCATACTGGAACTTTTCTGGTTTGGATAGGGAAAATGGTGATGCTTGTAGTAAAGACTGGAGTCCTGCAATGTGGTGATAAATCAAGATTTAACGAGGCTGCTGCTGCCTGAGCTCAGGCTTGGTCTCAGGGCTGCCCCACTCCTGATTCTCTGTGGATGAGCCATCAGCTGGGCTTTTGGGGTCATGGTGATGGTGTTTCCTCATCCAAAGGCCCCTTTATTTTTAGGTGCTGCTGATTTGCATTCCAGTAGTGGGATGTGCCTGTTGGGTTTGCCCTGTTGTCCTCTGGACACTTCTCATGTACAGATCAGGTTCTGGGTGCCTGGTCAGTCTGGCTTCACTCTCCCATGTGTCCTTCATTTGTTTGCCATGTTCTGGAGGTCTGCCCTTTCTGCCTGTGCCTTCCCATTCCAGGAGCACCCAGGACAGTGTGGATCCCACTCCAGTTTTTCCTGGACAATCCCTCACTGCCTTTGCTTTGTTGCTTTTGAAGGAATGCTGGATTCCAGACAGGTTTCCTGACCAGTGGTAGATATTTACCCAACCAGCTAATCCTTGTTCTTGTGTTTTACTAGTTTCTCTGCTTGTGCAGGCTAAGGAATTGTAATCTCTCCTTTTTTTGGTGTTTCCCTTCCCACTTCAGGAAGGGAACACACAGCCTCAAAGTCCCAGGTTGGGATGGAAGGGGGACATTGCTCTGTGCTTGACAGAGCTGTTGTGGTCAGGCTGCTGGGCATGTTCAGCCAGCTGGCACTTGCACAAATGATGCAAAACCTTAAAGCAAATTTACAGAGGGTTGCCTTTCCAGAGCCTGCCAGTTGCAATGATTTGGCAGCACAAAAGGTGATTTTGAAGCAGGAAACTGTAACTATATATTCTATAGGAACAGAAGAAGTTGGATGAGCACCTAACCACAAGTGTGTAAATGGACAATATCAGAGCAAGAAGCTTGTAGGACAGTGTCTGGCACCAGAGTGCAGTGGGTGTGCAACCTTGGGCACCTCTGTTGTAACCTGCTTACTTTGGCAGTCCCTTTGGGGAGCACTTGACTTTTAAGTTAAATTGGAGAGAAATGCCAATTCAAATAAAAAAGTTACAGCATTATGTGCTGTTTTCCTAAGATAAACTCAGATGAGTTGAAATACTTTTCCAGGATGGTTGTCCCTTTCATCAGGAGATTTCTAAATCATGTTTACAGATGGAGAAACTGAGACAAAGACAACAGCAAAGACAAGTTCAACAACTTGCCTGGAGTCACTCTGTGACAGTCAATGGAACAGAGGTGCTCTTGCTTCCAGCTTCCTTTTGGTGCTCACAAAGGTACCACACTTTGTAAAGTGGTGCAGGGGAATTCACAGGCAGCTCTGTGCACTTTGACACAAGGTGCAGCTCCAAGGGTGCATATCTTTTGGAAGAAGTTGCCAAAAACCTTTCCATTTGCTGGTGATTTCCCCACAGGGTTGTAAACAGAGGTGGCTCGTGTTTGGGGTGAGGGGCTTTGCTGCAGAGCAGTCCTCAGGGAACAATTAGGATTAAAATGCAGGATTTACTCAGCTGCCAGAGGGTTTGTGAGGGCAGGTTGGCGTGACCTTACTGATCTTGTGAAGTGTTTATGATGTTGCTAAAGACACTCTTGCTGGGACAGGTTGTGCACTCCGGCTCCCCTGCCCCTGGAGGTCCACGGGGAGCTTCAGCTGTGCCAGCTGGCCGCTGCTCTGGGGGGTTAAAAATTAACTTTAAATTGCTGTGTGGATCATCAGTGCCCAAAATTTGGCGTGTGGGGGACAGTAACCACGCAGAGTGAGTGTTCAGAATGTTGCATTTCGCACCTTTCAATAATAAACCCAAGCCTGCCAATTTCTCCTTTTTTCTGCCTGTCTTGTCTCTGAGTTCAGAAGTTTCCATCAGCGCTTCCAACCAGTCCTGCTGGGATACAGTTTTCCTTGAAGCGGGCTGTTACAGAGTTGCTGTGCTCCTTTCTGAAGTTTTAGTGGCAGATTAAGTAAACTCCACCATAAATGCTGCTTGGAAAGTATTTTGTGCCCGTCTGTTTTGTTTAATAAATTGTTGTTGATTATTGCTAAATTTAATTTCTAGTTTCCGAGACGGTATCTTGTATCAAATTCTTGTTTAAAATAGATCAAAACCTGGATGTCTTCTGGTATTTGTACATCAGGGCTCTGGTTTCATAAGCGGTGACATGGGTGCACAGAGTCACCTGACAATCCACTTGTATCAGCTGAAAGCCAAATTTTTGGATGGAGTTCAGCTGTTACCTCATATGAAGCCCACAGAGTTTAGCTCCTTGCTCCTAACACTGGCTGGACTTCTCAGTGTCTCAGTAAATGGGGATGCTTAAGCAGAACTAATCATCTGCTAAAGGAAATTTGGGCAAATGCCTCAATTTTAGCCTGGACAGCAGTGGTTGAGCATGCCCAGCCTGGCACTGGGACAAGGTGCCTGCTTAGAAACCAGCCCTGGAGTGACTGCACAGAGCCCTGGATGTAATGAAAGATCCTTTTGAGCCTCTTCTGAATCGAAAAAAATTCCCTTGCAGCCCAGCAGGTTGTGGCTGGGAGGTTGCACTGTGGAGCATTGATGCTGTGGAGCTGTTGGTGCTGCTGTGGTTTGCACAAATGTGCTGTGGGGTCTGTGGGGCTGCTCCACACGGGATTTCTCCTCTGCTGCATGGAGACCTTGCTGATCCAGGCTGTCTGCAGGGTCCTGATCCCCCTCTGGCTCTGCCTGTGCTGCCAGGTGGTGCTGGAGGTTCTGTGTGGGGCGATTTGTGAGGATGAACACCTTCCTCTAGCCCAACCTGGCCGTGGATGCTTCGAGGGATGGGGCTCAACTTCTCTGAGCAGCCTGTGCCAAACCCTCAGCACCCTGACAGGGAAGAATTTCTGCCTAATTTCTGATCTAAACCTGCCCTCCTTCAGCTTAAGGCCATGAACTTCATCTACCTGGAGTGAAAAGTTGACTTCCTCCCCTCTGTTGAAAGAAAAGGAGGTGCTTTGGACTGCTGGCTGTGCCTGGCTGTGCTGATAACGGGGGAATGACAGCTCCTTCCTTCCCTGGAAGCTGCTCTGCTCCCTGAGCAAACACACTGTATGGCTCTGCTTGCCTCTCACAGGTTGTACTCTTATTTTGGTGTTATTTTACTTCCTTTAGCCTCAGTTAACAGAGGAAATGTCCTCTCTAAGTTCAGTCATTTTTTGGGAGGCTCTGCAGGGATTCCCTGGCTGAGGCACCCAGCGTGACAGCGTCTCCCACGTGCTCACTTACCTGATCCTTCTAACTGACAGATAACCAATCTCTTACTCTGGTAAATTTAATGTGAGGCTCCCCCACTAGCCCTGAGTGGTGTGAAAGGTCCATTCTGGTGTTCCTGCAGATCAGATCTGTCCAACACCTGAACTTTGCCAAAGAGCACGGCGAGGGCTCCCTGCCAGGGGCTCCAATTCCGCTCCACAACTCTTGTGCTGCTGCTGTTGTTGGTGTTGTTGTTCATTTTATCTTGCTGCCAGGGCTTAACCTGGAGGGCAGCTTGCTGCTCCAGGAACGTGTGGAGTTTTATCCTTCTTGAGGATGAAAAAGTAAAGTTCTTTTGGTACTTTGTAGGTTTAGGAACTGGAGCATGGATATTAATTTGATTTAAACTTGGCTGTTTATTTGGATTGATGTTTGGATTCAGTGGGTATTTTGAGTGTCAGGGTGTTGCTTTTGGACTTGCAAGGAAGCTCAGTGGTTTGGGCTGTGTGTCCTGGGAACTGTCCCCTTCCCAATGCAGCTGGCACGGCAGGTAAACAGCCAGGTGTGTGGATAGCAAAAGGAGCTTCTGGCAAATGTTGGAACTTGGTTATTTGGGAGGAATCCTGGCAGCTTGTACCCATTTGGGCTCTGTAAAAATTCCAGCTTTAGGCTAAAGACCTGCCTGGACTGATGCTGGAATTCTGTGTTAGCATGGAAGGGAAGTTATTTGCCAGGCAGAGCAGAGAGGGCAGGTTTTATTCTGTGCTGCATCCTTTATTTAATTCCTTAAAATCCTGAGGCTCGGTTCACTGTCAGAGCTGAGTCAAGTTTCATTTGTTTTGACCTCTGGGTGAAGCCCTGGTTTTGGCAGTGTCTGTGTTGAAGCCAGTTCTGGCTCTTTAAACACAGGCAGAACTGCCTTAGACAGGGTGCAGATTGCTGCCTCCTGGTGCCTGAGGCACGGGGAACCATTTATTCCAGCTGTGGAATTCTGCACCCCTTGCTGGACAGCATTTCTGCTTGTTCCTCCCCTCTGCCTTCCTGTGAGATCAGCTGCAAGGGCAGAGCTAAAACTGGAGCAGATTTAGGGAGGCTTCAGCTGCCTGAGCCTTGTCACCCGGGTGGAATTGTATTTACAAAGCTCAGAGCCCAAAAGGATGGGGAGAGCTGCCTTTTCCACACCCTTCCCAGGCCTGATGCAGAGGGAGACAATGCCCAGTCCTTTCTCTGGGGAGTGGGAGTGCTGCAGGCTGCTGCAGGCTGCCTTCCTCCCGGGCCAGCATCCCTGCCCCAGCAGCACCTCCTGCAGCCCTGGCATGTGGCAGTGCTGGCATCACCTCCTGCCTGGGATGTGCCTCAGGTACGTGGCCCTCAGGAATGGCTTTTCCTTGGAAAAACAGCAGAGGAGCAGGCACAGCCTCTCCCTTTGTGTGCCAGCACCGCTGGCACACAAAGGGAGAGGCTGTGCCTGCTCCTCTGCTGTTTTTCCACCACCTTCTGAGGGGTGGAGGGCTTTGGGGAGCCCTGCCTGCAGGAAATGAGCTCTGTGGGGTGTGTGTGTGTGGGGTGGGCAGCCCTGCATCCCTGACACATCCTTGTGTGGCTTCTTTTTCGTGGGGATGCTGCAGCAAGCCGTGGCCATTGATTTCTCAGCAGCGAATTCAGCTGGCAGAATGTTTTTAACCAATGCTGAAGCTGCTCCTCTGGGTGTGCTCCTCCAGCAGCAAATCGTGGCCATTGCTCTGCCAGCAGTGGGTTCAGCTGGTGGAGGGCACAGGGAATGGTTCTGACAGTGCCACATTAAGCTGTGTGTGGATTTGTTTCCTTGCAGCCACAATGTTTGGACCGGGGGCTGCGGGTGGGGGTTTTGGGAATGAATTAAACGGGGAATTTGTGGGGTACCTGGTGATGATTAGGCAGTTTGAGATGCTTTTCCAAGAGGAATAAAGGCAGGCAAGTGAGAGGCGTTGAGTTGTGGGGTGGGACACCGTGTTGGGGTGTCCCTGTTGGTTAAACTCTGTTCTCTCTCAGCTCCCTTGGCTCTGGTGAGGTTTGTGTGCAGAGTGAGGCTGCCCTCACCCCACAGTGTGTCACTGTCCCTGTTCCCTGCGTCCCTGGGTGAGCCTGGGACTGGCAGCATGTGGCACTGCTGCTGCCCCTCACCCTGGCACCCTGTCACCTGTGCTGGCCTCAGCCCCTGTCACCTGCTTAACATGGCACTTCTCCCCTGGCTGTTGTTCCTTTCCTGAGTGTTCCCCTCCTGACTGCCTGCATTTTGGGATTCTGTGCCCCAAATCAAAGCTGTGCTGGCTATGGCCCTTCACCAGGACAGACCCAAATATCCCCACATTTAAAAATTTCTGGCTGCTGTGCCTAGTTCAGTCCAGGTTTGCAGTCACTGCCCTTTCTTATCCTGCCTCTACCCCCAGATTTGCAATTTAGTCTCTGTGTGTGCAGGGCCAGGAGTTGGACTTTGCTGATCCCCCGGTGTGGGGCGCAGCATCCCCCTGGTGCGGGGCGCAGCGTCCCCCTGGTGTGGGGCGCAGCGTCCCCCTGGTGTGGGGCGCAGCATCCCCCCGGTGTGGGGCGCAGCATCCCCCTGGTGCGGGGCGCAGCGTCCCCCCGGTGTGGGGCGCAGCATCCCCCCGGTGTGGGGCGCAGCATCCCCCCGGTGTGGGGCTCAGCATCCCCCTTTGTGGGGCTCAGCATCGCCCCGGTGTGGGGCTCAGCATCCCCGCGGTGTGGGGCGCTGCATCCCCGCGGTGTGGGGCGCAGCATCCCCCTGGTGTGGGGCGCAGCATCCCCCTGGTGTGGGGCGCAGCGTCCCCCCGGTGTGGGGCGCAGCGTCCCCCCGGTGTGGGGCGCAGCGTCCCCCCGGTGTGGGGCGCAGCATCCCCCCGGTGTGGGGCGCAGCATCCCCCCGGTGTGGGGCTCAGCATCCCCCTGGTGTGGGGCGCAGCGTCCCCCAGTGTGGGGCTCAGCATTGCCCCGGTGTGGGGCGCTGTATCCCCCTGGTGTGGGGTTCAGCATCCCCCCGGTGGGTGCTGCATCCCGGTGGGTGCTGCATCCCGGTGGGTGCTGCATCCCGGTGGGTGCTGCATCCCGGTGGGTGCTGCTGGAGGACATGGGGGGCTGTGCTGCCCGTTCCCAGCTCGGCCCGTGGCTCGGAGCAGCCGCGCTGGGGCTCCTTACATAACCTGTGGCTGCTGCTGTCCCCTGGCTGATCAGCTGCTCCGGTGACGACAGGGAGGCCGGTCCCCTCTGCTGCGTCACCAGCGGGGTGGCACTGCCCTGGGGGAGCCGGCGACAAAGGTGATGGGATTTGGAGCGGTCGGGGATGTGCCCTGCTTGGAGGAGAAGCTGCCGGCAGCATCTCCTTGAGCTGCAGGGCTGGCAGAACTGAGAGCTGCAGAGGGGAGCCCGAAATCCAGGCACTCCCGAAATCCAGGCACTCCCGAAATCCAGGCACTCCCGAAATCCAGGCACTCCCGAAATCCAGGCACTCCCGAAATCCAGGCACTCCCGAAATCCAGGCACTCCCGAAATCCAGGCACTCCCGAAATCCAGGCACTCCCGAAATCCAGGCATTCCCGCCCTCCCAGCATGGAGGATTCTGCAGAGCAGAGTCAGGAGATGAGGTACCACATGCTGCAGAGGTAAGGATGGCAGCCCTGCCTGTCTCCCCCTGCCTGGAGATGCTCTCGGAGCTTGTGGTGTTGATTTTATCCTCCCGGGCTCTCTCTCCGTGCATGCTGTGACAAAGATGCTGTGGTGCAGCTCAGCTGGGGGATCAGGGTTCCTCAAGTCGGAGGTTCTGCACAACTTCTGCCCTCTGTGAGCCCTGAAGGGTAGAAAAGCATTTTGAATTCTCCCCCATCACAAAACAGGGCAGTTGTCAGCAGGTGATAAATAGGGGTGGCAGTCACTAACTCAGCATTTATTCTTCGTGCTTTCTTCCTTCCTGTCCAGCTTCTACCTCATATTACCCTGCAAAAAAAACCCAAAACAAACAACTCTTTGTTTTGATTGCGTTGTGCAGCCTGTGATTATTGATAAATAAACTTGATGTTCTTGGCATGCTCACAAGTCAAACTGTAGTTGTTTATGTCCAAGTGTTTGTTGCATTCTGGATGATGAACCTCAGGCTCTATTGATGTTTTGCCTATAGCAGTATCTTTGTGTGTAGTAATTTCTTGGTGGGACAGTTCCTATTTAAATGTGTTCACAAATTCTCACCTTGGCATTTTTATCACTTCTTGTTTTTGTTGAGACTGCTCTCATTAAACCTGTACTGCAGAAACCTCTCTGACTCCTTGGACTGTGCTCTTTCCTTGCCAGGAAGCCTCTGAATCCCTATGTACACAGAGTTAGTAGAAATTCAACCTTAACTCCATTTAACTACACCTTTGCTCTCTTTCTTGCCTGTTGGCTCCTGTCCTTGTATTCCCAGCTGAGTTCACAGGGGTGTGAGAACTTTTAGGGACAGTTCTAAGTTTGGTGACAATGTCTGGAAGTGCAGCTGAGAGGAAGAAGGGAAAGTAGAAAGGGATGAACCTGTGCACACAGAGTTGTTCTTTGCCTTTCTCTGGCTGTCAGCTCTTCTCTGAGATAAGATACTCTCCTGGATGGAGAGTACAGCCATCCCTGTGTCCCAGAGTGCCACTGGGAGGGACAGCAGTGGTCTGTGGTGTCACTGTGCTCCTGGTGAAGCGCTGAGGAGGGTCTGTGTCCCTTGTGGGGGAATCTCCATGGCCATAAGGTGTTTCTGAGGGAATGTCAGGGGGAATCCCTGTGTCCCTGGCTGTGGCCAGGCCCCTGGAACAGCAGCTCATTCCAGCAGGGATGCTCCAGCCCTGCCCTGGGGCAGGAAACCTCCAGGAGCAGCTCTGGGGCTCCCTGGCCTTGGTGGCTGTGATGGCAAAAGGAAATCTGTGCCTTGGCTTCTCCTGGTGTTGGTTTGCCCTTGGTGCCCTCCCCCAGCAGCTCTCTCTGCATCCCAGGCCATTCCCAATGGAATTGCTCAATGGAGCAGCCCTTCAGCAGCTGATTAGGGCAGAGGTTCCATCCAGGGGAGCTCCTGGGCACGGATCTGCCAGTGACCAGCACCGACCCCTTCCCCTTGGTGCTCTTGGGGCTTTCCAAAGCTCTGGGCTGAGCTTCCCAATCTTCCTTCCTGCAGAAGGGGGTCTGTGGTGCTGCCACTGGCAGGGGAAGGCTTCCCTGTGCTCCTGGGGAGGGAAACTCTTAGGCAAAGCACAGTAACTGGAGTAAAAACAAGTGAACTGTGGGCTGAGCAGAGAGGGGAAGCTTCAGTGCCTGTGCAATAAAAAGTGTCTCATTAATTCCCTAATTTCCAGTGGTGCTGCACCATGGCAGGCACTGGGTGTGAGGAGCAGCTCCGTGCTTTCCCCTGGAATTTCCTCTCACAGGCTCAGCTTTGTAAACTCTGGCAAATCAAAGCCAAAGGGTGATTTATCCCAGTGCTGTTGCTGTGGAAGCTGAAGCAGAGGGAGGGAAGTGGCTGTGCCGTTCCCACACACAAGAGCTGGGGCAGGGCATGGGGTTGGTCTTGGCAGGCACAAAATTGGCTTTCTGTGTTTGTAGTAGGAGTAATGTGATTAATTTGTCCTCTGGCTCTCAGAGCTTTTGAGGAAGATATTAAAGACTGGATGGTGGAGAGCTCTTGGAGGATGATTTCCATAGCCAGTGTGAGTCTCTCATTTGCACCTGGAGATAAATTTGCTGTGCTTCCCAAGAGGATTTCCTCACAGAACCTGATCTTGGCAGCTTGCTTTGCCAAAGCCAGAAATCACTGTTGTTTCCAGCTTCTCTAGATGGTTTGAAAGCAATCTGGTGGAGCACTGTTCTGTGCTGGGCAGCAACACACAGCAGATGTCATTTTACCTCTTTATGTTCTGGCATAGCTGGAATTTTTCCAGATAACCTGAAACCTTTGGAAATAACTGAAAAGTCGTTTAAAAGGAGTCATCCCTGTAAAACTGAGCACCAGGCCATGAGGGTCTGGAGGCAAGGAGAGATTCTGCTTGTCTGACTGGGGAGTGTGGTCCGAGAGAACTTTCCCAGTATTCACACACTTCCTTTTGCTGGTGTCCAGCTGCCCTGACAGTGTTTTTCTGTCTCCCCCATCTCCTCAGGCCCAGCATGTCGGGTTTGCACCTTGTCAAGCAAGGCCGGGACAGGAAGAAGGTGGATGTGCAGCGAGATTTCACCGTGGCCTCTCCAGCAGAGTTTGTTACTCGTTTTGGAGGCAATAAAGTTATTGAAAAGGTAACTCCCTGACCTGTTTTAGCATATTACAGCTCCTCTCTACACCTCTGACTTGTCTCTCTCTAAGGCTGTACGGTGCAGGTACCAAATTACTAATATTTCTGAGCTTGGAAGTTGTGCTTCTGCCTGGAATCATTGTGTTTCCTTTTTTCTGTGTGATAAACAAACATCTGATTATTTCAGCTTAAAGTAATAAGAAAAAAAGATGTGAGTGAGCCAGAGCACTTCTGCTGATACAGGAGGATTTATAGACAGAAAAAGCAAAAATAAGCTGGAAAAACACTAAGAAGTGTATTTAAAAATGCTTAATGATTTGATTTGCGTCCTTCTGCTCTTTAATCCAACCAAGGCATAACACATTAAAATTTTATGGTGAAACAAGAGCTGCTCTCTGAACTGACAGATGGGTCACGAGCTGGATGCTGGCTAAAAAAACTGCACAGCCCAAAACTGGGCAAAGAATCTGCAGAGGGGGAAAAAAAAAAATATTCTTTCACAATTGTTAATTGTTTTGTGCTATTTAGACTCTTATTTCATCCCAGCTTCTAATGCACCCAGGTCCTGATAGCAAATAATGGCATTGCAGCAGTGAAGTGCATGAGGTCCATCCGGCGCTGGTCCTACGAGATGTTCAGGAACGAGAGGGCCATCAGGTTCGTGGTCATGGTCACCCCTGAGGACCTGAAAGCCAACGCAGGTGAGCTGGGCAGCTGGGGAGGGGTCACAGCCTCCTGCTTGCACAGCCCCAGGCTGCAGGGAGGGGAATGTCCTCCTGTGCTCTGGGGGCAGCTGAGGGAGCTGGGGGGGCTCAGCCTGGGGCAAAGGAGGATTTTAGAGCAAGTCCTGCTGTTAGATTTGCAGCCCAAATGGGACCTCTGTGTTTGCAGAGTACATTAAAATGGCAGATCACTACGTGCCCGTCCCGGGAGGACCCAACAACAACAACTATGCAAACGTGGAGCTCATCCTGGACATCGCCAAGAGGATCCCAGTGCAGGTGAGAAGTTGTTGGAATCTGAGATATTGATGATTCCCAGATTGTAAAAAGTCTCTGTCTTTCAGCCCCTCTGCTAAAGAAGAAGCCATAATTCATCTGTGCTGTTTCCAGGTTGTTTATTCTGTTTATCTCTAACATGTTCTGCTGCCCTGCCGCAGCTCTGTCCTGCAGGGCAGCGTGTGGGGCTCTGCCCTCAGTGGGATGGTACAAACATTAAATACCACAAACTCCCTGTGCTGGATTTACAATAACGTGCCAATATCTGTCACCTACGTTGAACAGTGTGTCCCCAGCCTGAACCAACAGAAAAATGCCAACACCACAGTGAAACATGGAGGGCATGAAGAAGGAGAAAAAGGACAAGGCACACCCAATTTCCTCCATCTTGTCCCCTTTGGACCCCTAATCTAGAATCCTAAAATTTTACTTTTACACCTGTGCCACACTTAATTATTACTGATATCAAACACTCAGAGCGGGTAATTCATCCTGCAAGATTGAAAACTCTTTTCCATGGACAGAGATCACAGCCAGTGTCTCTGGGGGCTCTGTCCAGGGGGGTTCCTGACCCCTGCCAGGGTCCCAGACCTGCCAGGGCAGCCAGAGGGAAGCCCTGGATTCCCACATGAAGTGTCCCAGACACTGAGCAACCTTGTGTCCTTCAGGAAGGGGCTGTGCCTGGGGAGGAGGCAGGATGAAGGAACTGGAATTCCAAACCAAAGGAGCAGCAGGAGGCAGCCCAGCCCGTGTGACAGGGCAGTGGCTGTCCCAGGGTGAATATCTGCAGGAGAGGGAGGTTCCCTGCAGCCTTGCACTTCCCTACACCCAGCTCCTCCTCAGCCTGCTTGCACTTGGCTGCAAGGTGCAAGCCATCCTTTAAATTCAGCACACCCTGTAGCTCAGAGGCTCCTGGCTGTTCTGAGGCTGCTTTCCAGGAGGAAAAGAAAGGCTTGGAGTGTTTGCATGTGTCCATTTCTGCTCACTTGCTTGCTTTATTCAAACAAAGAGCAAATTGTTTCTTTTCTCCTGCAGGCTGTGTGGGCTGGCTGGGGCCATGCATCAGAGAACCCCAAACTGCCAGAACTTCTCCACAAAAACGGGATTGCTTTCATGGGTGAGGAGATGGACTGCTTGTCTGATGCTTAGTCCTGGCTTGAATTGGGGAGGTTTAGGGAGATAGAACACCCTGAGTCCAAGAGAGAGCCATGGGGAATGGTCTGCAGTGCCAGGTGGATGAGCTGTTCCTTAAGAAGTTCTTGTATGGAAGAAGTGGAAAGTTTTCCAACATAGCCTTTAATGTTGAGATAAAAAAATCAGGAAAGATTCCTGATAAACGAGCTTGTCCCTGTTCTCATTTTAAAGAGGGTTCAGTTTTGTGGGAAGAGTGGAATTTTTTCCTGAATTCTGGACCTTGCCCTAATGTCTGATACCCCTTGTGTCTCTCTCATGCATTGTCTTTGCTCTCTGCAGGTCCTCCCAGCCAAGCCATGTGGGCCTTGGGAGATAAAATTGCTTCTTCCATCGTTGCTCAGACTGCTGGCATTCCAACTCTTCCTTGGAGTGGCAGTGGTAAGAAGGGAATTGTCCTGTGTTCATCAAGATCACCCTGATCTTTTTTCCCTTCAGCATGTCTCGTTTTTAAGAAGCTGCGTGCTCACAAGTGTGTTCCAGGAGATGCTCCATCTGGTCAGGGTTTCCCATTTGTGCTGTTTGCCCAGCACACCAGTGAGGTGCCCTGGAAGCAGTGACACAGGGATGGAATGAGCCTGGAGATGGTGGGAGAAGCTGCCAGCCTGCAGAGGAGGGCAGGGAGGAGGGACTGGGAGGAGAAGTCAGGAAACGTGGAAGAGCTTGTTTCCTGGAGTGCAGCTGATGCTCACAGGCTCACCCAGGGCTTGGAGACACCGGGTCTGAGGGAAGGTGTCCCTGCCTGTGGCAGGGGGCTGGAACAAAATGATCTTTAAATTCCCTTCCAACCCAAACCAGCCTTGTGTCATTCTGGAACCCATACTCTGCTGCCATGGAAGTTCCAAAGCAGTGTGGATAACAGCCTGCTTCTCACAGATAAATGGAGGAGGATAGAATGGGTTGGATAGAAACAGTTTCTCCCCAGAAATCAGGAATGCCTGTTTACATTCTGCACACCCCTTTCCAAGGGCTGCCAGGCTGGCTCCTCAGGCAGCAGTGGCTGTGACTTGTGTCCTGCAGTGGTTTCTGCCAGCCTGGCTCACAGGGTGGGGTTTGTGTTCCAGGCCTCCGAGTGGACTGGCAGGAGAACGACCTCCAGAAGCGCATCCTGAGCGTCCCTCCGGAGCTCTACGAGAAGGGCTACGTGCGGGACGCCGACGACGGACTGCGGGTGGGTCTGGGGGCTCTGGGGGGCTGGGCTGCACCTTCCTGCTCATGCAGCACACGCTGCAGCCCCAGAGCTGCCTCTTGGCGCTGGGACTGATCCTGCACAAACCTCTCACCTGGCCTGCTGCTCTTGAGGCAGGACGGGAATGAGACAACTCAACTCAGAAGGTTGTGAGAGTAAAACTCTGATTTATTTAAAATATACTGCTCTTTTATACAGAGCTTCGTGAGGACTAACTATTGCTTCGAAGTCAAAACAACTTACAGCATTGGTGTAAAGTGTTTGACGCACAGTGATAGAACTTAATTATAACTAATGTGATAAACAAGAGAGATAAAGAATTATTTACGTTATTTTCCAGCTCTTTCCAGGCCTTTGCCTGGCTAGCAATTCTCAGTTTCTTTCTTTGACTGAATTTGAGTCTCCCACTGGCCTGCACAGCTGTGTGAGGATCAGCAGGGAGAGGCAAAATATGGGACCAAGGTTGTGTTGCCTTAAGAGCTGTCATCTAGCTTTTGTTTTTAGTGAAAACCCACAGCCACACACTTCACCTCATCTTTGGAGTTTCTTCTTGAGAGTTTTAGAATAAGAAATATTAAATTTAGAATAAGAACTATTCCTGGCACAATACAGGACTTGGAATTTTGCTTTGTGAAGAGTGGGGGTGGCGTGTGTGATTTTTTTTATGTTACCCAGCTTCTTAAATTATTTTCTGTATTATACAAAAGCTTTTCTGTCAATTCATAGATTTAATGGCATTGAAGCACTGACAAAAGATTTTGTGGTCACTTGGAGAGGTCAGAGTTCTCTGTAATCACAAAATCTCTGCTGAATTTTCCAGCTACAGGCACTTTCACCAATGAGTTATTTGGTTTCTATGCCTTTGGTTGCTAAATATTCCGATATGGCAGCTTGGATATAAATCAAAAGGGAAATAATGATCTTTTCATTGGATTCTGCTGCCTTTTTGCACTTACCCTGTTCTTCCCATCTTGCCAGGCTGCTGAGGAGGTTGGCTACCCTGTCATGATCAAGGCTTCTGAAGGAGGAGGAGGAAAAGGAATCAGGAAAGTGAACAATGCAGATGACTTCCCCAATCTGTTCAGACAGGTGAGTGTTCCCCTGCCCTGTGCTGCCTTGCTCTGAGCGCTCAGGGTGGGTGGCTGCCAGCCCCCAGCCCCGAAGGTGCCTCTCACACCGACGCTCTGCCTGCTCGCTCTGCCCCTGCCGTAGGTTCAAACTGAAGTCCCAGGCTCTCCCATCTTCGTGATGAGGCTGGCCAAACAGTCCAGGCACCTGGAGGTGCAGATCCTGGCGGACCAGTACGGCAACGCCATCTCCCTCTTCGGCCGCGACTGCTCCGTGCAGCGCCGGCACCAGAAGATCATCGAGGAGGCTCCAGCCTCCATTGCAACCTCAACGGTGTTTGAGCACATGGAGCAGGTGAGAGGGGCTCTGCAGCTTCCCCTGCCCTGGCCAGCCTCCAGAAACAGGCAGGGCTTGGTATTTTTGTTGTACATCCCCCGGAGTTCTGCGCTGTTGAGGTGGATTTTGTGTCTCCACCTGCTTGGTGTGGGCAGCCGCTCTCATTTCCACTCTAAATCTCACAAAGAGCTCCTTTCAAAGATAAATGCCCCCCAAAAAAAGGGAGGGAAATGTGTTTTAAATGTGTGTTACCATATTAAAAGCAAGTCTTGGGAGCTGCAGGAATTGCCTAATGTTGAGCGTTGCAAATATTTGCGTCAAACTCTGCCTTCTGTGAATTGTAGATGAAATAAATTGGAAATGGGAAGTCCTGTGCCACAGGCTTTTCTCTGGGCAGCTCTTGGGCCTGTTACAAGTTTTGGGGTGTTCCAGCAAAAGTCTGAAGTGGGTGTGGTGGGTGAGCAGAGAGAGCACGGGTAGCTGGCAGTGCAATATTGCTGTTTTCTGTGTCCCAGTGCGCAGTGAAGCTGGCCAAAATGGTGGGGTACGTGAGTGCAGGTACTGTGGAGTACCTGTACAGCCAGGACGGCAGCTTCTACTTCCTGGAGCTGAACCCACGCCTGCAGGTGGAGCATCCCTGCACTGAGATGGTGGCAGACGTCAACCTGCCCGCAGCACAGCTCCAGGTGAGCACAGAAAATGGAATTCCTCGCCTTTCAGCAAGTTCAGCAGTTGTTTGAAGCTCCCCAAAGCCACCAGGGGATCCCTCAGAGATCCTGCAGAGAGAGTTGTTGATATGCTGTGGCTTGTCAGTTCCCTGTGTGTCCCCCCAAACTCCTGGGCCCCAACTTTCCAGCAGTGGGTGGATGCCACAATCCCTTCGTACCTCAATAAGGCTCTGTATAATTTTTTACTTCTTTTTTGAAGTGTATCTATAAAAAAAACCCCAACTAATGAACAGGGAAAATGGGATTTTGCTCCATAAGGATGCAGCCAGCAGCTGGTTCTGTAGGTTACTCTCCCCACAGTTTATAATTGCAAAATTCCACAGTTTCCTATAACTAATTAGGGCCCTTCTGTCTCATTGGGACCTCAGTATATTTTTAACAGGCCTAATGCGTGCCCATCCTCAGCTGACCTGGCACTGTCAGCTTTCCCTGGAGCCTTTTAATCAGTCAGTGGAAAATACTGGCTGGAGGGCTTAAGGTGGATATTACACTGAGCTGAGTTGTCCTGGGAAGTGTGAATGTTTGGCTCTCTGAAGAGACAAACTTAGTGGTGGGGTTTTTTATTATTATTATTATTTTCTCTCCTTAGATTGCCATGGGGATCCCCCTGCACAGGATCAAGGATATCAGGGTGATGTATGGGGTTTCTCCCTGGGGAGACACAACCATTGATTTTGAGAACTCAGCCCACGTCCCCAGCCCCCGTGGCCATGTCATCGCTGCCCGGATCACCAGTGAGAATCCTGATGAGGTGAGGCTCCCACTCCTGTGCTTGGTGCTCACTCTGGGCTTTACAGGGCCAGGCTCTGCTGGTGCTGCACATTTTGGCAGCAAATTTAAAATACTCTTCCCTTACCTCACTTAGACCCTGGTTAGACACAGCCTGAACTTGTTATACCACGCTGAAACACAAAGAGGTGTTCTCAGAGCCTTCAGAATCCTAATTCTGGATTATTCACCTTTTCTTTAGGGCGTAGAGCAATGTCTGTCTGTCTTTGCAGGGGTTTAAGCCCAGTTCTGGCACAGTTCAGGAGCTGAATTTCCGCAGCAATAAGAATGTCTGGGGCTATTTCAGTGTGGCTGCTGCAGGGGGGCTCCATGAATTTGCTGATTCCCAGTTTGGTCACTGCTTCTCCTGGGGAGAGAACCGTGAAGAAGCCATCTCGTAAGTCAGGAGTGTGGGAGGGCCTTGGGAATTGCTTGGCTTTGTCCTCTTTGATCCAAAGTGCCATGGGAAAACAAGGCTCCTTACTTCTAGGAGTCTCAAGAGAAATTTCCCTGTCTTTGTCTTGTTTTCCATTTCGTGGTCAGGCTTCTCATCTTGTTTTGCAATTCCACTGTATTGCACCTACATTTCTACACCTTTTGCTAATTTTTCTTTAGTTTTCTTCCTTTCTGTTTCATCCCTGCCTTGTATACCTGCTGCTGGGCTGTGACACAGCTGCCACAGGGTGAAAGTCCCTCTTTAAAGCATCCAGGTGAAGGCTTCTAACAGGAAAAATCTTGCTAACCTGACTGACCAATGCTTCAGGATGTTTGTGAACCATGGAGCGTCCTCTGTGGTGTGGGATTTTAAAGCACCTGGTCCTAAGGCAGACTTGTCTGACCTGTCATCCACGTTTTTCATCCAGAGCCTTTCCCAGTTCCACTCTGGGTGGGGTGGACACCACATCTGTCTGTCTGTCTGTCTGTCTGTTGTATGCCCCTGACACCTGGTAGGGCCCTGGGTGATGATAGCAGGGGGAGCTCCTGATCCCACTGAGCTGCTCCTCACACCAGCAGTAGGGAAATCAATGTTCTCCCATTCCCAAACATTCCTTCAGGATCCTGCTCCATCCAGTGCTCTTCTGCTCTGACCTTCAGCTGCTTTTCTTTCTGGAGCTGCCAGCTTGCGTGCTGCCCTTAGGATGGGATAGACAACAGGGCTTCTTTCCCCTTTCAGAAACATGGTGGTGGCTCTGAAGGAGCTGTCCATCCGAGGGGACTTCAGGACCACTGTGGAATACTTGATCAAGCTGCTGGAGACGGAGAGCTTCCAGCAGAACCGCATCGACACGGGCTGGCTGGACCGGCTCATCGCTGAGAAAGTGCAGGTGCAGCTGCTGCCCCTGGCAGGGACACACCTGGGGATGGGCAGGGGTGGTGCCTGCTGCTGCAAAAGGGTGTAGGAGTGGGCAGTGTCCACTTAATGAATAAACATTTTCAGTGGCATTGCTTTTACATACATCGAAATCCTAGGGCATCCCTGTTGGGGAAGGTTGGTCCTAAAGTTGTCCAGAAAAGCATTGAGACCAGTGTTAGGTTTGGAATCTGGGACAGATGACAGTGGCAATGTTGTTGGAACCTCGAGATTTGATCCAGGCAGAAGAAAATGTAGTTTTAAGGAGTTACAGAAATAATGGCTTCTGTGTAGGGTTCACATGGCTGCCACACCGACTTGATTTTAAAGAGTGTTGGCCATGAACCAAAACTAGAGCTGAGACTGCTGATTTTTCTAGCTGGGTGTTCAGATTGGGCTGGAGCTGGAGGAGGAGGTGTGACTGTGTCTATTTGTCCCCTTTTTTAGGCTGAGAGGCCTGACACCATGCTGGGGGTGGTGTGTGGGGCTCTGCACGTGGCTGACGTGAGCTTCCGAAACAGCGTCTCCAACTTCCTGCACTCCCTGGAAAGGTAAAAGGGCACGCTGCTCTCTAGTAATTACTCCTGGTGTACAAGTTCCCTTCAGCCCAGTCCAGGAATGCTCAGGGGCTGTTATCTGCTGACTGTTCCCTGGCCCCAGGGAGCTCTTTATCTGCTGAGAAAACTGGCAGGTATCTGCATCTCCTCCAAATATCCCCTGCTGTCTGCACAGATTGCTTTGGTTTCTAGCAGGAGCTCCAGGAAACAGCTCAGAAACACAGAATTCTTGCTCTGTGTGCTGCTAGGGCAGCATTAGGGAGTCTTGAATCACCCAGGAGTGAGTGGAAAGGAGAGCAAAGCTGGCCTGTGTGGCTGGAGGGACTTGGTTTGACTTGGTCGAACTGATTTGTGTCTCTCCTAAGAAGAGACTCTATAAAAACCTACTCCAATCTCTCTGCTAGTGTTTCCTAAAGCCTTGCATGCATCTCTGAAGCTCTTTGGACCTCTGGTAGTCATTTGGTGGCTTGTGGAAGATGAGTTTTGTTTCGTCCTTCTCTTTGCAGGGGCCAAGTCCTGCCTGCTCACACTCTGCTCAACACGGTGGACGTGGAGCTGATCTACGAGGGACGGAAGTACGTGCTGAAGGTACAGAGTGGGACCCACCCTCCTGCCCCTGGGCTGGACATGGCCACGAGTGCTGCTCTGGCCTCGTCTTTGCACAGATCTGTACAGGGAATTGGGTCTGAGCAGGGTTGATTTTCTCTGCTTTAGTGGGTGAAGAAATCAGCACGGCCTCCTTTGCAATAGCACCGCTCGCATCGCTCCACTGCAATGTCCCTGTAAACATTTCAGCCTCTTGCTCTGAGCAGGGTGAAATTTGCTTTCTTACAGGCAAAGACTACTACAGGTTGACCAAAACTTCCAGCTGATTTTTCTGAATATGTAGGTCTACTCTGCTGGGGTTTTGACACACCGTGACAGAATTTGCAGCAATTTTTCCCTGTGGTGTTGCTTTTTTTGCTGCATGCAAAAACCCCATGTTGCAAAACCAAACATAATGAAAGTTAGGAAATATTAGACTTAAGGTTGCCTGTGCAATCTTCATTAGCTTCCTTGGGCAAATCTGTGGTGGTGAAGTTTTTAATGATAAGACCATATCATTACGGTTTTTGCAGCGGTGAGAATTCTGCACCTGCCTGGGTTTATCTTTGATGAGGAATAGAGGCATTGAGCAGCAGCTGAAGTGTTCTTTAAAGGATTTACACAGCTTCAAATAGCAGCTCTGGGGCAGAGATCCCTTTCTCCAGGGAGGGCACTTGTTGCTTTCCCTGTGGGACAATCTCTCATTTTTCCCCCCAAATTATCTCCTCAATTATGCAGTGTAAGTACACAACTGTGCCTCGTAAGTAGATGAGGGTGAGAAAATGGTCTGTGATTGCACAATCAAACCTCAGCCATCAGTGCAGAAGTGTGAGAGGATTAAATCAACATTCATGGACAACACCAGTTCTGGCATCTCTTGGCTGCTGTGTCGCAGAATCCCAGACTGGTTTGGGTTGACCCTTGTAAAAAGTCTCTCTCTATTTCTTGTGGGATCCCTTCAGGCACTGGAAGGCCATATTTAAATCCCCCCCAGAATTTCTCTTCTCCAGGCTGAAAAATCCCAGTTCTCTCAGCCTTTCCTCATAGGAGAGGTGCTCCATCCCTCTGGTCAGCTTTGCTTGCCTGCCTTTGTGACCCCATTTTTTTTACACAACATCAAACACTGTTCCTCTTCATTAATTCCCACTGTTGCAGCACTTGGAAAACTCTGTGTTGTGGCAGCCAAGACACTCAATGCTGTGTTCAATTCACTGGATAATTCCCATTCTTGTGGGTTGGCAGGTGACCAGGCAGTCTCCCAATTCCTACGTGGTGATCATGAACAGCTCCTGCGTGGAAGTCGACGTGCATCGCCTGAGTGACGGGGGGCTGCTCCTCTCCTACGATGGCAGCAGCTACACCACCTACATGAAAGAAGAAGTGGACAGGTAGCAACCTGTACAGCTCCAGCTTTAGCATTTACACAGCCAAAACGAGGTGTATTTGTAACTTCATGCTTCCCAAAAAATCAGCTGGGAGTGGAATTCTCTCCTAGGAAGAGTTTTGTAGGTGTGCTGTGGGTGAGTTTTGAGACAGAACAGGTCCTGGCTACTGTTAAAAGAAGGATCTGGCTGTGCACCATGTGGAGTCCATATTCCTCTGCTTAGTCCTTAAAAGTGATTTTTGGGATTATAAAAACAAAAAAAAACAGAACCAGAAAATCTTTAAACTTCTTGTAATTCCACGGCTGCTTTAGAAATAAAGACAAGTTGTACTGTTTCAGTGCATCCCCTCAAAATTCCCTGCAAGGATCATAGCAGTAAGGGCAGTAAAGGGCATCCCCAGGTGTGGAATGTGAACTCTGCCCCTACTGCTCTGTTATCTTCTGGGGAAAGTAATGGATCTGCTCAGGAGGACAAAGAATTTGGGTAACTTCCTGAGTTGGAATCTCCACCTCTCGGTTGGTTGAGGTCTTTTCCCGTAGTTTTGTTTCAAAGTAGAATAGGGAAAGGGAGACTGGATTTTCCCTCCCCATGCCTTCCCCAAGGAGTTCTGTTGCCCTGATCTGTCCTGTTCTTCCCCAGGTATCGCATCACCATTGGGAACAAGACCTGTGTGTTTGAGAAGGAGAATGATCCCTCCATCCTGCGCTCGCCCTCCGCTGGGAAGCTGATCCAGTATGTGGTGGAGGATGGGGGACACGTGTTTGCAGGCCAGTGCTTTGCAGAAATTGAGGTAAAAGTCTCAGAGAACTGGTTTGGCTGCCCAGGAAAAAGCTAAAAAGCTCAGGGGGAGGGATGTTGGATGCTTTGGGACTGGGAGTTGAGTGTGAGGGGTCATTCACAGTATTTCATTGACAGATGAACTACAGCGGGAATTATCAACAAGAGTGATGGGGCGGGGAAGAAATTTAACAGCAGAAATTTGAATGCTAATGACTGTACACCAAGTGATAAGCAAAATCTCTCAAAAATCCTGTGATTATCACCTTCTTGAGATTCCAAGGGAAGGTGGGATCCATTCCCAGCTGTGGTGAGGAAGGCCTCCTTGTGCTACTGACACAGACTCAGAGTTATCTGCCAGGATGAATTAACAAACTTCATCCTGGTTAGCTGATCATTTATCAGGTCGATCCCAGAAGTTAGTAAGTGTCACTCCTCCCTTCTCCCTAGGAAGTTACTTAACTCTTACCGAGGAGGAGGATGAGCAATTTTTGATCACGATGAGGAAAGCACAAGGGGTTGTGTAGGAGTGTGTGGCTCAGAACAGATTTGAGGGAGGGGAAGGTGTGTGATGACAGAGGGGCAATTAAACCAGCTGGGGACAATGTGTAGGAGAAAAACATCAAGACAGAGATCCAGCTGTTTTATGTAAGTGCTATTGCCCTGCAACAGGTCATGGCTAAGAAGGCACCACCCAGATAATCCCTGTGGCTCCCAGTGGTGTAGAGCAGAGCAAGGGTAAAACCAAACTGGCTCCCCAAACCCAGCCCTTCTGCTCCAAAGGCAGCAGCTCTTGATGTAAGGAAGCATTTCTGTCTGGGAATACCTGTCTGAGAGCTCTAGAAAGTGATCCTGCTTGAAGTGAAGATGTGGCTGTAGCCTTTGAGAGGAGCCTTTGGAATGCAGCAGAAAATTGTCTGCTTTCTTCATTGTGCTGAGTGTGGGGCCTTCCTGAGTCTCCTGTTCATTCAGGCAGTGTGAGCAGGGACATTCCTGAAGCTCCTGCTGCACTATTTTGTGGCCAATGATTTTGTTCTCCCATTCACTTCAGTGTCTGGGTTTTGTTCCCAACATCTGTGCTTGTAAGTTTTGGGAACACCTGAATGCCAGAGGTGCTCTTGCAGGTCTGTCTGTGGTGGGACACTGCTGGCTGGCTCCCAAAACTAGAACCGTTTTGGGGCACATGGAGCTGAGTGTGTAACCTGTTTTCCTTGCTACAGGTGATGAAAATGGTGATGACGATAACAGCAGGAGAATCAGGCTGCATCCACTATGTCAAGCGCCCAGGGGCAGTCCTGGATCCAGGCTGTGTGATTGCCAAGCTGCAGCTGGATGATCCCAGCAGGGTTCAGCAGGTGAGGAACTGCAGAAACCACAGATTTTGTGGGGGTTTAATGAGGGACTGATGTTGAGAGTGGTGCAGGATGGTCTGGTGAACCAATTTCCCATTTGTGCATTGTGCTGGAATTGTCACTTCACTGTTTATTTGTCTCAGATGAGGACTGGGACTGAGATTTCTCTCTCTCTCTCTGATTCAGACCAAACTTACCTACCATTCCTGCCCTCTGCTTACCTCAGTACTGTTGTGGGGCTCTCTCTCAACCAAGTGCATTTCCCACCGTGGGAATCCTTGCAAGTGAAACCTTGGCTGCAGCTGAGGGTGACTGGCTGTTCCCCATGGCTGGTGCCCCACAGGAGGCTCAGTGAGGCTGTTCCTTGTTGCAGGCTGAGCTGCACACGGGTACCCTGCCCCAGATCCAGAGCACAGCGCTGCGGGGCGAGAAGCTCCATCGCATCTTCCACTACGTGCTGGACAACCTGGTCAACGTGATGAATGGGTACTGCCTGCCAGAGCCCTTCTTCAGCAGCAAGGTACTGGGGGGCTCTTCTTCCAGACCAAAACACAACGTTCTTGCAGCTCAGGGAGGGGTTGGGCAGTTTTTGTGCCACAGAGATGGGATGTTGGACATCACCCCTCTCCTTCTTCCTCTTCCTGTTGTTTATTCTCTTCTCCATTCTTGCCTCTTCTCTCTCCAGGTGAAGGGCTGGGTTGAGCGATTAATGAAGACCCTGAGGGATCCATCTTTGCCCCTGCTGGAGCTTCAGGACATCATGACCAGTGTTTCTGGGCGGATACCACCCAATGTAGAGAAGTCCATCAAGAAGGAGATGGCCCAGTATGCCAGCAACATCACCTCGGTCCTCTGCCAGTTTCCCAGCCAGCAGGTGACCAACTACCCTTCATGGAGGGATAAAAATGGGTTTGTGTTGGGGCAGAGAGAGAGAAAATTTCCTTTAAATGACGTGGAGGTTAACTGAGCCTGAAAGATGTGTTTGAACATGGTGTGCTGATGGTAGAAGGTTCTTCCCTGTGTCACTTCAAGGCTTTACTCTCTTTACCTGTGCTGAGGGGTTCCCTGCTCAGTATGGCTTTAACCAGGCACACTGGTGGGAGCACTTTAATCTTATCAGTGGCCCTGTGGGCATTTATTTGCTTTTTGCATGGTACATGTGCTGCAGTGCAATTTGTAGTGCCAGTGTAAGCTCAGAATAGAATGACTGCAGCCAAGGGAGGCCTGGTAGGGTGAGGAGATGCTGGAAGCTGATTTCTCCCCAGCGTGATACAGTGCATTGATTTTTGTATCACTGGCAAGTCTTGCAGTTCCTTTGCTGGGGCTCTGCAGGTTATCCAGCCCATGGAGGGCTTTTCCCTGTGCTTTTTGTCCACGTTCTTTTCCCTTTCAGATTGCCAACATCCTGGACAGCCACGCGGCCACCCTGAACCGCAAGTCGGAGCGCGAGGTTTTCTTCATGAACACCCAGAGCATCGTGCAGCTCGTGCAGAGGTGAGCCTGCCCAGGGCTTCCTGCAGAGCAGGAGCCACCCCCAGCAGCCCTGGCAGGGGCTGTGTGTGCCTTCAACCTCACTCAGAGCTGGCTTTGGTGCCTCTGCAGGTACCGCAGTGGCATTCGGGGCCACATGAAGGCCGTGGTGATGGATCTGCTCCGGCAGTACCTGAAGGTGGAGACTCAGTTCCAGCACGGTGAGTTCCTGGCCACATCCGGGATTTGGTTTCTTGAAGAGTCGTGTTTGGTCCTGGAAAGTCCATGTGGGCCCTCTGGAGAAGGTTTGCTCTCACTCTGTGCTGAGAGGAGTGCACAGGGTTTTTGGAAGGGTCTGCAGTCAGATCCTGGGTTTTGTAGGGGAGATTCTGTCCCCAAAGCTCAGCTGAAGCTGAGAGGTGAAACCAATGCCTTGCACTGCTGTATCCAGGCACAAGATGGCAATGAAGCCCTGGCCAATTCCGAGGCTCTGGCTCTTACAGGTAGTTCAGATTCCACTCTTCTTTGTCCTGCTCCATTACCTGCCCCGGCCTAATGGTACTGCAGATTCATTTCCACTTCAATTTGCTGGCAGCAGAGGATGGTGCAAGGCTTTTTGCTGTTATTTCATTTTGCTTGTCATTTGAATGAAAGTCTGAGCTCCCTGTTCCTCTCTCAGTATTGCTCACAGAGGAGGCATTTGGTATTGGAGCTGTTTATTAAGAGTGGGATGTTAGAATTAAAGTTTGTAGTAGCTGATGGTAGGAATGATTCCTTCCCAAATTGATTGTGGACCATAGAGAATCACAGAATGGTCTGGGTTGGAAGGGACTTTAAAGCACATCTCATTCCACCATCCCAGGCTGCTCCAAGCCCTGTCCAGCCTGGCCTTGGGCACTTCAGGGATCCAGGGGCAGCCACAGCTGCTCTGGGCACCCTGTGCCAGGGCCTGCCCACCCTCACAGGCAGGAATTTTTTTCTAATACCCAACCTAACACTACTCCCTGTCAGTGTGAAGCCATCCCCCTTGTCCTGTCACTCCATCCCTCGTAAATAGTCTCTGTGCATCTTCCTTGTCGGCTTCAAGCCAAGGAGATCCTCAAAAAACACGTAGAAAAATAAAGACACATCTAATAACTTGCAATCCTTGCCACAGAGGTGTGAAGACTGGAAAAGAAATGTGCATTTCTGCCTGCAGGTCACTATGACAAGTGTGTCTTCACCCTTCGTGAGGAGAACAAGAGTGACATGAACGCAGTGCTGAACTACATCTTCTCCCACGCCCAGGTCACCAAGAAGAACCTGCTGGTTACAATGCTCATTGTAAGTGGCTGCTGCTTTTTCCCTCTCTCTTTTTTCCCCCCTCTCTCTTTTTTCCCCCCTCTCTCTTTTCCCCCCTCTCTCTTTCTCCCCCCTCTCTCTTTCTCCCCCCTCTCTCTTTTTTCCCCCTCTCTCTTTTTCCCCCTCTCTCTTTTTTCCCCCTCTCTCTTTTTTCCCCCTCTCTCTTTTTTCCCCCTCTCTCTTTTTCCCCCTCTCTCTTTTTCCCCCTCTCTCTTTTTTCCCCCTCTCTCTTTTTTTTCCTCCCTCCTTCTTTCTCTCTCTTTTTCTTCCTTTTGCCTTTTATTTTACAACCCTAATGTGGTCTGTTACTGCCAAAAACACATCCAAAGTAGCCATCCACAAAATAACTCTCCAAAGCAAAAGAAGTGTCATAATTTTCCTAGACCGTAGCTGGGTTTCATAAATTCTCATTTGTAAGATGTAAGGATCCTGGCGTTCTTTCTTCCTGGCTCTCCCTTTTCCCCTTTTTTTCCCCTTTTTTTCCCCCTTCCCCTTTTTGGTGTGTGGTGTGATTGTAAGTAACGCTTGCCTTAAGAATCTCATTATTTGAACACGGAGCCATATTTCCTCTGAGGATTCTGGAGTAGCTTTGAGCCGGGGCTGTTCATTTCTCAAGTAATCACGCTGGTGTGATGGAGAGAGAAAATGGCAGCTGTTCACAGCTCAGGCCTTCAATTTTCTTCAGAGTCCAGTCACTCAAGTGTGTAATTACACGGGGGTGCCGGCGAGGCGTTAGCCCTTGTCAGGGAGCTGGGCTGAGGCTTTGCTGCTGCCTTTGCCAATCAGTGCAGGCAGAGCCAGTCCTGCCTTTGGGTTGTTGTTGTCATCCTGATCATTCCTTGCTAGAACGGGACTGGAGCTTTCAGTCTGGTTTGTCACCTCGTGCGGGCTGTGCCTCGCTGCCTCTTGTGAGGAGACCTCAGAGAGCCTCAGGGAGCCTCCCTTGTCCCTTGCTGGTCATTCCTCCCACCAGTCAGTTCTACTCCAGTAAAGGCCAACATCCCTGTGTGCCAGAGCCTGAAGCACCAGGAGATCCTGGTGGAAGAGCCACTCCTGGTTACCCCAGGCCATGATGCTGCCTCACGGGAGCACAGGGGTTTCTCCTCTGCAGTGGGAGCAGGAGCTCAGGAGGGACAACACGGTCACCCCTGGCACAGCTGGGTGTCCCTGAGCTTCCAGCACTCCATTTGCCAAATAACCATCAATCCTCCCCTTCCAACCTTGGGAGCAGGAGCTCAGGAGGGACAACACGGTCACCCTTGGCACAGCTGGATGTCCCTGAGCTTCCAGCACTCCATGAGCCAAAGGACCACCACTCCTTCCCTTCCAACTGGTGGCACGCTGGCTGTGACCATGGGGACAGCTGTGGTGTTTTTGGGGGCCAGGCTGTTTGTGTGGGTGGGGTCAGGGCAGCTTCACTGCCTGTCTGGCTGTTATTGATGGGTCCCAGGAATCCATCATTAACCAGGGGCTCTGAGGATGGCTTTAGTAATGGTGTTGTGCTGCCATCACTCACCTTTTTTAGCCAGCAGGCACTGAAGGCAGGGTGGGAACTGCTTCATCCTTCATACATCTGTTGAAATATGGTGTGATTTGTTGTGGTGTGTTCATTTCCTGTGCTTAACTTATGCATGTCCTGGCCTGAGCAGGATGGAGTGGCTGGTGGCATGGCAGGGTCCCGTGTCCTGTTGGATTTCTGTTCCCTGGAGCAGCAGCATAACAATGCCCAGGAGTTTGTGTCCCCACAGTGTCCTGGAGTGGCTAAATGCACAGAACTTCCTTTGGGAGCAGTCACACTCGTGTTTGGTGGCCCAGGACTGGCCAGGAGGGGACAGCAGTCTGATCAGAGTTAGGAGTTCAGATCTTTTCCCCCTGGGAGATCTGTGTGATCATTCCTTGAGGGGCCACCATGCCTGAGTGGGGCTGGAGACAAGGGGATCAAGAGCAGTGTGAGGGAAAAACTCCACTGGAATCTCAACTGTTGTGGAGTTATTCACTCTATGGGACTTCTGTATGATTTGGCTTTGGTTTTTAATTTATTTTCTCTGGCAGATTTGTCAATCCCACCTGCTGCACAGAGGTTTTCCCCTTCTCCTTTTCTATTTCTTGGATCTTCAAGTGGCCTGTTCTGGTCTGTAGGTGTTTAGGATCTCATGAAACTTTTAGGCACCAGCTCTTTCTGGTGGTAAATCCCTGTTTCATCTCACATTTCCCTCCTATGATTAATTTATCAAGACAAGCTGTTAAGTGCTGGGTGGAAGAATCACGTTAGGGTTTCCAACTTCGGGGTGGGAGGGAGGAAGCTCACAAAAAGTGTTGAAGAATGTGGGATTATTCATGAGAATTGAAATTATTTTTGGAAGAAGGTCTTTACTGTTGGCATTTTTTGAATGGATGAATTCACAAGAGTTTTGGAACAGCATTAACACTGGAAGTTTATGCTCTTCAGTTTTGTTGTTCTATCCAGCCGATTTAGGCAGCAAGGTAAGCTTGTGGATTTCCTCAGATCCAGGATTCTCTGGTTAGAAGAAATATTATGGAGTCAGTCCAGTGCTGTGGCAGGAAATACAGCCCATTATTCATGGGTTTAGTTAGCTTTGCTTAGCCTTGCCAGAGGAACGACAGATCTTTTTTCTGGTGTTGGCTGAAGCTGCACAAAGCTTGGGTGGTTTGTGCTGTGGAGTAGTGGGGACTTCTGAGGTTTGAGGTGTTTTTGTAAGTGGATGTCAGGAGGTTCTGTGGCAGTGTAACTCTGGTCACCCTTCATGGAGAAGGTTTGCTGACTTTTACACGTTCCACAAAGTGTCTGGCTGCAGTTTAAGCTCTTTGGATTTTGCGTTGTTGCAAACTTCTGTACCAGAAGGAGAAAGTTATGGTGCAAACCTGAAACTGGGTAATAGGAAAAAGTTTTCTGAGCCTCTCTGAGAAGTCAGCATTTCTCGTGTGTTTGGGTGCCATAAATGCTACAAATAGAATGGGAGAAGGTGCCTATCCCTTCTTTCACCTTTTATTTATGTGTGTAAAATTGTTGAGTGCTGACTGTGTTCTTGTCAGCACAGAATTCCAGGATAATTCAGGACAGGACTGCTGGGGATGGGCTGGTCCAGCCCTGAGCGTGTGCTTGCATTCCAGTTCAGACTCCTCTGGGGGAACACAGCTGATGCTTTCCCTCTGTTCCAAGCATTCCTTGTTCTCTCTGTCCCCAGGACCAGCTCTGTGGCCGTGACCCCACCTTGACAGACGAGCTGATCAATATCCTGACGGAGCTGACCCAGCTCAGCAAGACGACCAACGCCAAGGTGGCCCTGCGAGCGCGGCAGGTGAGGCTCCCTGCACAGGCTGCTCCTGCCTGCAGCTCAGCCCCCTGGCAAACCACAGCTCCTGATGTTTGTTTTGATCACTGTGCCAACGGGGAGAGTAGGTTCCTGTGGGCAGCACTTTGGCAGTGAAGCTAATTAGCAGTGATTAACTGTGGTGACTGCAGCACGTTCCCCATCACTGTAATATTTAAATTTGACATGCATTCCTTTGTCCCTGCTCCTCCAAAAAGTTGTGTCTGGCTCACACAGGAGTTCGTTGTGAGTAGCCCATGGTTTGTGTGATGGAGGCAGTGGGAATGTGTGGCCACTGTGGTTTTTGGTGGTTTTGTCATCTGCAAGCCTGAGCAGCACAGGCTGCCTGTATTGTGCAGGAGCAACATGGACAGGCTCTCCTGGTTCCTCAGCTGCCTTACAGTTGTGAATCCACGTGTGCAGAGAGCAGGGAGAGCCATTTGCACAAGAACCAGCTGTTCTTTGCAGCTGCTAAGGAATTGCCACGAAGAATTGTGCTGGCCTTTTGCAGGGCTTCTTCCATCCTTGAGCTGCGCTTTGTCGGTTTTGTTCAAACCTGGAAATAATTGGAAAAACTCTGGATACTGTGAATTCCAAGAGTCTGCTACAGAACTGATTTGAATGTCACATAGGCACCCAGATATTGTTGTGAGCTTCCTCTTCAGCAGTTCATTTAACCCTCCCTCTGTTGCCAGGGAGGGGTGAGAGGTTTCCAGACTCGCTGACCCCCGAGTGTGATCACTCTCTCACTGCACAGTCCCCATCTCCAGCCTAAAGCAGGAAAGCTGACACTTCGGGGGTCTCTCCTTTTATTTCAGAGCTTGGCTATTGAAAAGGAACACGGTGTTTGAAGCTGCTCAGTGACCTTCTGTTTCCTCCAGGATTGTGCTTGTGTCCTTGAACCGTTCTGCTATTGAACCTCCCCACAGCAACTGGGGATGCTGCTGCAGTCCTTATGTTGCTCTTCCACTTCATTTTCCCTGCAGGCTGCTTCTATTTCCTAGCTCTGCATCCTTCACGTTGGGCATTTAGTACCTGGCAGTGGTGGCTGTTCCCTCCCCTGCCCAGGAGCAGAGTGTGGCTCCAGCACGAGCCTCCCCACAGCTGCTCCCCGCCAGCTCTGCTTCCCAATTAACAGCTGGGCAGCAATCCCCAGGGCTGGCAGCCCTGCCCTGCTCAATCACATGCACTGATGGAACTTGATGGAAGCTGTTCCCTTTCTCCCTGGGGAATTGCAGTAACACAGGCACACAGATGAGGCTGGGGAGGGGAGAGGGTGTGCAGCATCACCCGCAAAACACAGGTGCCTCTTCAGGGATGGGGCAGGCTGCTAGAGCTGCCTGCTGCTGGCCCTGCATGGCTCCTTTCTCTGACATCCCCCGTGTTTCCCCAGGTTCTCATTGCTTCCCACCTGCCCTCCTACGAGCTGCGTCACAACCAGGTGGAGTCCATCTTCCTGTCGGCCATCGACATGTACGGCCACCAGTTCTGCATTGAGAACCTGCAGGTACCCCCAGCCCCCTCCCTGCTCCCTGCTTCCTTCTCACTGCTCTTCACGTCCCAAGGTCCTGGTGGCTTTAAGCTGTCGTGGTCTGGTGTCCAGCTTTGCCCTGTTTTTTGGTTTTGTCCCTGTGCCGAGGTGGGGATGGCCTCGTGCCAGTTCTGCACCTTCCTCCCAGGGGACTCTGGGCACCAGGCACGAGGAGATGGAGTGGAGCTGTGCCAGGGGAAGCCCAGATTGGACATTAGGAAAAGGTTCTTTCCCCAGAGGGTGGCACTGCCCAGGCTCCCCGGGGAATGGGCACAGCCCCGAGGCTGCCAGAGCTCCAGGGGCACCCGTGTGAGCTCCTCTCGTATGGTTTTAGTTTGAGTCTGTGAGCAGCAGGGAGTTGGGGCTCAGTGATCCCTTCTGACTTCAGGTTTTCTATGGTTTAATATAAAAAAGTCATAGTCCTTGATGAACAATGGGAGAAGCTTCGAAATCAGAACTAGCCAGGCTTGATTTGGGGCTTTTCCATTTCTGCCTGATCCTGGTTGCAAGACACACGTTTAAACCCCTGCTTAATGTGATCTCTCCTAGAAACTCATTTTGTCTGAGACATCCATCTTTGATGTGCTTCCCAACTTCTTCTACCACAGTAACCAGGTGGTGAGAATGGCAGCTTTGGAGGTGAGTTTATTCCCATTGAAAAAAATTTGTATTTTTAATTTTTCTGTGGATTTGGTTTGTTTTGAGCACTGTCTACAACTGTTCTGAGCAACCCTGCAAGATCCAAGAGAGCTGTAGATTGTGTGGCATTGGGCATGCATAGAATCTGGTATTTAACAGCATTAACATTGATAACTGAGTGAAATTTCAAATTCAAGTTGCATTTGTGTGAAGACTGAGGGGGTTGAAGGCAGAAAGTGAAAGTTCTGTCAGAGGATGATGGCTCTGGCCTCCCTCAAGGAATACATTCTGGTTGAATTAGAGTTGATCTAGCTGCTCATGTGCAGGCATGTTTGTATTTTAGCTGTGAGAGGTCTCTGGGGCTGCCTGCCCTGGGGCTGACAGGTTCTGTGCCCCCAGGTGTACGTGAGGAGAGCCTACATTGCCTACGAGCTGAACAGCGTGCAGCACCGCCAGCTGAAGGACAACACCTGCGTGGTGGAGTTCCAGTTCATGCTGCCCACCTCCCACCCCAACAGGTCAGATTGCCCCTGCAGCTGCACATTTGGGAGGGGCTCGTCCTGCCCTGGCAAGGAGAGCTTGCACTAGGGCTGGTGGAGAAAAGGGGTTCATTCGGGTGTGATGGTTTTCCTGTGTTTTCTGGTTTCTAGCTTTGGTTGGGGTTGGAAGTTATCTCTAGAATGTCAGTTCTGGCTGAATGCTGAGCCTTCCAAAAGATGTAATTCCAGACAGAATAATCAATTAATTGGAATTTTAATACAGAACAGTCAAACAGTCTCTGTCCCCTTCCTGCCAGCCCTTTCTGACTGCTTGTGTGGCTCTGCTCCTTCCTGCCTTGCCTGGATAAAGTGACATCTTTTGTGGCACAAGATTTTTTGATGGAGCAGGCCGAGATGAGAGTTTTATACAAAATGCTGGGGTTGACACAGTTTGATTTTCAGTTTTGCATTCCTTGTGACTACGACCGAAAGCATCAGCTCCTGGAGAGGAGGGTGGCATCATTTCAGAAAAGCAAACCTGATTATCAGAGCTTGCAGCAACACTGGATCAGAGTGGTTTGGGTTGGAAGGACCTTACAGACAATCTCCTCCCAAGCCCCTGCCGTGGGGCAGGGTTGTTCCCGGGTGTCTGTGGGGCCAGCTTGCCCTGTGCTTTCCCCAGGACGGTGCTGGAGCTCTCTGGGGCTGGTCCCTGCTGGCTCGGAGGTGGCAGTGAGTCCCCGCAGCCACCGGGTGCCACTGTTGGTCCGTGCCGGGCCCTTGCTGCCTCCTTTGTTCCCGAACATCTCTGCCCTGATCTCATTTCTGGTGGGGTCCGGTCTCGCTTGGCTGGGAATCCATCAGTACCTTTTATGAAATGGTTTTCAGGGTCTGCTTTGCTGGAAATGAACAGCCAGCCCCCAAAGCACTCCTGCTACAAATGGGACATGTGTCTGGGCTCATCTGTTCCCTGCATTGCTGGAATATTTGTACATAATTGCATACTATTTTTAGTACCCCTTTATAATGTTCCCTTCTCCTCTTCCTTCTTCCTCCGTTTCTCCTGTGCTGGCCTCGGTTGCCTTTGTTGCTCGGGGATTTTTGGCCTGCCAGTGCTCTGCTCTGTGCACAGCCTTAATCAGACAAGGTCAGCTGGGAGAGGAGAGATGTGCCCTGCTCCAGGAGCAGCTCTTTGGCCGGGAATCTGCTCTGCCTTACACTGAGCTGGCTGGGACAGTGTTCTGAGCTCAGCTCTGCTCGCTGTGCTGCTGGCAGGGGCAGAAGGCACCGTGCCCTCGAGGGAAGCGGGCTCAGCTCCTGGCAGGTGCCTCCAGCTGCCAGTGATGAATTTGGCTCCTGATGCTTGGGGCAGCTTCTTGCTCTCCCTCTGGGGTGGCTGGAGGAGCCCAGGGGCTGGTGGTGGCACAGGGTTTGAGGCCTGAAGCCACACCTGGGTGTTAAACCCAGGACATGGAAATCTCAAAACTCTGTCATTGTCCTGCTTAAATCTTCTTTGTTGTTCTTGACCACGGTCTGTGTTCATCATGTGCTTTTCTGTGTCTTTTGTAGCACAGATTGTTAGGCTGAAAAGCTAAAAATGCATTCCAAGGGCAAAGCCCAAGGCCAAAATATCCCAGGATGTCCCTGGAGGCTCTGCAGGGCTGGTGACCCAGGAGCAGATGCCAGGGAGCCCTCAGGAGAGCATTCCCTTGGGGAGCTGCTGTTACATGATGCCACACATTTTTCACCACTGCCTCAGATATTTTTGAGCCCTGGTCCCTTTGTGTCAGATGTCTGTGAACCTTTGAGAACCCAAGTTTTATGGAAGCAAACATTCATGTAGAGAAAACAGCACACTGCTAATGGTTTAAATTCTAATTAGGAGTTTAAATTTGTATTTAAATTCTTCGTTATTGGTATTTAACCCTGCTATGCCTTTACTTAATTGTGGCAGAAGCAATCCCAGCCTCTCCCTCTGAGCTGCCTGATCACAGCTCGGGCTCAGACTTTGTGGCTTTGGCCATGGAAGGATTGCCATCAGCTGCCCACAGGGGAGCAGAGAGGACAGAAAAGCTGTTAAATCTGCTGACAGAGTCACAGAAGTGCAACCTGCTCCTGGTGGGTTCTGTGGGCAGAAACTGTTTGGGGAATTATTTGTTTAAATTAACAGCAAACATCCTAATGCAAGAATCCCCACTGAAGAGCAAGGGAAAGTCAGGGGGAGGAAAACGGCTTCTGATGGGAAGCACAGAGGGCTTTGAGAGTCCATCAGCATCCCTGTGCCTGTGCAGGGCAGATGAGGAGTGCAGTGTCACCATCTGGCTGCAAATGGGGTTTGGGAGCCCTCTCCATGCAGAAATCCCATCTGGAGGCGTGGATCCAGGGCACCTCTGGGATGCCAGCGGCCACAGGCTGCACAGGGGCTGCAGAGTGCCATCCTTGCCTGGCATGAGCTGCCCTGCAGGCTGCCAGGCTCCTGGGGAGAGGGGTGGCAGGGGAAAGGAGCCCTGCTCAGGGCTGGGCTCTGCTGTGTGTGTTGTGCCAGCCCTGCTGCCGTGGGCACAGGGGGCAGAACTGACTGCTCAGAGGGTTCAGCTGCCTTTGTGTCACCGCAGCCCAGGTGACAGACCCTGAAAGGCCTTTCTGAGGTGCTCATGAAACAGGCCTTGCCTAATCTTAGCTTCAAATCTTCTGTTCAAAGAAACATTGTGTGTGGAGGAGAGGGAATTATAGTGCTTTTTCAACAAAAGTGTTTCTTTCTAATCCCCTCTCCTCTCCTGCTTTCCAGCAGCCTTTCTTATGTCTGAAGCTGTAAGGTTTAAATTAAACTGAGACATTGTCTGCTGTAGCCAGCTCTTGGAGCCTGCTGCTGCCCTGCTCCTCCCAGAGCATCTCCTTCCCTGCAGCTCCCCCAGCCAGGCTGCTCAGCTTGATCCCCCCTTCTGCTCCTGGGGAGCAGATGCTGACATAAATGTGACATAAATGTGCTCCCACCAAACAGATCCCTGTTTGTCTCACAGCTGGATGTGTCCCCTGTGGCAGATGCTGACAAGGAGACTTAGAGGTGCTGGATCTATCCTGATTTTGGGGTGTGGCAGGGATAGCCCAGGGCTCTGCCTTCTGCTTTGTGGAGCCCCAGAGGAAACTGAAATACAGCTCAGCCTGGTTTTGGTCCCTGCTGCCTCAGCCTTGCCTTCCCAGCCCCTCTGGGCACTGAGCCCTCACTTCCCTCTGTCCCTTGAAGCACCCCCAGCTGCCACTCTGGGATTGGGATGTCCTGGGTCAGGATGTAGCACTGGAAGGAGGAAGTAAGGAAGGGTTTAGCCCTGCAGGTGAGGTGTTGATAGTGAGGTAAGTGTGGCTCTGGGGGCTCCACAAAGGAGATGTCTGCCTCTGGAGCTGGGAATGCACACTCCACAAACAGGGATGCAGAGGCAAAAATGCCTTGTCTGGGTTGGATTCGTTCCTGGGGCTGCAGCCTGTTGTCCATGGTGCTTCAAGGGTGGAAGTTGAGCTTAGGAGTGGTTTGCTCTGCATTTCATCATCATCATCACACTGCAGAACGCCCTGGGGTGGAAGGACCTCAAAGCCCATCTCATTCCACCCTGCAGTGGAGAGGGAACTTCCCACTAGACCAGGCTGTTCAGAGCCCCATCCAAGGGTATCTTTCAGTACAGATGTCTCAGCTGTCTTGTGCTTGGTTTGGCCTGAAATCTCCCTCTGTGCTTGTGGATGTTTGTTCATGCCCCACCTTGGCCTTTGGTGTTGCTGGTTTCAGGGCCCAGGAGTGGTGCATGGTCTCTCCCCATGCTGTCTCCTGATGTTTTATCATCTATGGGGAGTTTTGGTGGTTCCTTTTTGTCAGCCTTTTCCTTAGCTTACAGGTAGAAACCATTTGGAAGGCTGAAATATCCCTGGTCCCAAACAGGGCTTTTTTAAGAACTCCACACTCGCTCACATTTACAGCAGCGTGTACAGGTTTTTTTTCCCTGCTATCATTTTACAATGATCTACTCGTAAAATGTGAATTTCTGACAAAGTGACAGCATTTTCTGTGGACTATTTGCTGGAGCAGCCTCTGGCATCAACCTCTGGATGCCAGGAGCGACCCAGCCGTGCTGCTGGGGGCTCTGACCCTACCTGGAGCCCCAAAGGGATAACCCATGGGGTGTCAGGCAGCCTGGGGTCCCCTCCTCGTTGTGAGAGTGGTTTGTACAGGGAGGGAGGAGGGGAGGATGATTCCAGGACACCTGTAAATCCCTGCAGCTCGGGGCTGAGGTTTGATGTTAATTAGGCAGCAGGCAGCAGTAATGTGCTGCCGTTCCCTTGGCTTGCCTGCCTCGGAAAGGGCAAAATCTTCCAGCAGAGCAAAGAAGGGGCTGTGGAAGGGGCAGCAAACTGAATGGAACGAGGATAATTTTATGCAAATTGGACTTCTGTAGCAGATTCAGCTTGGCTGAATCACAGAGGGAGCAGAAGAATAAGGGAAGAGAGAGGGAGAGGAAAAACTCAATCAAAATGTATGGTTTGAGGCATGTTTCGCTGCCTTCTGGTTAGATTCTTCTGCAGAAATGAAGAAACATAAGAGGAATGGCACTGGTCAGAGCCAGTGGAATTGCTCTTTCTCCTGTGGTACTGCTGTTAATAACTACAAGTGGGTTATTGAGCCAGCCTGTGCTGATTCTGCTTTGCTGCCTCGTTTCCAAAGCTTTGCCCTGTGCTGGCACTCGCCCACAGCTGAGCTCTGCGTGCCTGCCCATGGCGTGGGCTCCTGTTCCTCACAGAAAAAGGGACAGAAAAGGAGGAGGGGGCACAGGGAACCGAGTTCAGAGTGCCCAGAGGGTGCAGGAGGGATGGGGCCAGCGGGGCTGCAGCAGATCCCTGCTCAGGAACACTTCCAGGCCATCCTGGGAGCTGAGCAGGGCTCAGAGGAGGGCTGGGGCTGGTGTGGAGGACAGGCTGGGAGCCTGTCCCTGGTGCTGCTGGGAGCTTTGACGTGGCCCTGGCACAGAATCTGGGATGGTTTGGGCTGGAAAGGACCTTTTAAAGGTCTTTTATTCCACCCCTACCATGGGCAGGGACACCTTCCACTGTCCCAGGCTGCTCCAAGCCCCGTCCAAGCTGGGCACTGCCAGGGATCCAGGGGCAGCCACAGCTTCTGTGGGTGCCTGTGCCAGGGCCTGCCCACCCTCACAGAGAGGAATTTCTCCCTGACATCCCCTTTGAACCTGCTCTTTTTCACTCTCAGTGCACTCCTCCTTGTCCTGTTTCCCTCCTTGCCTCTCCAGCTCTGTGTGGAGTGGCAGGAGAAGCTCCCAGAGCCCAGCACCAGGGTGCCCTGCTTGAGGCTGGGCTGAACATTTGTTGTGCTGTTTTTTCATCCCTCTCTTTCCTGAAAACCTTCCAGGGACGGCTTCAGGAGGGTTCCTGCTGGGGGTAGGAACTGCCAGTCCTCTCCAGACTATTTTTTCCAACTGAAGTAGATCACATGCAGCTTTCCCACTCTTTGCCAAGCTCAAAAAATAGTCCCAACCCCCTGAGGGCTGGAGGCCCGTTCTGTCCTGACCACAGGCTCTGCAGCACAGGGTCTGTCCCCACCATCCCCCCAAAAATTGAATATTTGTGTTACTTACACCATGACCGATCTGGTTTTAGGTATTTTTTCCCCCACATGGTTTAAGGAGACAATGGGAATTTTTTGTGCCTCAGTGATGCACCCAACACGTCACCTTGTAGTGAAGGTGACTCTGGGACAGGAGCAGGGCAGGCAGGCTGACCAGTGTGACCATGGAATACACTGGTCATCAAGCACTGGGACTTCGTGCTCAGCAACTTGGGGTCTTGCCTATGGGCTAGGATGTCACAAAAGTTTGTGGTTTTATCTCCTGAAGGGAAGGGGGCGAGTGCCCACTCACATGTTCCTCAAAGCTCTCCTTTCCATCTTTTAATTCTTGCTAATCCCTTTGCACAAGCCTCCTCTGTGCACGGATTTTTTTGAATTTAATCTGTGCTACTTTGCATGTCAGATCCCAGCCATTTTTCCATCCTGCATGGAGCACTCTCCTGGCTGTTGCTGCTGTGGGCTGGGCTGTGCTGCTGCTCTGAAAATGTGCCCCTCACTCCCCTCTGCCTCCTGTGCATCACTGAGCCCTGGGCTGCACGCAAATTTGGGGAGAGCTGGGCTGGTGTTATAAAAGAATGCTAAGGTTTTCCTCAAATCAGCCTTAAAGTGGTTCTTTTTAGCCTTGAGGTTGTTCTTTTTAGCACTGAATGCTGAAAATGCAACGTGTTCCATGGTGCTGTGTGTGCTCTTTGTCCCTGCCTTGTGGGAGCCTGTGCGTGGGCTGCTGCTTAGCCTGGAGCTTTGGCACTGAGGATTTGGCTTGTTTTCCTCAACCTGTTGCAATTTTCCTGTGTGAGGTGGTAATTTATTTATTTACTTTTTGTTTTTTGAGTCTCTGCTGTTTGCTGCTCTTGCTCTGCACTCGCTGTGTGCAAAGGGCTTGCAGTGGGGACTGTGAAAGGTGGACAGGAGCGTGGGGTCCCTTGCAAATGCCAAGTGTTTTCTTGGGATATTCCATGGTTTGCATGCTCCCTGCATGGCCTGGCTGTGCCCCTGGTGGATCTGGGTGGTGGCAGGCAGCTCTCCCTGGCCGCTGACAAATTTGGGACAGTCAAGTGTGAAGATGTTGCTGGTTGTGTGCCTCGGTTTGATGATGGTTCTTGATGATGGCTTTCACTAACCAGTCTGTGACTAACTGTGCTTGTTTGATTTCAGAGGGAACATCCCCACGCTAAACAGGTACAGTACTCCTCATCTTCTCCAATTTCAAAAGCCACACTAGATAGAGGGAGCCTAATCCTGAATGTTTCAGCATGTTTTGTTGTACTGCCCTTCTCTTTACTTGGGAAACTCTCCACCATAACTCTTCTTTTACCTTCCCTTTTCTTCTCCCTTTGTCTAAAACATGTTTTCAGCTTTTCTTAAAAAAAAAAAAAAAATTTGCATGCAGCAATCTCTGAAATCAAATTTGCTGGGTAACTCTGCTCATCTGCAGTGTGTTACACAGCAAAGTGCTGTCCTTGGGTCTTTGTTGGCACTGGATTCCCAGGTCTGAATCCCAGAGGACTGACCCTCTGGCAGGGTGTCACAGTGACCCCAGGCAGTTCCTCCCAGCCCAGCCTGGTGCTACCCTGGTTTCTTATGCACAGCTTAGAATTTGTCAGGGCTTCCTCACCTCCCTCACGCCATAGATGAATCTACATCTCAAACAGCTGACAACATGTTTTGTTGTGGTTTGGACGCTAATTTTTCCTCCTGTGTCTCAGTTGAAAAGTATTTCCTGTTTTAAATAATACATGAAAAATGTCTGCTGTCTTTTTGTGCAGCTCCTGTTCTGTGATAGTTTTTGTATTAGTTGTAAGAATGTACACCAAGGCATGTCCTGAAAAATTCCCCTCTTTCAAAACGTGAATACCTATTATTTATTACTGCTTACAAGCCTGTTTAGGGAAAAATAGTAAAAATGGGCTTGGAAGTCTCACGGCTCTTAATCAGAGACAAATTGCAGAAACAGAGAGTGACTTTAGGCATGGAGAGCTATTAATCACACTGATGATACTTTAGACTTGTTAACACTGTACTCAGGGCCGGATCAGTGGGTTTGGTGTGTGGAGAGGAGGAAATCCCAGCAAAGCTGGGAGGTGGCTGTGGCAGGAGTGCTCAGTCAGGTCCTGGCCCTGCTTTTCCCCCTTGCACCTCACAGCTCTGAGGCACCAGGTCTGGTGGGGAATCCATTCCCTGACTTTTTTCCCCATCTCCTCCAGTTTTGGCAGCAGATTTAATGTGTCCCCAAGCCCAGGGAGGGCGAGTGAGGAGTGTGTGGTCCCCGGGCCAGCTCCCTGCTTGTGTCTCTTCAGAAGTGTCACCACCTTGCAGGCAGCTCTGGAAGGAAGTCTGAATTAAGATGAGTCTGTGGTACAGCTCAAAAATTGGTGATAATTACTGCAGAGAAGGCAAACCCCAGCTGTGTCCCCAGAGAAAGGTCCAGTCCAGTCTCATTGTGTGCTTTTTCCTCACTGGGGGAGAACCTTCCTCTGCCAGTCTTGACTGGCATTGTGAATCTTTAAAAAAACATAAAAATCACAGAATAAGTGAGGTTGGGAAAGACCTTCAAGACCATGGAGTCCAACCTGTGACTGATCCTCACCTTGTCACCCAGCCCAGAGCACTGAGTGCCACTCTCAGTTGTTTCTTAAACAGAAAGGGTAGGAATGAGAGTGTTAGACTCAGTAAAGAATTTTGGAGAAGTCACTGTACCATGCTGCATTTGAGGAGTGCAAATTATGGTATGATCATAAAAACAATGGAATCAGTAAGTTAATACAGCATTTGTAAAAATGTACTGAATCCTTCAAGAGTCAAATCTTAGAACTGTTGCTGCTTGAATCATGTTCCACCTGTAAAGCAAAACAGAAAGACAGGAGGAAAAATAAGTTCAGCTTTGTGTAGTCAGGATTCTCCTGTCATCTCAAGAAATACCCTTTTCCAGGGGTTGTAACATCCTTGGCTAACTCTGGGTGTCCCTGTCACTGGCACAGCACCCGGGCAGGGTGGCACCAGAGGCATGGCAGGGCTCTGGGCAGTCCAGCAGGGATTGGTTTCAGAGCATGTGCCCAAACCTGCTCCCATTGCTGTCCCCCCGTGCCCTGCCCCTGCTGACTGTGCTCTTGCTGTTTAGGATGTCCTTCTCCTCCAACCTCAACCACTACGGGATGGCACACGTGGCCAGCGTGAGCGACGTGCTGCTGGACAACTCCTTCACGCCGCCGTGCCAGCGCATGGGCGGGATGGTCTCCTTCCGCACCTTCGAGGACTTTGTCAGGTGTGTGCCCAGCCTGGGCCTGCCTCCTGCGGCCACCCACCTGCCCAGGTCCTGGCAGAGCTGGGGGAAGGCCCTGCCAGGTCTAGAGTCAGCTTTGGGCTGGTCCTGAGCGTGGTTCCTGCTTGGATCCCTGCGGGTGGCCCCGTGCAGCCTCAGGTTGTTGGAGGGATCAGCGTGCTGGGTTCCTGCTGGTTGGGAACGTGCTGATGTCTGCTAATGCTCTGTGCATGTGTGCTTCCAAGCTTTTGGGACAGGCAAACCTCCAGCAGAGCCCTCAGCCTGCACCCAGGAGGTCTCTGACCAATGCTGGACCCAATTTGAGGAATTGCCTCCTCATCTTGGAGCCCAGCAAGGGAAGGAGCCCTTTCCTGCCAGCACTGGTGGCTCAGTGTGGGTGCTCCGTGTGCTGGTGGTGACTGCTCCTTCCCTGGTGCATTCCAGGATCTTTGATGAAGTCATGGGATGCTTCTGCGACTCTCCCCCGCAGAGCCCGACGTTCCCCGAGGCCGGCCACGCTTCCCTCTATGATGAAGACAAGGTAGGGTTTTTTTTCCTTCTGGAAGGTGCTCTGAGGCTGGCAGCAGGGCTGAGGCTGGGTGTTCTTCCCCAGCTGGAGTGCTGGAAGCAGGAGTTAGGAGCTTTGTGTATTTATGGCTGTGATTTGCTTGCTTGTTCCACAGCAGGTGACTCGGCGTGGGCGGCCGCTTTCCAGCTCTGTTCTAAAACTACAGCTCAGCTCTTGCTCTCCATGTAAATTTAGTTTATGGCTTTTAGCATCAGCAGAATTCCTGGATCCACAGCACCATAGCAGAGTTTAAACCCACCATTAAGTCTCCAGACCCTCACTCTGCACCAGGATGTTGAACTGCATCTTCAGCTGTCTTTGTCCTATGTCTGACTTGTCATGTTTCCTGTCTTACACCCTTCCCAGCCACCTCAGATCCTGATTCTTCCCTCACTTCTACCTCTTGGAACTGTTTTTGGGAGGTAAAGCTGCTCAGTTTTTGCAGGGATGTGGAGAACAGGTGCAGAGGCAGCAGGTGGTCCCTAATCCTTAGGGACAGAAGTCCAGTTTCCCTTAGAGACACAGGTAGCTGCTCCACAAGGGTGGGAAGCTCTGCTGGAATACAGCCTGTGTCCAGAACAGGGCTTTGTTTTCCACTGATCCATTGATCCTGATGTATGGAAGCACTTTAGCCTTTTCCAGAATATTACTGTCAACCTTAATGTCCTCAGATCCCTCTCTCTACATCCCCCTCACCTCACCAAGGTAATTTCCTGTCCAGACTCAGTTTATCCCAGTTAATCACAGGCTACTGGAGGCTGATTTTGTAATTCCTTGGAGCTCTAATGGAATTGATGTTTCCACATTATGTCATGTTGTTGTAGATATGGAAACTCACATTGTTTTGCCCTTACACTTTGATTAATTTAATTACTTTCCTTGATGCCAAAGTCCTCTACTGTCCTTGTGCTGGATCTGGTAAAGAGAGGCCCTGACCCTGTGCCCTGTCTCATCCTCAGACTTGGATTCTCCAAAGGAGGCTCCTGTTTGATGTTTGTGGACGTTGACTTCTGTGAAATTGCAGATTTATGGGGCTGTTTGGTCAAGGATTTCCCTCAGAGTTTTCCCTGGTGCTCCTCCGAGTTCATTTCCCCCAGAGCATCTCTGCTTTAAAGCTGGGTTTGGGAGCCTGTTCTGAGGCGTTGGGCTGTTAATTACTGAACCATGAGGAACGTTCCCCTGTCCCTGCAGAGTGCCCGGGAGGAGCCCATCCACATCCTCAACGTGGCCATCAAAACCGACGGCGACGTGGACGACGACGGCCTGGCTGCCATGTTCAGGGAGTTCACCCAGAGCAAGGTGAGGTCCCTGCACCCCTCTGCCTCACCCAGGGCTTGGGGAAAACTGTGTTCTCTAGCTTTGGGGTGTTTTGTTTGGTGTCAAAGCAAGCGTGCTGCACTTACATCCTTAATTTATCCCCGCTGGAGCCTTCCCGTTTGTTTGGCTGGATGTAGCTGCACCTTCCTGAAGGCACCAGGTCATTGTTTCTCCTTCTAATCTGTCAGCTCAGGGTTCTTCCCTTTAATTTTTGATGGGATGAAAGACTTGGAAGGTTTTAAACACATCAGGTCAATCTTCAGTAGGTGTCCTACGCGCTCTGAAAAATGTGTTCTGTGCCTTTCCCTGGTGATAAAGTTGTTGGATGAGCAACAGCACCATGTAAAATGACATTAAAATGTCCTGTATTTGTGTATCGCCAAAGTCTTAATGCAATTAAAGTTAACTGCCCTTGTTAGTGTGCTGGAGCATCCACCTTATACAATATTCCTGGCATGAGGAGGAATTATTTGGCATGTTCTGTTGCTCCTTCCTAAGTGTGGGATACACCTTAGAGTCCCAAATGTCACTGCTGGGTCAGCTGTGGGACAGCCTGGCTTGGGAACAGCCTCCTTGTGTCCACTCTGGGCTCTGCCTGCACCTGCTTTTCTGTGGTGAGAAGAACCCCACTGGTCTGTGGGGCTGAATATCCCACCAGGAGCTGGGATTCCTGGTGCTGCACTGGTTTTGGGAGCACGGAAATGGCACCTCCACCTTCTCAGTGTGGGAGCTGGGAACACACCCTGCAGAAATCAGGGGCTCCAAAATGGGACTGGCATCCTCGTGGCTTCAGCAGCTTCCTGTCTCTTTAAACAAGGAAAACAATCAAATCTAAGAATTAAAACTAGTTCTGCTTTTCATCTGCTTGATCATGCTCCAGGCGTTTTATGGGAGGGGAAAAAAGGAAAGAAATAAAATATATATAAAAAAAAAAATCCAAAACCACATTAAACTATCAAATAGGTTGATCCAAATTGTCCAAATAATCTTCCAGTCCCAGCATGTTGTGTGTGGTTTTTTTAATAGAAATTAGGATCATATACTTGTAAATGACTTGTGGAGGAGATTGAGGCAGTCAGTGGAAATGGAGTTTCTCCAGGTGCTGATGGCTAATCGCTCTGTAATAGCTGTGGCCTTGCTGGGAGACCCACATTATTACCATGTAATCAGAATCCTGTTGCTCTGCTGTTATTGTCTGCCACTTGTGGAATTTTAAAAGCAATAACAATTTTTGCTTTTTAAATCATGGCATTATTAAAGTTATTTTCTTCTTCTTGCCATGAATATAGTCACTGCTGCTCATTTTCAAAGGGCTTAACCTTAGTAAAACATCACAGTCTGTGCAGAGAGGAGCTGCTTTGCTCCTGCTTGAGCTGAGCTGTTGTTCCTCCTTGTGTTCTTTGCTTTTAAATTGGAAGAGGGAGGAGGAAGGAGAAAAGTTTGAAAAAGAGAAATACGAGATCTTGGCACTTTAAAGAGTGAGTGCTGTGGCAAATACTGATGGCAGCACTCCTCTGAGAGGGGAATGTGAGGAAGAAGCAGCCAGAGTGGATATTCTGTGGTCTGTTTGAAAACAATCAATGGCATCTGACTTGTAGCACCTTTGCCATGTGGAATCTTGGAATCTCAGGGTGGTTTGGGTTGGAAGGGACCTCAAGGCCCTGCCTGACATCCCATCTAACCCATGTCCATCTAATTCTTGTGTTCCTCTCCCTTCTGTTTTAATGCCCTTAAGGGACTGGAAGGTCACAGTGAGCCCCCCAAAAGTCTTCTCCAGGCTGAGAGCCTGGATGTGTGCTTTGGACTGGGTTATCCATGAGATACTGTGCCAAAGGCAGGCATGAGCCACATCTTCCATGGGTTAGCTCCTCTAAAACTCAATTTCCATCATCTTCCATGACCTTACCCCATCTGCACCGTGCTCCCTCCAACACCCAATCCTGGCAGATGAACAAGGGAATTTCCTGCAAGATTTGGGGGTGACTGTTCTGCACTCCTGCTCAGCCAGGCTCAGCTGGAGTTCAGTGCTCCTGTGATTTAGTTATTTACCTGCTCGGGTGGAAGGGATCTGGGTGTTTATGCTGCTAAAGCAGCAGCAGGTAGGAAATCCTCGCTCTGAGGAGGCTGAAGGGGAGCAGGAGCTCAGAGGCAGAAGGATCTGCAGAGCTTTTTCACTTCACAGAGGGTTCCAGAGGGTTTTTATCTGTTCTTTTTCTGCCAGTCCAGTCAGCTGTTTCCACCCTTGTTTTTGCAGAAATCAGTCCTGATTGAGCATGGCATTCGGAGGCTGACTTTCCTTGTAGCACAAAAGGTATTTCCATCTCTCTCCTGATGCTCAGAACTCCTTGGTTTCTAGCTCATTATACCATTGGCATCTGACATGTTTTTCCCCCAAATTAAATGCTGTGTTTAGTTCTCTCTTCACTGTTTTTGTCCTCTAAAACTTGAGATGGTTTTCATGAATTTTCTTAAGAAAATTAATTTACAATTGTAAGCAATCTTGACGCCTCTTGTATTCTTGAATTAATTAAGTTTTGATTTTAATCCTAATTGCTAGCTGTCTTCTGCTTTTTTTTTTCTTCCTATGTGTGTGTGTTTCGTTTGTAAGGACTTCAGGAAACAGGTCAACTATGAGGTGGATCAGAGATTCCATGTAAGTAAAAAGGGCCTGGAACACGGTGGCATTCCTGATGTGAGGCCAGGAGACACGCAGGGGGCTCTGGGCTTCTCATCTGGATCTCAGGCAGGCATTTAATGCCCACACTCTGCCAAAGTGAAGTGTTGAAGTATTTATTTGAATATCTAACTGCAAACCCAGGCTGGGCCCATGGCATTTGGAGGGGCCACTGGGGCTCTGAGTCTCCCTGGTTACCTGGCTGAGCTCAGGAAGCCACACTGATAAAGATTTCCTTGTGTTTCCTTTCTGTTTAAAGTGCAATTATCAGTGAAACCTTTGTCTTCGGTAGTGTGGTGATTTCTTTTGACTTCTTGCTGATTTTAAGATAACTTAGGGCAGTCACTGTAGGGACTAGTTAAATTTTGCAGAGTGGTTTTGTGATGTGGGAAATGTTTGATGCTCTTACTGCTGAGAATTACTTCTTTCCCCAGGGCCTGGGCATCAGTGAGGCCTGGTTTAGTTGGCCATGCAAGGCATAAACCAGATTTTTATCCCTTGGGTATCTACTTTTCAATTCTGGAAGATTTCAGGAGCCTTTGAAGTGCAAGAAATTCACCCTGTGCTCAACACAGCTGGTCTAGGAAGGTTTATGAAAGGAAAACTAGTTTACAAATCAGCAGAAATAGTGTTTGAACCTGGCACCACGTGGGAATTGTTGCTCACAGTACAGGTACAGAGGTGCCAGTCAGCAGCTTAGGAAACTGGATTTTGTGGAGAGTCTTTTGGGACATTTAGCAAGAAAAATCTAGCTTTTGGTTTGAAAAAGGAAGTTTTGGAGAACAGAATGGGTGTTGGGGGAATGAAATGTCAGAGTTGCCGAGTAAGTGCTGTGTCAGAGGTCAGAAGGGAGGCACAGAACAGAAGGAACCATCCCCAAGCTCTCCCTGGACCCTCAGTGTGGCTGCAAAGTTTGTGGAGCTGCTCTCTCAGTCCTTATTTCTGTCTGCTGTCCCAGCCCCTTCATTACTGGACCAACTATTAACTTAGCCAGGGCCTGGGCTTGGGTTTGTTTTTGTTTTAATTACAGTCTATATAATTAGTTCCCAGCATGTTGAGGTAATAGAGAGTTGCTCCAGCAAGCTTCCAATTTCCTCATCTCATTAGGTTTTTAACGTGATTATTAGTATAATAATCAACTCTGATGATTTCTGGTGCAGCTTTTCGCATTCTGCAGTTTGCAGGGTGTCTTGATTGGCTAATTTAGCCAAATTATTTTGATTGTCTTGATGATGGTTGGTTGATTAGAACACAGCAGGGGTATAATTCTTCTGCCTAGGAAATGGAGCACTCTTTTGGATTTTGGTACCAGGGCACTGAGGATTTTTGTGTGTCTGCACATCTAATTATGATATTTGCCCAGCACACCAGTGAGGTGCCCTGGAAGCAATTCCATTAGTGGTGGAATGAGCCTGGAGATGGTGGGAGAAGCTGGCAGTGTGCAGAGGAGGACAGGTAGGAGGGGTTGGGAGGAGTGAGGAAACATGGAAGAGGTTGTTTCTTAGATGAGGCTCACAGACAACTGATATATTGGGTGAGCCTGAATTTTTAGGCAGCATTTCATGTACCCCCGCTTATTTTGGAAGAGTTTCCAGGCAAACACGAGTTGTTTTGCCCAACTGAGAGTCATCAGGTGAGGTTTGGGGGCTGTTTTACCTAGGAGGGAAGGAAGATGACCGACTAGAATAGTACTTTTAGCCTAAAAATCTGTGTTGCTCAGTGGTGGCTTGTACAGTGTCACTGGTTGTCGCACTCCCCCCAGCTGGGGTTGTTCATCTTTCATGGATAATGGAATGTGAGCCAGAAATTCAGTGACTCCAGGTCAGATTCCCTGTTTTTTGCTTAGTGAGACAATTCTGGCGAGTTGTGTGTGTCCCTTCAGGTCACCTTCAGCACAGGCAGCAGTGTTCTCACGTGGTGCCAAGCACTGACCAAAGCTCTGCCCAGTAAAAGTCTGATTCCAGAGGAGGGGTGGATCTGCCTGGGTGGAACTGGAGGGACAGGATGCTGTCTAGGCTTTCTCTCTTCATCTCAGATTTGTACAATATTTCAAAAAACTCCCAAGGCTCTGCCAGGGCTTTATCTATGCAATAGAAAACCAGAGAAACCCAGTGGTACATGGGGGATTTTTGTAATGTGCCAAAGGCAAGCATGAGCCACATCTCCCATGTGCTCCTTTAAAACTCATTTTCTGTACAGGAGAATAAAGTTATTTGATTGCAACTCCCAGTTTTCCTTGGGAAGAGAGTATTTCTGGCAGTAATGGTATGAAGAGAGGTCTAGAATTAGATCACTGTTCTGTGTACATCTGCATCCATAACAGTGTTCCTATCACTCCAGACATTTCCACAGCAATCTTAATCATAACAGATCTAGAAAAAGTTTCCCACTGCTGTCTGGACACTCCTGTGTTATCTGTCAATAGCTGACAATAATCATCTAAAGCAAATCAAGTAGCCTGTTTTGCATTAGTGAGGGCAGGTTTAAGCTGCCTCTCCTGTCTAGAAGGTGACTTGATTTTCCATCACCTTTGTGATGTTGAGAAAGTAGCTGGGAACAGCTTGTGTCACCTCCTGTGCTGTGGTGCAGCCCCAGGAGTGGCCTGAGAGCGCTCTGGGGACATCAGTGCTTGTTTGGGAGCCCTAACACTGTTGTTTTTATTTTCAAACAGAGGGAATTCCCAAAGTTCTTCACCTTCCGTGCCCGGGATAAGGTGAGTTGGATATTCTTAACACTTTTCCCCAAGTGTTGGCTTTATCCTTCTTTCATGCAGCGATTCACTACTCAGAATCAGGACAAAACCTTCTGGTTTCTGTGGAAATGAGGGTTTTTTCAGGGGGGTGAGCTTGAGAACTTGCTGTCCTGCAATTTGTATTATTCAACAATTTCACAGCTCCCAGTGCTGCATGAGATAGAAAAGTCTGGGTTGGATTGGTTTGAGTTTTTAGAGTTTGAGTGAAATATGAAATTTCCAGAGGGGCATTGTGGAGTTCTTAGCTGGGTGTTTCACCTTTTCACTGCCCTCTTTCCCCCCTCTGCTGTGCCCCTGCAGTTCGAGGAGGACAGGATTTACCGGCACCTGGAGCCAGCCCTGGCCTTCCAGCTGGAGCTGAACCGCATGAGGAACTTCGACCTCACGGCCATCCCCTGTGCCAACCACAAGATGCACCTCTACCTGGGGGCTGCCAAGGTGGAGGTGGGCACTGAGGTGACAGACTACAGGTTCTTCGTCAGGGCCATCATAAGGCACTCGGACCTGGTGACCAAGGTGAGTTTGTCCCTGTCCACGGTGCTGAGTGAAAGCCAGGGTCATCCTAGGGAGCTGCAGGATCCAAAACTGACCATTCCCTCTCTGGAGGGCTGGGGGCTGTGCCCTCTCCTTGCTGGTGCTGCTCTCAGAACCATCCCTTTGAAGCCCTGCTATTCCTGTGCTCCAGAGAGATTTTTCAGGGGCCCAAGAGGAGAGTCATAAATCCTTAGATCTTGAGGCAGCAGTGGCTTGCCCTGTGTGGTTTCAGATTTACTCTGAGCTAAAGGAGGGCACAAGGCAGCCAGGTGTGGGATGCAGGCACAGGGAGCCCTGGCTCTGAGCTGGGGATGGATCTGCTCCGGGGCTCTGTGTGGGCTCTGTCCTCCCCATCACATCCTCCTGCAGTTTTCCAAACCCTGCGTCCTCGGGCAGTGATTTGTGAGTCAGAACTCAGTGGTTTGTTGGCAATTCTGGCAGGAAGCCTCCTTTGAGTACCTGCAAAACGAGGGCGAGCGTTTGCTGCTGGAGGCCATGGATGAGCTGGAGGTGGCCTTCAACAACACCAACGTGCGCACGGACTGCAACCACATCTTCCTCAACTTCGTGCCCACCGTCATCATGGACCCCTCCAAGGTGGGAGCTCCCGCCCAGCTCGGGGCTGGTTGTCTTTCCAGGGCTTTGCTTGTCAGAACTAAAAGGCCTTTTGTTCATAGAGTCACAGAATCGTGGAATGGTTTGGGGTGGAAGGGACCTTAAAGCTCATCCTGTTCCAGCCCTGACACTTCCCACTGTCCCAGGTTGATACAAGCCCCATCCAGCCTGGCCTTGGGCACTGCCAGAGAAGGGCAGCCTTTGCCAGGGCCTCCCCACCCTCACAGGGAGGAATTTCTTCCCAATATCCCACCCAACCCTGCCCTCTGGCACTTTAAAACTGCTTTGGTGTGCAGCTCGGCTCCTCTGTGTAAACTGAGGGACAAGTATTGGAAATTTGTTTTGTGTTTGAAACCAAACCTATTTTTTCATTTGTGTGTTTGAGGTAAACAGTTTTAATAAGGAAGCAGATGTAAGTGCTCTTCTGTTTGTTGCAAAAGTTCAGATTCCTTCCAAATAAAACATGAGATAAATTGGGAGCTTAAAAAGAATCTGTAAATTCAGCTACAAAAGTGCCTCATTTTCAGTCTGTGGTACCAAACCACAGAGATGAACATTATAAATAAATGAACATTTAGCTTTGTGGATGCACAAGTGAAGTTGTTCAGGCATAGAGAATGTTTGTGGTTAGCAGAATCACCACAAAGCAAGCCCCAAGTCCAGGCTGACTTTAGCTGGAAATCAGCATTCAGTTCATGGGTACTCAAAGATGAGAGCTGACCTTTCCTGAGGAGAACAGCTGAAAGTTATAAAGATGAATTGGGTATCAAAATAACTCTCTCTTGCTTGCTGACTTTTAAATCATGATTAAAAATTGGTGGCTTAAATCCCTTTTGAATGAACCTTTCCTGGTGCGTCCAGAGCCGTTGGTTCCCAGGAAGTTCAGAAGAAGCTGGAATATTCATCCCTGGAAGTTGGGCTGCCCTCACATACAAACCATGACTTTTCCTTGAGCTGCTGTGCAAAAGAGACTTTTTTTTTGGGAAAAATGCTTAACCCAGCCTATAAATTGCCTTCTTTTAATATGCACTTTGCCCACAGTGGTATTTTATAAAGTTTAATAGAAGAGCAGAAGGCCCAGCTCCAAGTGGTAATTGCTTTGTTGATTTAAAGCTCCGTGCAGGCAGTGAAATGTGATTATTGTGCATACACGGCTACAAAACTGCCAAGGATTTGGCTTCCCTGGGTTCTGTAGTTCCCAGGTGTGAGCTTTGCCTGTGGAGGGGAGGCAGGGGGTCCCTGTGCTGGGGTGGGGTGGTTGGACTGATGATCATCAAGGTCCTTTCCAACTCAATGATTCTGTGGTTCTGCGTGCCATGAGGAAGCAGGGGTTTGAATCCAGCACTGTCCCACTGCATCAGTGCCCAGGTGGCGTTCCTGCCTGTCTGAAGGCTTAGGATGAGGAGGGACAGGTCACCACCATAGCTGCAGTGGCCTCGTGCAGTGTGGTGCTTCTTCCCCACCTCAGAGCAGCAGGATGCGGGGGATGCAGAGCAGTGGTGGATCCAGGAAGAATCCCAGAATGGTTTGGGTTGGAAGGGACCTCAAAGCCCATCTCGCTGCACCCCTGGCACGGGCAGGGCCCCTCCCAGGTACCAGGTGGGCTGCTGAGGAAGGCTTCTCCCTGCAGATCGAGGAGTCGGTGCGCTCCATGGTGATGCGCTACGGCAGCCGCCTCTGGAAGCTGCGCGTGCTGCAGGCCGAGCTGAAGATCAACATCCGCCTGACGCCCACGGGGAAGGCCATCCCCATCCGCCTCTTCCTCACCAACGAGTCGGGCTACTACCTGGACATCAGCCTCTACAAGGAGGTGACGGACTCCAGGACGGCACAGGTACGTCCCTGGGGACGTGGGGCTGGATGGGGCTGGCAGGAAGGGGACACGTTTACAAAAATCCCCCTCAGCGTTACAGGCCGGGGATGGTGTGGCTGGGCAGGGCTCAGGGGAAAGGGACCTGGGGGTGCTGATGGACAGGAGCTGGACATGAGCCAGCAGTGTGCCCTGATGGCCAAGAAGCCAATGGCTCCTGGCCTGGACCAGGAATGGTGTGACAGCAGAGCAGGGAGCTCATTCTGCCCCTGCACTCAGCACTGCTGAGGGCACACCTCGAGTGCTGTGTCCAGGTCTGGCCCCTCAGTTTGGGAAGGATGTTGAGATGCTCGAGCACATCCAGAGGAGGCAACGAGAATGGTGAGGGGCTGGGAACACAAACCCTGTGAGGAACGTTTGAAGGAGCTGGGGTTGTTCAGCCTGGGTTTGGCCTGTTTAGCCCTATGAGGAATGTTTGAAGGAGCTGGGGTTGTTCAGCCTGCAGAAGAGGAGGCTCAGGGGTGACCTCGTTGCTCTCCACAACTCCTGAAGGGAGGTTGCAGACAGGTGGGGTCGGTCTCTGCCCCCCGGCAGCGCTGACAGAACCAGAGGACACAGCCTCAGCTACATCAGGGAAGGTACAGGGTGGATACTAGGAAAAAAAATTTCACCCAAAGAATAGTAAAGTACTGAAACTGTCTTCCCAGGGAGATGGTGGAATCACCATCTCTGGATGTGTTTAAAAAAAGACTGGACATGGCACTCGGTGCTATGGTCTAGTTGAGGTGTGAGGGCATGGGTTGGACTTGATGATCTCAGAGGTCTCTTCCAGCAGATAGAAGAAAATCTGTGAACATGTCCTTTAAATTCTAAAGATATAAGGAATGACCTGGGTAGGAAGATGTAAAATTACGGAAGCTCCTTTTATATCATTTTTCTGTAGTGTAATGGGCTCCTCTGTAATGGCTGTGGTTGTTGTGGTATTTCTGTTTTCCGTGGTGTGGGAACAGTGTGGTTAACTGAAATACCTACATATGCTAAAATCCATGGAGCATGGGATGCATGGAAAATATTTAAATAGAGAAATGTTTACATCTCCCTCTGTAATCATCTCTCTGCCAGGCAGGAGAAGCAGCAGAATAAATCACTTGGGCACTGTGAATGTAGAACACAAAGTGCTGAGTCACCTTTCTCCCCCTTTTTCCATTTAATTTTTCCAGCGAGCTGCTGGCCGTGGAGTCCATCCAGCTCCGAGATCCCAGAGCAGATAGTGTCAGTGTGTTTTACCTCATTCCTGCCTTTGAGGGGAGATGAGGAAAGAAAAGAACATTTTAATAATCTCCAGCAGCTCAGCTTAACCCTTGAGTTGGGTCAGTCACTTGTGAAGGTCACCAGTGAGCTCTGAACTGATGAGCTTTGTTATTTAAAGCTTGGGGAATGGGCTTGTGTGGGTGTGTGAGGCTTTAGCAACTTTTCCAGTATTAAATTTTATTTGTTTTCCAGAATATTACACTACATTTTAGTAAAAAAAAAATACTGATATTTTTAGGACCTCCTCATAATGGAGGTTTATAGGGCGAGTTCAGATCTGGGGATTTTTCCCTGTGTTTCCAGAGGGTTCTTTTAAATTTAGAGAGATTAAAAAAAAAAAATCACATATTACTGATGTGCTGAGTGCTTTCATGACTTCTGAAGAATGGGAAGATGGCTTCATGGTGAGAGAATGACCCTGATCTCTTGTTTCTCAGTAGTGATAAGTGGTGATGCTCAGAACAGACTTCTCCAGTTCCCTTCAGAGCTGCTGTGGAGCTTTCCAGAGATTTAAGGAGAATTTCCAAGTGCAGATCCTGACAGATCCCAAGACAGGCATTGTCACAAACACTCATTACCTTGAACAAATGCTTGTCCTGTTAAAGAAGCTGCCTCCCAAATTAACGTTTGTGCAGACTGAAGAGAGCATAAACTGCTGGTTTTATCTAAAAATAAAAATAGGCTTTACTGAATTTTGTGTAATTCTTCAATTAATTTCTCTTCAATTAGCTCAGTTCTGTTAAACACATCCTAATTATGTCCCTCCTGCCGGATGTGTCCCTGTTAAGCAGCGTTTGGGCCATTTGAGGCGTTTTTATCCCGTTTTTAAGTCCTCCTGTTCTCCGTTGAAAAGCTTCCCTTCCAAGTCCTGCCTGCCCAGAATATATAGTGCCATGAAGCACGGCAGTTGATAATTCATGTTGCTGCTGTGGGAAAATCTTTTAAACTTACAATATCAAAACTTCAAGCCCGATGACATATGCAAGCCTTGACCCGGCTCGCGGATCCCGCTCCATAAATAACGGGGTTCTCCTGGCTGCTCCTGGCCAGCAGCATCCGTGGCACAGACACGGGCTCAGGGCAGCTGCTGGGCACTGGGAGCTCCTCTCAGGCCCCAGTTTGTGCTGGGGATGGGGCTCTGCGTGCTCTGGGCTCTGCTGGGATGGGGCAGTAGGTCTGGGATGCTGAGATCGTGCGGTGCCGGTCCTGAGGTGTCCCCAGCGGGCAGCAGTGAGTGATGGAGCCTGGCTGTGCCAGCACGAGCAGCCTTGCAGAGGGCAGGGAGGAGCAGGCTGGAGCAGCCTGGGGGTTTTTGGTGAGAGCTGGAACGGCTCTGTGTACAGAACCCACGGTTTGTCCTGCAGATCATGTTCCAGGCGTATGGAGACAAGCAGGGACCGCTCCATGGGATGCTGATCAACACTCCCTACGTGACCAAAGACCTGCTGCAGTCCAAGAGGTTCCAGGCACAGACTTTAGGGACATCCTATGTCTATGACATTCCTGAGATGTTCAGGCAGGTGGGTATTCTTTGGGCTCTTCTCATTGCTCATGTCTTTGCCATCCTGATTGTCAGTCCTGGACTGGCTGCCGGGGGTCCCCAGGGAGTATCAGCTATGGGCTGAATCTGCTTTGGATGAAATCAGGATAAACTGCTGCTGGGTGGAAGCTGGCACAGAAACCATCTCCCCTCCCTTGTTGCTGTTTCTTTGTTTTCCCACCTTGTCGTCTGCCCTTCCTAAATGGAATTTCTGATTTGCTGTGTTCTATCCCAAACCACCTCATTCACGTTTCGCTTTGGGGGAAACTGTTTCATGATTCAAATCCCAGAGCAGGGGATATCCCTGGGATACCGTCAGTCACGCTGGCAGGAGGGATATTTCGGGGCGTGCTGAGTTGGGAATAACCCCAAATTCTGGGGATGCCACTGCAGTGGGCTGAGCAGGAGCATTGGCGGGCGGCGTTCTCAGCGAGGATTTCTCTCTGCGCCCGCAGTCGCTGATCAAGCTGTGGAACTCCATGAACGAGCACGCCTTCCTGCCACCAACGCCGCTGCCCTCGGACATCCTGACCTACACGGAGCTGGTGCTGGATGACCAGGGCCAGCTGGTGCACATGAACAGGCTGCCAGGAGGAAATGAGGCAAGTGCCCCTTCCCTTCCTGCTGCTTCTCCCTCCACGCCCCACAGCACCTTGTGCTTTGGGCTGGGTTTGACAATTCTAATGAAAATTTACCGGCCAGGCACAAAATCTATCCGTTCAGCCTTTCGCAGATGAAATCTCACTCGTGAAAATGAGATTTTTGTTTCATTAAAAATTAATACCTCGCCTACAATGGGTATTTTAACTTCCATAGTAAATGATGATTCCATTTCAACCTGTGCCTATGCTGGGCTTCCTTCATAATTAAAAAATGCTCATTCAGCTGTTTCAGGTAACTGGGGTTTGTATTTGAGCAAAATGTGTTTTACAAGACTAAATAGAAATATTTTCATTTGCTGGGAAAAAACACAAACCACAGAAAAATCTATTTTATGCTTCCATTTCCATCCTCCCCACACAGTTTGCATCAAGGTGTGTGGAACCTCCCACTCTTGAGCAGGATTTACTCAGGAGTTACAACGAGCTGATGCTGGGGATGGCAGAGTCACTCCTGGAGCTCGAGCAGGAGGAGACTTTGCTGCCATGGTGGGGTTTTGCTGGAGTGTCTTCCCATTAGGAAGGCAAAAATTGCAGCTTTGGAGTGACTGCAGAGTAAAGAGAATCACTAGAAGATGTGGTGGTTATTTTTGTGGGAATTAGTAAGCGAATGTTCTAAAGTAATTTAAATTTGAACAGTTCTAAGTGATGGTATCATTTGTTTTTTCTTGGTGTCATTGAACTGTATTTTCCTAAAAACACAGCTTAAGGTTTGCAAAGGCTCTGTTAAACCCATCAGGGTAGGGGTGCAAGGAAACAGAGGTTTTCCTCACCATTCCTGCATGGATCTTGTCAGGGAAGGTTTGGAATAAGATTTCTACAAATTACCCCTGATGGTGTCCGTGGGGTTGCTGCGGCCTTGTCTTCTGCCGGACTTGAGGAGAAGTGTTTGAACTGGTCTAATTAAAGCTGGAATGAGCTATTCCTGTGTTCCCAGTGCACACTGAGGCTGCTGGGGAGCCTTGTGCCATCATCTTTCTCTCTTTCCCTGCTCTCATTCAGCGTTTGAGTGGATGGTGGCTGGGGAAATAGCAAAGTCCCTCAGGGACGTCGCTCTGTTCTTGCTGAAATTACAAGCACAGAGCTGCCTGGGCATGAACATGTAGTGTTTACTCTGCCAGTATGAATACAAATAGTCTTATTATAAGAGATTCTGTACCCAAAGACCACCAAAAAAAAAAAAAAAAAAATTAGGAGATTTTTTTTTAACCCTTGGTAGACTTTGTTGTGCTCGGTCTGTAAAGAAATTATATGGCTGTAGTGGTGTGTTGGTATTTAAATGGATCTGATCTGATGTGATCTATCAAATGTCTTCTTGCCCAGAGGGGTTGTAGAGGCTGTGGGTTCCTCATCCTTGGAAGTGCCCAAGGCCAGGTTGGATGGGCTGGGAGCAGCCTGGGACAGTGGAAGGTGTCCCTGCCCATGGCAGGGGTGCCATTGTGTGCTCTGAGGTCCCTCCAGCTCCACAGTGGGGTCTGTGCCCCAGAGATCCGGAGCTGGTTCCAGTGAGCTGACTGACAGGTGAAATAGGAACTTCTCAGGTTAATGTGAGATTTTTATTATTATTTTTCTTTCTTGCTAGCAAAAGGTGCTGATTCTCTGAATTCAAAGTCATTGGAGAGATTGGCCATTGTGTTTTCTAGGAGATATCTGCTGGGAATTGCTGTCTGTTGGGTACATTCAGGTTCCTGCTCTCCTTCTTTTGGATCAGAGCCATTCCCACACTTCCAGGGGGAGCCTGGCACCTGGGAATTGGAGCTTGGCCTTCCTCACAGCTGCATTTCCTCCTTGTGAAAAGGGGAAAGACACTCTTGCTGTTACAGCATTCAGTTGAGCTGAGTACCCTGAGTATCTGAGCTGATGGGAGGAATTGAGAAACCAGCATAAAATCCAGATTTGTGGGCAGCATGTTCAGCCAGAGCTGCAATCCCTGCTCTGACACGGGGCAGGGCAGGAGCTCCAGCCTGGGGCTCTCCCTGTCCTCACAGAGAGTTGGCAAGTAGCATTTTGGGCAAAAATCTCAGTGTTTTCAGGAAAATCTTGAGGTCTCAAGGCTTTTCCCAGTCCCAGAGGTTTTCTTGGCGTAGCTCAGGACCACTCCCCTCACCCACCACGCCACTGCAGTAATTAGCTCTTTGCTGTGGTCTCAACAAAGAAGCCAAGGAATTAATGGACTGTGAAAATACAAGTTGCTCTTTATTCCTAGACTGCTCTGGCTGCTCCAGAGCAGAGGGTCCCAGTCCTTGTGCTGCTGCCCTTGGGGCACAGCACCATCACTTTCCCAGCCTCTGACCATCCAGAGGACACCTCTTTTTCCACTTTGTCACAGAATCCCAGACTGGTTTGGGATTCTGTGATTTTAAACCGCATCCTGTTCCACCCCTGCCGTGGACTGTGCTAAAATGGGGAAATCTCTGAAAGATTTGGGAATTGGGTGAGCACAGAGCAGTTCAGGAGTGTATCCACCACTGTTTAAATCACCGTGCTGGAGACAAGACCTGGAGCACAGTGACACCCCCTTCAAAGCCCAGGGCTTTGTTCCCAAGATTAGCATATTAGCACAAATCTCAGTGTGAAAAGGTAATTCCCTCAGCCCCTTGCAGAACTCAATATATTCCTTGTCAGTCCTGAGCCAGGCATTGGGATGCTTTTCTATAGCACTTTATGTATTTTGACTACAATTTCCCCTGATCCTCTGGCACCAGGAAAGCACCAGCTGCTGATAAGACCCAACTAATCTTCAAGGACAAGGAGAAAGTGATGTAAGGAGGGCCAGCAGCAACACCCCACATCCCCCTTCATCCCTCTCCTGGCACCCATGGAAAATGTGTCGTTTTCCCCACTGGCACTAGATGTCACAGTTTTTCCTCCTCAGGATCAGAAATGATCCACAATCACCGCTGCTTGCTGGAGCTTTGGCTGCAGCACCTTTCCTGGGTAGCTGGGAAGGTTTGGCCAGGGGAAATTCAGGATGGCAGAGGGCTCCTGGAACGCTGCTCTGGTGGCTTTCCGGATTGCCAGAGGCAGAAAGGTGTAGCTAATGCATTTTATACAAGCACAGCTTAATCGTTGAGCTGCATGTTCTGCTTTGTCACCCCCTGTTCCTGCGTTTTATGGCAGGCACAGGGAATTAAAACAGCAGCGAGAGCTGCAGATTTCTCAGAGGGTTTTAAAATCCCCAAATCCAAACCTTCCAGGAACAGAGATGGAGGAGGTGGCACAGTTTTATTCTCTGTGCTCATGTGGATGTTAGAACAGGTGTATGTGGTTCACATGGACACTGTGGACAGAAATGTTCTTGCCCCCAGGAAAGCTCCTGGTGAAGGTTGTCTGTTACTCTCTGTAATGTATCTTTACCCATCTGTAACTTCAGGAGGAATTTCTCCATGGAAAGGGTGGTCAGGCACTGGAAGGGGTTGCCCAGGGAAGTGTTGGAGTCCCCATCCCTGGAAGTGTCCAAGGAATGACTGGATGTGGCACTCCGGTCTGGGTGACAAGGTGGGGACGAGTCACAGGTTGGTCTGGATGATCTTGGAGGTCTGTTCCAAACCTGGATGGTTCTGGGATTCTGTGACACCTTTCCCTGAGCTCCTGGTCTCATGCTGGAGCTGTTCCCTCCCATCGCTCAGATCGTGCCAGCGTGTTTGGCTGGGCTGCCACCACCGTGCTCGGATTGCTGAGGGACACCTTTTCCAGAGCCAAGAAGGAATCCTGGGTTTTGGCACTCCACCCTTGTCAAGGTACGGAGCTGGAGTGCCTCTGGCACACCATGTGCACTCTGCCCTTTTCCTGGGAGCTGCTTCATGCTCCAGATAAAATTTTGAAAGCTCTGCACAGTGTAAGTGCAGAGAGTAATGTTGAGGAGGATCTCTTTCAGATCCGAAGTTCCAGGCAACACTTTCAAATGATGAAATGCCAAAATTGCTGCAGCTGCACCAAGTAAATACCCACATTCAGCTTTCCAAATTTGGGATGTAAATGGATTAAATGAAGCCTGGCCTTCAGTCCCCATGCTCAGCACCATCCTGTAGTGAGGGAAGTAGAATAAACAACACTGATCACTTCTCCGTGGTGCCCAGTGGCAGGACCTGAAGGAACAGCTGGAGCTGTGCCAGGGGCAGGTTTAGGTTGGCTAGCAGGAAAAGGTTTTTCCCCCAGAGGGTGGTGGAGCACTGAACAAGCTCCCTAGGGAGTGGTCAAGGCTGCCAGAGCTCCAGGAGCGTTTGGGCAGTTCTCTCAGGGATGCACAGGCTGGGATTGTGTCTGTGCAGGGCCACAAGTTGGGCTGGATTATCCCTTCCAGCTCAGGATATTCTGTGATTCTCTTGGCTGTGCTTCTCCAGGAGTTACAGAACCTGCCAGAAAGAGGCAGAAAAGCTCCCTCTCCCCAGCAGCAGCTGCCACTGGCATTGGCTCCCCTCTGCTCGAGCCTGCCGTGCTTCCCGTTGGGAGCCTGGGATCGGCTCCTTCCCCGTTCCCCTCGGTGCCTGCTGTCAACAGCTCTGCCTGCCACCAGCAGTCAATTTGGAACTGCATCAGTGTGTGTATTACTGCTCCCATCGATAGTGCAATTAATGTTGAAGTCAATTTTGGTGTTAATTTTAGGCCATGATTAGTGTTGACACTGGGTGTCAAACGAGCGGCGTTTACGAGCGCCGGGGAAGCGCCGTTCGTTAGCGCGCCCGTTTTACTGGCTCTTAATGCTTCCATTAGGGCCAGGATGGAGTGGGAGAAGGTGTGTGTAAAATTATACATCTGAAACTTGGGTGTCATCTCCGTGTGTCGTGCAATTCTGCGGGGCTGGGGCCGTTCAGGGAGCAAATGACAGCTGAGCACTGAATCCTAATCACAGTTTGGAGCATCAGAAATAATGATCACTTCTGATCGGGGCTTGTGAATAATTCATCCCCTTTGATTTTCACGTGCTGCCCACTGATACTTTTCAAACCAAATGTGTTCCTACAGGAGAATAATGGTCCCACTTCTTATGGAAATACCAGGGCACAAATCATTTTGCCAACATAAAAACAGTTAAATAAGACGGTTCCTGCTTTTATTTTTTCTCCGCCTCTTCTTCACTCCTGGGTGTGCTGGGAATGGAGCTGTGGCAGGAGCAGCACTTCCAAACTGTGCTGCCTCTCCAAAAGAGCTTGTTCCAAAGCCAGGGCTGCTCACCATCACCTACTGTTGCCTGCCAGTGCTCTTAGGTGATTAGCTCAGCCTGGCTAATTAACCTGGGAACTCTCCAGTTTTTGGAGTGCTGCCGTTAACTTAAAAATCTCGTTATTACTTTTTTTTTTTTTTCTCAAATAGAAAGCCATTCTCCCCTGCCCATAAATCTCAACAGAATCTAGCAAATCATAGCAAAAAAAAGTCCTTAGTTGTGCAGATCCCCGTGGCTTTTATTACTGGATAAATAGCACAAAACATGTGATGAATTGGGGAGGCAAAAGACACCCAAGTTAATGTGGTGCACTTTTAATTTTTCTTTTCTTAAACTGTATAGGTTTGCTCCATATTTGTCAACTGTAAACTGTTTTCAGGAGTTTGTGCCCTGGCTAGATTGTTTTCTGTTCTACTGGTGAGAACTGGCTAAAGGGATTTTACTGGTGTAGAAGACCCACAACCTTGGGTTAGGAATCTATTTCAACACTTGTGTTACAATCCGAATTTTCTAAATAAGAAATACCTTAAATTGGCCTGTTTCCTATGCTGTCAAAAATCATCAAGCTGCTAAAAGTGAGGAAAATCTCTTACATCCTGGTGGGTGAGATGGACTGTGGGACCAGCCCTGGGGACTCCCTGGTCCATCACTGGTCCCCCGGCCCTTGCTGATGGGGTCAGTGTGGCTGTAAGGAAACAGTTTCCAGGCATTTTTTGCTCCCTTCTTTGAAGCTGCTGCAGCATCTCTCTGTTGCAAACCCTGCAGTTTGAACTGTAAGTCTGCGAATATTCAGAGGCAAAAAGATTATTCCTTTTTGACTTGTCAGGGTAGGAGTGGAGGAATCCAAGGGGAAGGTGAACTGAAACACTCTGTTAACTTGCAATCTCAGCTCTTGGAAGGGGAGGTGTGAGGAAGGATCTGCCAGTAGCTGGCTGTAATATTTTTGGATTGCTGCCTGCTTTACTTCCAATGACCCTTTGATTAATTCCTCTGCCTCTTTATTTTTTTTAATGAGCCTATTATGGCATATCTTATTGCAGATGCTGATTGGATCTGGACTGTGTATTGTGCCATTTGGATGTGGATTAAATGGCACAGATCTATCTGCTGCCTCTCCCCCTCCCGCTTTAGTTCATCATGCTCAGAATTCCGAGGCTCCACAATGAGAGTCTCAGCCCTGCTGATTGCAGAGGATGTGCAATCGGCTTGAGGAATGTGTACTCAGAGCTTATGATCCTTGGGCAAGCGGGGACTGGGTGATGCATGTGGCTTTCAAGGGACGCTGCTGTTCCCATCTGTTAATGGCATTCCCAGCCCCGAGCGCTGCCTGAGGGATGGGGCAGGCAGGGCAGGGATGCTGCTGATCCTCCAGGAGATGGGCAGGGAGAGATCAGCCCCTGGTTTTTGGGAAAGAAAAATGGGCGGCAAAAAGCGCTGCTCAGCCAGGCGGGTTTGGGATGGAGCTGCTGCGAAACTGGGGAAGGGAAAAGAGGGAGAAATGGAAGGAAGGACGGGGGGGGTGGGGAAATTTGGGATAGCAATGAAATAAAAAGGTGGTTAACATGAGGGTCGGGTGAGGGGGATGCCTGGGGAGGCTGAGCAGGTGGTCAGGAATCCTGTGCAGCGGCTCATCCCTCACCCTGGGAGCACAGGAGCTGTGATAAACCCCTGAACGGGCAGAGGGAAAGCCAGTGTGAGTGTCCTGGTGGGGTGAGAGCAGTGGAGAACGTGCTCCAAGGAGTGTGGGAAGGATCAAGTGCTTCCAGCTGTGCTGAGCACCGACAGAGCCCCTCAGAGCTGCTGTCATACCAAGTCCAACAGAATCCAAGGGACCACCTCTTCAAATAAGAGAAATGATCCCTGTGTGCCTCCTTTCTTTCGCCCCTTGAAGGCACAACGTTTATTTAGTGCTGTTCTCTGCTCTCTCGGGCTGCAGATCGGCATGGTGGCCTGGAAGATGACGCTGAAGACGCCGGAGTACCCGGAGGGCCGGGATATCATTGTCATTGGCAATGACATCACCTACAAAATCGGCTCCTTTGGGCCCCAGGAGGATGTGCTGTTCCTCAGGGCCTCCGAGCTGGCCCGGGCTCAGGGCATTCCCCGGATTTACGTGGCTGCCAACAGCGGGGCCAGGATCGGCCTGGCCGAGGAGATCCGCCACATGTTCCACGTGGCTTGGGAAGACCCAGACAACCCCTACAAGGTAAGGGGCTGCAGGAACCAGAGGGGGAAACTCTGCAGCAGCCCACAGGAGGCTTCTTTTGGCACCACCTCTTCTAGCAGAGGTGGGGGTAAACATTTCAGAGTGCCACATCCAGAGTTCTCCTCGGTATTGGATGTGCAACCCTGGAAATGTGCAGTGCTGAGCTGGGAGCAACCTGGTCCTTTCTAACCCAAACCATTCCACAACAGGGTTTTACCATCTCTCAGGCAGCAGGTTAGCATCTAGAAGGATTAGTGCTAAACATTGCACCATTCCCAGCTTCCACTGGCCTCAGCTGCATCTCCAGCGCTGAGAGAATATTCTTAGCACTCTGTGGAATTTGATTCTGCCCCTGTGAAAGTTTGTTTCTGGAAGGGGTTACAGGGGATGGATGAGCTGTTCTTCCCTGCAGGGATACAAATACCTGTACCTGACTCCTCAAGACTACAAGAAAGTCAGTGCCCTGAACTCTGTTCACTGTGAACACGTGGAGGAAAATGGAGAGTCCAGGTAGGCATGGAAAGCTTTCTGTTCATCCTTGGGGGATGCATGGCATGCCCTTGTCCTCAGCTGGGGCATTCCTGGGGCATCCAGGGCATGGAGGCATGAAAGAAGGAAGTGAAGAAAAGGTGAGAGCCTTGTTGTAATCCTTGTTCTTTTCCTCTTTCCCTTTGTCTGCATTCCCTTTCTTTTCTTACCCTTTTTCCTATTAATCAGCCTGCTCCTCATGTCCTGTGGGAATGACAGGACACTTTTCCCAGGCCTTCCTCCCCCTGGGCATTTCCCCTTGCAGTGCTGCTCCTGTGGGAAGGTTCCATGGTGCTGCAGGATGGGCCCTGCACAGCCCCTGCCCGGCCTTTATGCACATTTCTCCTTGGAACCTTAATGATATTTAGTCACTTTTCATTTTCTTGGTAGCAAACTGATTCAGCAAATCACTGGACCTTGTGACTCAGAGGCTGTCTGTGTCTCCCTCAGGTACAAGATAACAGATATTATCGGGAAGGAGGACGGGCTTGGAGTAGAGAACCTCAGAGCATCTGGCATGATTGCTGGAGAATCATCTTTAGCCTATGATAGTGTTATCACCATCAGCTTGGTAATCCCCCACTGCTTTCTATTCTTCAAATCTATTGTCTGTTTCAGCTAAAAATCCTGTGATGATATCCCAGACATCCATTTGGGATCAGCCTTCTGGCTGATGGAAATGGGTTCCTGCAGGCTTTGAGCAATGCTCCTGGCACCAGTGCAGGGCTGGGTCCTCTCCACACTCTATTTAAAAACACTTCAAGCATTTGGCCTTGTATTTGCTCAGTCTGAAACTTGCTGCTTCTCTCTGTTTTTTTTAATAAAATACATTTATGTTCAGATCCTGTGTTTTACAAAGCAGTGGATTCTGGAATTTTCCAGTGAGAGCAAATTTTATGGCCTTGTGCTACAAACACAACTAGTTTTATCTCAATGTTTGAATCAATAGGTTGGGGCTGTGTGGAGAGAGACAGAAATCAATGCTGTTGCTTTTTTTTTTTTTTTTTCCTCCTTTTCTTTTTCCTTTTTTTCCCAGGTCACGTGTCGGGCAATTGGGATTGGGGCTTACATCGTCCGGCTGGGCCAGAGAACCATCCAGGTGGAGAACTCCCACATCATCCTCACTGGCTGTGGGGCCCTCAACAAGGTGAGTCCCTGCACTGCAGCCCCCAGAGCTCTGGGGTGGGGCTGGGCTGTGTCACGGAATCCTGGAATGCTCTGGGTTGAAGGAGGAGAAGCAGCTTCTCACAGAGCTTGTGGGCACAGATTAAACCCAGGCAATGTCTTCTCCCACCCTCTGTGTGCTGTGAGGGGAAGCAGGGCTGGTGCCAGTGTCTGGAAGCTGCTGTTCCAAAATGCGTGGCCAAGAATCCCCTGAGCTTCCAGCACTGTGTTAGTTCTGGGGAGCACTGAGCCTGAGGGGCTGGATGCTGATTTTCCAGCCTGGGAGCGAGATTTCCCGCTGGAAATCTCACCTGTGGGGACAGGAGGAATAACTGGGGCTCTTACAAAGAAAACTTAACAGCTTCACTGCTAAAGTGGCTCTTATTTTCCCCACTCCAGAGGCAGATTTTCTCCCTTGCTGCCCCAAAGCCATTAATCCAGAGCCTGCAGCTCCTTGCCTGGTGCAGACACGGCTCCCAGCCCGCTCTGCTGCCATCCCTGTCCCTGAGGGCTTTGTTTCCCTGGAGTTGGGGCTGTGTGCTGTGAGTGCCCTTCCCCATCGAGCAGCTTTGTTCTCAGGCACTCTCAGCACCTGGGGTGGCTGTGCTCCATGGCAAGCTGCGTTTCCAGGAGTGCCTGCCTGACAATGGGAGATAAAGGAAAACAGGCTCTTGTTGAATTATTCTCCTGAATAAAGGGGGCTCTGCAGAAAATGAAGCATTGATCCTATCAACTCCAGGCTGCAGCACCCTCAGTTAGATCTCTTACACACATCACACACACCTGCATCAATGGGAGGAAAAGAGGCATTTGAAGATCCAGCCTTTAAAAAGAAATTGAGTCAGTTTAGTGCTTGCTGGAGTGCAGTGAGTTGCCTGGTTCCAGCTGTCGCTTGCTGGGGCTCGGGGCCCTGCAGAGTTTCCCAGATGGCAGGGCCAGGCTGTTCAGCTCTCCCCCTCTTCCAGCTTGAGCTGCACTCCCTGCCCGTGCACTCAGTGCCTGTTTGCACAGGACTGGGTTCATCTCACTACATTTTAGGCACTTAAAAATGAAGGGGATGGCCTGAATGAAGCACCTGACATCTGTCAGCAGGCGTAGGCAGGAGGAGTTGCTTTCTGGGGGGGATTTCAGTGGGCTCAGTAATCCTGTGTGTCCCTTTCCCTCCTCCCTGCTCATGTCTGTGCCAGCTCTAACTGCCTAAAGGTGAGGGGGAACCTGTTGCATCCTCTGCAGCTTTCCCAGCAAGGCCCAGCCGTGTTTACCTGCCCTTGAACAGTGGGACCCTGGAGTCCCCACTCACTCCTGGCTGTGTGTGTGATATCTGCTGCTTCGTGGGATCCGCAGTTTCCAGTCCCTGCAGTTCTGCTCAGGGCTTCTTGAAGGGATCCAGCTGCAATAGTGTCCCAGAAGTGTGTTTGAAGTAGGGAGCTGGTGTCCAGGGCTAGCCTGGAATGTCTGAGTTCAGCCTGGGTGATTCTCTGGAGGATCTAAAACAAGCAGTAGATGCTGATCCATTGGCATCCTCCTGCCATGGAGTCTGGAGGGACTTCAGGCTCACCCTGGGCTCCCTGAAACCTGTTAAACACTCGTCCCTGGGATTTAGAGGGCCAGTCTGAATTTTTTGGGGCCAGTAATGCAAAGTGTTCCCTTGCAGGAGGGCAGAGGCTGTTTGGGTGTGGGATATGATGTGTTCCTGCTCATTCCCAGGCCTGAGAGCCCAGAAAGGGAAGGCTGTTGTGGCTGTTCTGTGTGAGTGAGTCAGTCTTGTGCTGCTCCTTCCCTTGGAGGAGGTGGGGAGTCAGGGCTGGCAGGGGCTTCAGGAGAGCTGATGGCTGGAACAAAGATAAATACATGAAAACTGCCACCTTTAGCTTTTCCCAGTTAGGTGCCAGAGATCTGGGACAATTTTTCCACTGCTGGCTTTTACATTTGTGTGTTCCTGGAGGATACAGGACAAAGCTGGCACTTCTTGTGTCTGCAAACACATCTTCAAAATGTCTCCTCTCCGCCAGCAGAACGAATGTGCAGCACAAAACTGTTTCTGCAGCAATGGAGACAATTGGGCTTTCAGAGAGCAGGCAGGGCGTTCTGAGAAGTTGTTTAATTTTATTTTTTTTCCCTGTGAAACGCTGGATTCTTTCTAATTTACAAAGGGAGCAGAGGGGAATGGTGACAAACATTATGTGCAGCCAGAGCCGTCGCTGGTCTGGTTCATTATCATTACGTAAAAGCAGCCTGAGGGTTTAGGTGTAGAGGGAAAGGTCCAGCTGCCAAAGCCAGGGCTGACCTCCAGCTCAAGGTCAGTGTCACCTGCAGCTCCTGGTGCTTCTGGGCTTGGCTCCTCAGGTGCCACCCGTGAGCATCCTGGGGAGGCAGCTGGGTTCCAGCATCCTGGTGCCCCAGGGCTGAGCAGGGTTCCCTGTGCTGATGCCCCAGGGCTGAGCAGGGTTCCCTGTGCTCTGCTGGAGCTCTCTTTGTCCACGCTGGGGCCAGGGGAAGGTGCCACACTCCGGGTGGCACACGGGCCGTGTTTCAGCTGGCCCCTTTTGTCTCCCCAGTGCATTTCAGCAGGGGGTGGAGAGGTGGAAATGCCATTTCCCTGCTCTCGGTGAGCGTGTGCCGAGCCCGCTGACCCCCCTGCAAATTGAAATAATGATAATGCGCGTCTCCTGACTGCATCAAAGTATCAGCACATCAAAAGCCAGGAGGCATGAAATGCAAATGATAAAGTGAAAGCAGATGGATTGTGCATGATCGCCTGATGCCCAATGAATTTTAAAAGATGCTGGTTCACATGGGGAGAGGGGCTGAAATAAACACGTTATCCCTGCAATTTTTTTCTCTTTTTCTCCCCCCTTTTTTTTTTTTTGTTCTTGCTGCTCACTCCTGACAATATTTTTTCACACTTCAGCGAGCAGCCACTCCATCTCCCTCCCTCCCTTCCCTCTCTTTCTCTCCCTCTCTCTCTGTCGCTGTCTCTACCTCACACACGTCTCGGGTCATGTCGCCGCAGCTCCGGTGGAAATAATAAGATATAAACCACGAGGTTGTTATTTGCATAGAAATAGCATGGAGCCCCAGGCAGCATGGGAGAAGGACACAGAGATCATTTGTCTAAAATTTTAATGAAAACTTTTGCTGAGGCAGAGATTTTTATTTTTTTTTTAAACTTCCCCTGCCTCCCCCTTTTTCTACCCCCAAACATTCCTCCTCTTCTTCCTCTCTCCCTCCCTTCCCTCGTCATTTCAGAGGTGATTTCAGACGTGATGTGCTGTGCCCTGCACCAATACCTCCATTTCCATGGGTTTTCTTTTTGATGGAAGTAAGACCAAAGAGCCTGGCATTCCCAATCCCTGCATTGCTTGTGTGCTTCAAGCTTCCAGGGCTACGTTCCATTTCCATTTCAGCCCTCCCAAGGATGCTCCAGAGTCTGCTGCTGACCTATTTTTAATCAGTTTGCTCCTCCTTGTCTTTTGTGTTTAAAAGAAATCCCGTCTTGGAGACTGTTGTGTTAATGGAAACAAATAGTGGCTTTCAGTCACATTTTCCCTGCAGATAGGTGTTCTAGGCTTTTCCTAAGGGAAGCCAGGTTCACTGAGGCTCTCAGGAACTGCTCCAAGCAGCATTCCCATCAGGATGTTATGCAGATGTGCAACCAGGCTCTTAACCAGTTCATTTTGTGATGGTCCCTTCTGGAAGTGACAGAATTCTGACCAGCACTGGTTTGTTTCCCTCCTGTTTTAGCTTTATTTTCCCCCAAACTCTCTGGTCTTGACTTGCCTGTGCTCCCCATGGTTTGCTCAGAGCACCAAGGGTGAGCTGGACAAATCCCACGTGCCAGGAGTCTGCAGGGAAGATGAGGAGTCAGAAACTAAGGCATGAAACATTCAAGGCATAGCTCAGCACTTTGGGCTTTGTTCCCCTGCCTGGTTGTGGGGTGACATTTTTGACCAGAATGGGTCAAAAAAAAAAAAAAAAGTGTTGTTTGGTCTTTTTGGATTCCTTTGCACGAGGCCAGAAGAGAATATCTTTGTATTTTTGATTCGGTCCTGAATTGTGCTGCAGGGCTTTTTGGATGCTCTGGGATTCACATAACAGGATGAGACAATAGGTCAGGGCTGCTCAGGGGGCTGTGCCTGTGTGAGAGAGGTCTGGGCAGCTCTCAGGCTCCCTGGAGGAGCTCAGGGAGGAACAGGAGGCTCACACAGGCTGGGGAATGATTGCCAACAGTAATATTTACCCTTCAATTTCACAATCTGCAAAAATAAATAAAAGCCCCGTGAGCCTGATGCTGTTTGGGGTTTGTACTGTGGAAAGCTTTTTTTTCTTTTGAGATTCAAGGCAGGGATAGCTCAGTAGCTGCTCAAGATGACTCCAGTCTTGGGATTAGATCAAAGCAATCATGTGAGAGCAATCGTGTGAGTTAGAACAGCAAGTGCCAGCCCTGTCATTCAAAGGAGCATTATAATTATTAATGCATGATATGAATCATTCTGTAGTGGCACAGCAGGGCTGTTGGAGGATCTGGATGGGTGCAAGGTGCTGGAGAATGCTAAGCAAGGAGGGGTGGGAAGTGCCAACCAGAAATCAACACTCGGTAGCATCAAGTGTCGGTTCCTTGTGTGGAGGTTGGAGCTGCCCAAGGTTATCCCATTGCTGGGAAGCAGGAGAGGCTCCTCTGCCCTGCCCCGGGTGCTTGTGGCACTGGGATGGTGAGAACAAGGGTGGGCTCAGGTGGAGGCTGGCATCTCCAGCTGCCAGAGCCCCGTTGGAGGTGTCCCTGATGTGGGTGGCCATGGCCCAGAGCCAGCAAAGCCAGGCTCATTCCTTCTTTCCCTGCCAGCCAGAGGCTTTGGGTGCTGCAGGGCTGTGGCTGGTGGCACTGCTGGTGGCACTGCTGGTGGCACACAGGTCCTTGCTCCGTGTGCAGCGGTGGATGCAAGCAGGATGGATGCCTGGCCTCAGTGCAGATAAACAGCCACCACCCTCCACTGCTGCATTTCTGTTTTAATTGCCTTTCTTTAAGTGGTGATATTTGTGTATTGTTCCCATTAGAGACAATTTACGTTCCAGGCATGCCATTATCAGTCCCTTGGTGTTTGCTTAGGGAAGAAAGTCTAATAGATTTCTGTTGACTTTTTTTATTCTCCCTCCTTCTATCATTTTTAATACAGATCTTGCTCCGTTTATCTGTGTGGGTGGGGGCTCTGTGTGTGTTTAATTCTGCTAAACAGGAGTTTACCATCGTGACCCATATTCTGCCTGTCCAAATCTCTTCCCCAGGACTGTGTCCCAGCTCCTGGGGATCCTGCAGGCTGTGTTCTCACTGCAGCATTAACTCTGCTCCCTAATGTTCCACAGGAGCTGAACTTTTCAAACATATCCCAGAATTATTGGTCCTGACCATCCCTCCTGGGGAATCCCCTGGGGGACATTGGGGTGACCAGCCTGGGGTGTTTTCTGTAGAAATTCCCTGTGGTTCTGGACACATGATGGGAGCTGTAGGAGCAGCATTGGAGAACTGCAGCATTTCTCATGACTAAACCTAAACTCAGGCAGGAAAGTGAGCAGAGTTTCCCTGTCCTGATGAAGAGGTCCCTGCACTGCAGCCTGTGCCCTGGGGGTCTCTGAGGAGCAGGGTTCTCTGGGGTCCAGAAGGTGACAGAGGGAATGACCAAGATCTTTGAGTTGGAGACAACCATTAATATTGTTTATGGGGTTCATATCTAGATTAGGGAACCCCTGGCTGAGACAGGTGGGATTTATGGGTGTTGGCACCATGTAGAATAGGGGCTGTAATTTTAGTTTGCAAAGTGTGTTGAGTCCTTTTGATTTACCACTGACTGAGGGAGTGACCTTGAGCAAAACACACGCAGGGAGAGGAGAGAGGGGCACGAGGGTTTTGACAAGACATTTTTCATTTGGAAATGCCACTTCACTGAAACTGGAGCTCTTCAGGAAAAAGTATCAGTTTGGATGAGCTTCTCCTTTGGAATTTTTTGGGTCAAATGAAAAGTTGTTCGGTTTTCATTTCCCAGCTGACTTTTCCTCCCAAATTAATTTTTATTCTTAATACGTACAACAAATATTTTAGAGGTCATTTGGAGCCTGTCTGGTCTCAAGTTTGTAGTTCAGCTCTCAAGACTGCAAAACTTGATTTTTCTGCTGCGACCCAGAAATTTTCCAAAATCCCCCTCAGTACTGCGAGGTGGAAAGACCTTCCCACCAAAAATGTGTGGTGCTGCAAACAGGAGACAGAGTCTCGTGTGTGTGAGCAGCTGTGGAGCCCTGCTCCCTGTGTACCTGCAGGAGGGCTGGGCTCTGCAGGCAGGAGCTGCAGCTCCAGGGGCACCTTGCCCTGCTCCCTGCCAGGGGAAGTGCAATTGCTTTTCTGCCCCTTTCCCCTCTGAGCTCACCAAATGGAAGCAGGGAAAGACTCCAGCAGCAGGACCTGCCTGTGGATTTGCAGTCAGGAGCCATCCCCAATAACCATCAGGCTGTCAGCTCCCCACCTCCCCCCAGCTCCCACCTCCCCCATCACTCACCAAAGGGAAAAAAGAGCCGGGGCTGCAGCTTGAAATATATCATGCAATAGTGTATCATGAATTTCTTGTGAATCACATTGGAGAAGCAGGTTTATTTATTTCCGAGACTCTAAATCAATACAAAGTAGGTCTCTTAGTTCTGAAGCTGGGATGGAGTGGGAAAAAATGAGCCCATTGTACTCTTAAAACTTTGGGGAAAGGAGATGACAGCTATATAATTCCATTTACCAGGCACTAGGGGCTTTAATGTGAAGGTGACAGGGAGCTCTTTGTGCATTTAGAGCACCATATCTTCTAAATAAAAGATCTGTAGACTTGATAGTGGAGTATAGCTCTGCCTTTAATAATCTCCAAGCATTAGACCGAGCCAATCTGTTCCCAAGTCAGAAGGGTCCCCCACCGAACGCTCGTAAATTAGAAGTGCAGGAACTGCACGAGGCAGGGATTAGGAATGCAGGAAGGGCAGAGAGGAGCTGCCTGTGCCCCTCTGCCAGGCACAGGGCTCTGGGCTCAGCTGGCCTCTCTTCCCTCTTGCTGCTGTTCCCCCTCTCATACACATTCCATGTGGGGGAAGAGCTGGAAATGAGCACTGAGCTCTGTCGAGGCTTGACTGCACATAATAGCAGTCAGGTTTGAAGTTCCTGCATTGTGTTCCTACATTTTTTCTGATGAGACATTCATTCCCATCATTTCTGCCTGTTTATGAAAAATAGGCTATTTATAGGACGTGCATATGCCTCTTCTGCTTCGTGTTTCTGGCAGACAATATAAATTGTGGGATGGGAATTGCAATTATTGAAATTATTTGGATAAAAATCTGGCACTTATATTTGATATAAACACATGATATGCTTGGAATAATAACAGCACTTATGTTACATAATGATTCCCATTCAAGCCCTCCAAGCTGTCAGGTTTTCAGGTCTTTCATCCTGGGTGAAACAGATGAGCCAACCCAGCCCTCAGCCAGCCTAGCTTTGCAGGGAAGGTCCCAACTCTCCAGCAGCTCAGGTTCTGAGAGGAGAAAGCAGCTGCTCAGCACGGGTTGGAGTGCTGGAAAATCATTAATATGCACATGATAGGCCTATGAACCTGTGGAGGACCATCCTTTAGAGGCTGTTAGAATCCTGGCTCTGCTCGTGTTTGCCAAAAGATGCTCTGAAATAACAAGAAATGTGCTTTCCTAATGGGTTTTTTTAAGATCTAATGAACTCAGTGTTGGCAGTTCTGCCCAAGTATTTTGGAATGTTTTGGAAGTCTTCTCCAAGGTAAAAAATGGCAGCACAAGAGGAAATGGCCTCAAGCTCTGCCAGGGGAGGTTCAGGTTGGACACGAGGAAGAATTCCTTCATGGAAAGAGTTTAAGGTCCATTTCCACCCAGACCATTCTGGGTGCCATGATCCTCCTGAACCCCTTGTGCCACTCTGGGGATGGAGCAACTCAGGCTCTGTCACTCAGAGCTCACGTGTCCCCTCTCACCTGCTCCCTGTCCCTGTGCCCATCCAGCCCATCCAAATCCCAGATCAAACTCTGCTCAGAGCAGCTTTTCCCTGCTGCTGGGCACCCTCTGGCCCTGCTCCTCCTGCCCTGGGATCTCCCAGCCGCCCCAGGCTCTGCTGCAAGGCTGCAGCACTCGGGAGAAGGAGCTGTGTGTTTATCTTGATCTCCAAAAAGGGATTTAAGGGCGAGAGCAGTGGTATATTAGGCTGTTTCATTGCCTGTCAGCAGTGCTAAACCTGAGCTGTCTGCAGTGTCTCCAGATAAGCAGGAGCAGAGGCCCATTTTGCATGTACATGCGTTTGCATTAGTTCAGAGAGGGGGAGTTTAAATCCTCTTTAGTTTTATTTTCCTCTGTGGGAAGCATTTAGCTAGGCTTGTGCCTGGCATCTGGAGGCCTGGGCTTTTCTTATCCTTGAATCTAAACTGTGCTGCTGTCTTCTGTACCATGGCTTTGCTTGGCACTGATTTTGTTAGAGGGGGAGGAAGGTGTTTGAGCTCAGAAGGGAGGCCCAGGAGCATCCCTGTGCTAAAACACATGCTGAATTCTGTATTTGGGGGTTAATTTTGTAACATCTGTGCCTCGGTTCCTTCTGTACATAAACCTTGACTGGCATCTGCCAGCTCCTCTGTCTCCAGAATGAGCTGTGCTGGGTGTTTGGAGGCGGCCAGGCCGTTTGAGGGGGTTTTTAAGATCCAAATGAAGCAGGTGTGTAATGTCCTCTGTCTGTTAGAAAGACTCAACCCATAAAAATAACAAACGGCGTGTATTTGCCGGAATGTCAAAGTTATGAGTTTATTTTGTAATGATGTGCTCCTGCCTTCATGAGGTAAACTGGCCGTGGCAGAGGTGTTATTAGTAATATGGAGTCAGTGGAGCAGAAAGGCAAGTGACCGAGAGATCAGTGTATCAGTCAGGGAGAGGGCAAATGGGAAGAGACAGCAGGAGAATGAGAAAAGAGCTGTGCTGCCCAGGCTCAGATTGGAGATGGAGCTGTGCAAGAGAATGAGGAGCCCCAGCCTGCTCCTGGCCAGCCTCTCCAAGGAGCTGCTGGGCCTTTGTCTGGTTGTTTGGGGGTTTATTTTTTATACATTTAAATGTGTCAACCCACACAGTTTTCTTGGAGCAGTTTGGGATTAGTGAGCTGAGCTGGGCTCAGCGCTTTGGTCACGCTGCTGCTTGGGGAAGGCGAGTGGGAAATGTGCCTCAGTTTCCCCACTGGTATCATCCCCCTTGGGGATCATAGAATCCAGAATGGTTTGTACTGGGAGGAGCCTTAAAGATCCGATTCCATCCCCTGCCATGAGCAGGGACACCTTCCATTATTCCAGGGTGCTCCAAGCCCTGTCCAACCTGGCCTTGGACACTTCCAGGGATCCACAGCTGCTCTGGGCACCTGTGCCAGGGCCTGCCCAGCCTCCCAGGAAACAATTCCTTCCCAATATCCCGATATCCCTGCCCTCTGTTCACCTGGGATCACTGCTCAGCAGCTCCTACCTGCACACAGGGCTTGGGAGGCTGTGTTGGCAGAGGTTTGCTCCATCCTTTCCATTTCCAGGTGATGCTGAGGTGCTGCAGGGGTGGGGTTGTGTGCACCTCCTTGGCCAGAACCTCCTGGTCACATCCCAGCACTGATGGCTTTCCCATTTTTCTTCCCCCAGGTGCTTGGACGGGAAGTTTACACCTCCAACAACCAGCTGGGAGGGATCCAGATCATGCACAACAACGGGGTGACACATGACACCGTCTGTGATGACTTTGAAGGAGTCTACACCATTCTGCAGTGGCTTTCCTACATGCCAAAGGTAATTCCTGGGGCTGCAGAGCTCTGCAGTGCCACTGTTTGCTGTGTGTGCAGGGTTTGGGGAAAGGGCTCTCACTTCCTTCTCTGTTTTCCTTTTTCCCTTAGAACATACACAGCCCTGTGCCCATGCTGAAAGCCAAGGACCCCATAGACAGAACCATTGACTTTGTTCCCACCAAGGCCCCCTACGACCCTCGCTGGATGCTGGCTGGACGCCCCAACCCAAGTATGGCCAGGAGATGCAGCAGCTCATCTTGTTTCAAGGCTGTTTGCCAGATCTCTGCAACCCAAATATATCTCAGTTTCTGTAAAATAATTAGTTCTGAGCAATACGGATAGGATAGATAAATATTTGCATAGAAAAATATTAATCTATAATATTGTCTATAAACAATATCTAAAAGTAGCATGTAAATCCTGAGTGCTCAGGGACACCATACTTTTATAGATGATCCGTTTACTTAGAATGGTCACTTCTATGGATTGTTTTTATGATTTAGGGGAAAGTCCATCCACAGAGGCTCTGCATGTTAAAGGAATCACAATATTCCTGCAGATCCTGGGGAGCTCTTGTGTTGGCACCACTGGGGTTGTGTAGCCTTGTGTGGGTACAAGCTGCAAACTGGGTGACCATTACTCCTGCTGTTATTAATGAGTTTGGGGGGCTAAAATGAGATTTGTGATAAACTAAGTTTTCTGGTTTTGGATAATATTTTTTCATCATTTCTCAAGCAATTCATCCAGCTGTCCGGGCGCCGCAAACGCCGGCTTCCAAATCGAGTGACTTCAGATTTTAATTTAGTGGAAGCGTTAAGGAAAGCAGATGATTCCCTGTGATAAGTTAAAGCAGATATCTCCTAGGTGAAAAGTTAAAGCCATTTATTAGAGGAGATATTGCCGTGATATTCTTCAAACTGACGCCCGACACGAGGCCGGAATCTAAACGATCAGCTTCGGGCTCGCGATAAAGAGATAATTCTGAAATGGATGGTCACATTTTACAGTGGGGCCACAGAGGCAAGGAATGTAGAACACAGTAATTACAAGTTTGGGCTTGATAAAACACTCTCCATCCTGTTTAAGTCAGCAGAGGTTAGCGTGCTCGGATCTCCACTTTTTAATTGGTTTTGGGCTTGGCTTTGCAGAAGCAGAGGTGCTTGTTCAGAGGGAAGAGTTCCTGGGGAGCTCTGCGCCAAGGGGTGAAGCTGGCAGGGATTTGGGGTTTTAGGGGGACTTTTTTTGTGGGTTATTTTTATGCAGAGCTTCCCAAAACCCCAGTGCACGGCAGCTGCCCCACAGGATTGTGATTTCTGTGGCTTGGCTCTGAAATATCATTGAAATTTTCATACTTAGTTCCTGGGTTTCTGCAGCATTCCTGCTTTCAAAGAAAGATTAGGCAGGATCAAGAGAAGAATATGAGATAAGTTTTAAAATAGAAATAGATGTGTTGAAAACCATCTTTAATGACTTTACTGCCTTTTGACAAATGTTTGTAGTCTTGAAAAAAGCAGAGTTATTTATTTAAAAGCACGGGAAGTCCCTCTGCTCTCCGAACCCCATCGTTTAACAATAAATGATGCTTTTGCTGATAAATTGCTGTCTTTATGCAGACTAGGAAATGAAATAAGACATGATGGCTGAAGGCAGACAAATGCTCAGCTGTCTAATGTTCCCTTGTATTGTCATCTATTTAAAATTAAATAAATAAAAAGACAGTGCCACGTTCTCCAGTTGGCATTTTTAAGCAAGTTTGATTTGTTGCTTTGCTATTCTGTTTTCTTTCTTCCCTCTCTCCTTCCTCCTTTGATTTTTCCCTTTTTTCCCTTCCCTTTAGATCAGAAAGGGCAGTGGCTGAGTGGGTTCTTCGACCACGGCTCGTTCATGGAGATCATGCAGCCCTGGGCACAGACAGTCGTGGTGGGGAGAGCCAGGTAAGTTCTGAGGTGTGTTCTAGTTTGGCTTATGCTTTGCATTTCTCTAGAACACAACATTCCTGTGATTATTTCCTTCTCTCTCTATGTGTGTGTGTGTATATATATATATATCTATTTAATAGAAGGAGTTGGAAAGAAAGAGATGAGCTGACCTTTAAGGTCCCTTCCAACCCATTCCATGGGTCTATAATTCTATAATTTAAAGGCTTCCAGGCTAAGCACTGTGCCAGGGGTGGAAATCAATGATTTGGCAAAGCCAGAAGCTCTCTGTCCATGCTCAGCTTCACTTGCAGTTCCTTTCTTCTGAGAAATTCCGAGTGGCTTTGGACTCTCACACAGCAGGGATATATAACACAAATGAAACAGACTCCTTTCAAAAGCAGTGGCAATTTGAAAAAAACAAATATGAATGTATTCTTCTGGGATTGTTACTGTAAGTGCTGCCAAAACTCATCTCTTGTATGTATGTTTGGAATATGTGTGCTGTTGGCTGTAAATTGTCTTTTATTATTCTATGGCAACTTGTCCAGGGACACACTATAAAACAAGATGTAGCATCTTCATGTGCTAGCCTGATAAAATTTATATGAAGTATTATGGAAAACAGAAGTTGTTTTGAGCTGTTTTCAAGTTCAATAAATAACTGTAATACTTGGATAAAGATGTTCTTTATTAGGTCACATGGGCCCTAATATAGAAGTTATAAGTTACCGATTTAAGACGGCTTCTGCAATTATGGGGTTCCAGCAGACTCTCCATCACAGGGAATGGGAATATTGCAGCCCCTCAGTGCACATGGGCCCTGTCTCTTCCCTGCCTGTTCGTTGTCATCAGCTTGGGGTGGCTGGGGAGGGAGAGGGGGCTCTGCTGGGGCTGTCCTGGCAGCGTGCCTTCGGTGCCTTTTGTGTGCAGCAGGGCCTGGGTGCCCTGGGAGGCAGAGCTGGGCACCCTCCCTGGCACCTGCACTCCTGCCCATCCCTGTGTCCTGCACCTGCCCCCCTGGCAGCCACCCTGCGGCAGCAGATCTGGGCAAAAATGCAGGAATTCTTGAAAATCCCTCCCAGCCTGCTCTGGGATTCTCTGATTTTTCATGGTCAAGACCACCAGTACCAAAATCTGGGTGATGGCAGGCAAAAGGTGGTGAATACACAGATTTATCATTCAAAATCTGGGTTTGGTTTATTCTCTCTGATTTTTAGAGAGGAATGTGCTCATCGTTGGAATAGATTTGTCTTTGAGAGCTGTGACCTCTCTGGCACTCTCCAGCCTCAGCTCTTTAAAAAAAGGCCACAAGGCTGCTCCTGTTGTGTGTGTCTCCTGGCTGTTGGGATGTGTAAAGCAGGAGTAGGGGCCTCACTGTCTCACCTGTTTGCAGGCTGGGAGGAATACCTGTAGGGGTGGTTGCTGTGGAAACAAGGACGGTGGAGCTCAGCATTCCTGCTGATCCTGCAAACCTGGACTCGGAGGCCAAGGTGGGTGTGCTGTGTGCTCCTGTCCTGTGTCCCCTGCAAATGTCCCCATCCAGGTGGGATTCCCTCCTTTCCCCAGGCGTGGTGCCGATGTGCAGCCGTTCCTGGGGAGCTGGCAGTGCCTGGACTGTGTGTGAGCATTCCTACAGCAGGCCTGTAGGAATTCCCAGGTTCCCTGCACTCCTGCTTCCTGCAGATGTGACAAGCAAAAATCCCTTCCCTGCTCTCTTGCTGTGACTGGAGTGCTCCACGACCTTCCTGCTCTGACATTTTGCTGTTCCCCCTCCTGATTTCACAGCCCTGGCCCTGCTTCATCTCTCCAGAGCTTTCCCCTCTCCATGTCCTTTTATTTCTCTTCTCCTTCCCCTCCTTAAAGCATCACAGTGTCAGGCTGTCCATACTCTCTTTTCTCAGCTGAATTAATGGGAATGCTGCTGTTGAAGTTGGTGACAAAAGGATTGTCCCAATTCTCCCATGGCCATGCAGATCCCACACATCTCACCTGCCATGCTCCTTGTTGTTTATCCCACATCACTGCTCCTGATAATTTTTGTGTTTCAACTCTCACAACAACGTGCTTCAAGGCCTGACAGTGGATTTTTCTTCCCACCAGATAATCCAGCAGGCTGGGCAGGTGTGGTTCCCTGACTCTGCCTTCAAAACAGCCGAGGCAATCAAGGACTTCAACAGGGAAGGGCTGCCCCTGATGGTCTTTGCCAACTGGAGAGGCTTCTCTGGGGGAATGAAAGGTAAGCAGCACTTTGGAGCTGTCCTGGGGGTGGTTTTGGCTCTGTCTTGGCTGCACAGGGCACCACGGGGTGCTGCTGGAGGTGTTGTGAAGTGCCAAGGATGTGAGATTGATCCTGTGAGGTTTGAAGTGAAGGATGAGGTCAGGGTCTCTTACCTGTGTGAGGGGGGTGACAGGAGCACTGGAGCTCTCAGGGAGCCAGAGGCTGCTGGGCTCTGCTGGCTCCTCCTCTGGGCACAAGGCAAAGCCTTGGAGTTTGCAGATGCAAAGGTGGGAGGTGGCAAAAGAGGGCAAAAATCTTCCCTCTGGAAAACACCCGTTGCCTTTGAGGGTGGATTCTGCTCCGTGTGCTGTTTCTGCACCCCCTGTATGAGTGCTTTCCCAGCCACACAGCACACTGGGAAGTTGCTGATGTCATTTTAGCTTATTTATTTACCTTATTTAGTCCTTAAACATTGTTTTCCCTTAAAATGTCAGATCTGGCTTTGCTGGGTTCCTCAGAAACTGAGTTTTAGCTTTGGAGTTGGGTGGAACAGGCAGCAGGAGAATGTTAATATTTATGTTGCATATCCCAAGTTATTCCAGCCAGCTGGCAGGAGGAGGAGGAGGGAAGGACAGAGCCATTGTGGTTTGCACCTTGCTCCTTGCATTTTCCAGCCTCCTGCTTGCTGCTGGTGTCTCCTGACACTCTCAGTGTCCCTTGGGGAGTTGTTTGCAGTTTTGGTTTCAGTGCTGGCTGGGGATTATGCAGGGAGGGAAAATAAACAATTATGCCACCCCTCAGTGCACACAAACACACTGCCAGGAGCCGACTGCACTGTGGGTAAAATGACTCCAAAATTGTGTGTAATGAGTAGGAAAAGATTAGAGACAGCTCTTGCTATGCTGAAAATTGACATTAGTGAAGGGGGAGGAAAAGGGAAAAAAAAAAAAAAAGAGGGAAAAAAATTAAACCCCCTCTTTCCTAGTCAGCCTGGGAGGTCTAATTCGTGTTGCAAAATAAATAAATAACGCCCGAAATAAAGGCAGCTCGTGGTGGTGGTGGCTTCCCCAACGAGCTCTCCCCGTGGCCAGAAGGCTCCTGAGCATAATGCAAAATTAAATTACAAAAACCTGGCTGGAGTATTGCGACGGAGGAGCCATTTGGCAGCGGTTTGTTTGGGCGAACCGGCGGTGACCCACGGCGGGGACACATCAGGCGTGAAATTCCCTGGAAATTAGCACCAGGGGGCTAAATCCAAATCCCCCCTCGTGGAAGCCTGCTGGGGGCTCCTGCTTTACTGCCCATCTATTTCTATTGCAAATAAACCAAATATCCAGGCATTCCGCAGGCTGGAGCTGGAGGCTGCCTGGTGGGGTGGATGGGGTGTCTTGGCCGTGCTGTCCATGTCCCCTCTGCTGTTCCAGCCGGGCTGGTGGGGTCTGCTCCAGCTCTAGAGGGGCAGGGAGGGCTCTGAGCACCAGGATTTACCCCCACGGGGAGCTGGGGACACGTCCAGCAGGCTGTGTGTCCCTCTGGGGTGGCACTGAGGAGGGGTGGGAGCTCGGTGGGCACTGCCCACCCTGCTGCACAGCCAGCTCTGCTCTCCTGGTGACATCTCACGAACCCCAGGCTGCTTTGGGGTCACCTCACTCCGTCCCCCTGCCATGGACAGGGACACCTCTCACTGGTCACTCAGGTGGGGCTGAGGTTTGGATTGATACAGGAATTTGGGGCTGGAGCACCGTGGGGACCCTTTGGTGGTGGCAGGCAGGGAGGAGATGCTCCCCAGCGGGTTTGCAGCAGGGCTGGCAGCACCAAGGGTGTCTCCAGCCCCACGAGCAGCAGCAGCTCCACCAGCCCTGCTGAAGGGCTGGGTGTGATGTTGTTGAGGCAGGGATGGGTGAAATGACTCTCACAATTTCAGAAGGCAAAATGAGCATTTATTCAAAAGCACCTCTCTCTTTTTTATATATATTTATATATTTTTATATAAATAAATATATAAAAAATATTTATTTATCTTTTAAATAAAAAGCACTCTTTTGTAATGCTTTTTATTCAAAAAGCACCTCTCTCTCTTTATATTCAAAAGCACCTCTCTCTTTTTTATATATATTTATATATTTTTATATAAATAAATATATATAAAATATATATTTATCTTTTAAATAAAAAGCACTCTTTTGTAATGCTTTTTATTCAAAAAGCACCTCTCTCTTTACATTCAAAAGCACCTCTCTCTTTTTTATATATATTTATATATTTTTATATAAATAAATATATATAAAATATATATTTATTTTTTAAATGAAAAGCACTCTTTTGTAATGCTTTTTATTCAAAAAGCACCTCTCTCTTTACATTCAAAAGCACCTCTCTCTTTTATAATGTCCATCGTGGACATTAATTCCATTGGTCTTAAAGTAAAACCATTTCACCTGATTGGTGCACTGGGCTTAGGTCAGTGTGGTAGAACACATCTATAAACAATATGAATTGAAAACAAGATAAAAGATTGTTTACATTCCTCCCAGACTTTTCTCCAGGTTTAGCCTGGCAGAAATATTTCTCTTTTTCTGATTGAGCTGAGAACATCCACATTGGGTGTGCGAAGGAAGGCAGTGCTTGGTTCTATTGAATGCCAAATTTTGGGGTTTCATCAGTTATTTACTCAGGATGCCAATGCTGCTGGGACATTCCAGGACATTCCAGAACATTCCCAGCTGCGTGCTGAGGTTCAGCCTCCTGCAAGGCTGATCCCAAAAGATCCACGGGCACAGAAACCCTTCCCTGACACCTGGAAACAAAATCCTTCCCTGCTCACACCTGGGAACCCGAGGGAGGTTTGGAGCTGGGAGAAAACATCGAGTTCCCCCAATTTCTCTGCTCCTCCTTCCTCTGCCCTGCTCAAACAATTAGTGCTGCTCTTCTCTGCACTTCACCTGAGTAAAATATATACCCGTGGCAGGAGTGAAAAATGTATTGCTAATTACACAATTATTTTATTATGTAGCACTAGTAAAAAATGTCTAGTAAAGAATTAATTCAGTTAAAATAATTTGAATCAAGCAATTATTTTCTTAACACTAGAATTAGCTGAAAGTACTTCAAGTGGTTTATTACTAGCACTACATAATAAAATAATTGTATAATTAGTAATAAATTTGTCACCCCTTTTGAGTCTTTTTCTTTGCTCAGGACAAAGGGAAAGGTTGGAGTTTTGTTTGGTTCTCAAGCCTCACTGTCTCTGCTGGGATTTATGTTTATTCCCAATTAGAGGGAATAAATTGTTCTTCCTTTTGTCAGCATTTGATACCTCTTAAATAACATGAAATTTCTTTTCTTGGGTGTTTGGGCAATGACCTTGGAAATGAAATGGAGAGATCCTATCAGTTCCTGTGGTACTAATATATATTTATATATATATTTGTTTGTAGATATATATATGAAATATAAAAGAATGTTTCCCAAAGAGTTAATTGCTTAATTGTGTTCATGTTAATGCTTAGCACTAAAATGAGGGTTGAATGACAAAGGGGCCTTGGCTGGGGTCTCTTTCTTGCCCAGAAATGAGGTTTTTCTCGAGGGATAGAAGGATTTTAGATGAATAAAAGTGTCTCAGTGCTCCCAGACTGTTCCTGTTGCAGATACATAAATGCAGCTCCTTAATTTTCTCTGCACTGGTATTTTAATGGCCAGAAAAAATGAGGCAGACGGGGAGGGTCCAAGCAAAAAACCCAAATGGTGGAGGGGGTTGGAGGAGAGGTGAGGGATGGATGGATGCCTGCAGTGTCTGAGGACAAACCCACTGCAAATCCTGCTGCAGTTTGGAGTGAGCCTGAAGCAGAGCAGACATGGGGTAGGGTGCTACGAGGGGTAGTGACATGAAATTAATGGGGAGGGAGGGGCAGCTTGGCTGAGTTCTGAGGGAAATCTCATCTGTTTGGCTGTGGAAATGCCCCTGAAGAAGCGGATTTATTGTTTGGGGTTTCTGAATGGGAGCTTTCAAAAGCACTGTGGAAGAAACAGTCCTGTGTGAACAAAGAGGTGGGCTAGATGAGCCTAATAACTATTTTTCATTTCTTGTATTTTGATTTAATACTTCTAGATATAATTCTATGTAACAAAATATATATATTCAAGAGTGCCTGTTTCCATTACTAACTGTATCCATTAGAAACTATATCATCTCATAGAAATTCTTCTGCCTTCCCTTTTCCTCTTTTATTTAAATCACCTTTGGGGCTGATATTTTCAATGTACTGTCTTTACACAGTGGAGTTGTTCTTATTAATTTTGAGCAAAATGCCTTAAACAAATTTTAATGGAGGAAGAGCGGAGTGCTGTCCCCCATCCCTCTCCACACACATTTTTATGAAGATCTGGAAAAGCTCTGCTGCCCTTAGGTGCATTTTATTCACATCACATGAATTGTGGGAGAGGTCCAGGGTAGTAAGTCTGAAATTGGGCAGTGCAGACGTAGCCAGGCTGATTCCCCAGGCTGTGGGGATGTTTGTGGGCTGGGAAGGCGGGGATGGATCATCCTCGGGGCACCCGGTGTACAGCAGCTGCTGTGAGCTGCCCTGGCAGAGATGGGGTTCCATGGAAAGTGTCCAGAGTGGATTTCCAGAGGGGAGTCCCACATCTGGACAGGTGTGGGAGCATCCTGCAGGCTGGAGAGGGACTTACCCAAGGGCATGGAGTGATGGCACAGGGAGAATGCCCTTAACCTGGAGCAGGGTAGATGTAGATGGGCTGTCAGGAGGAAATTCCTCTCTGTGAGGGTGCTGAGGCCCTGGCACAGGTTCCAGGAGAAGCTGTGGCTGCCCTACCCCTGGAAGTGTCCAAGGGTGGGGCACTGGGGAGCTGTGACTCCAGGCTGTGTGTCCTGTGCCAGCCATGCTGACCCTCTCTGTGTCCATCCCCAGACATCTCTGACCCTCTCTGTGTCCATCCCCAGCCATGCTGACCCTCTCTGTGTCCATCCCCAGCCCTGCTGACCCTGTCTGTGTCCATCCCCAGCCATGCTGACCCTCTCTGTGTCCATCCCCAGACATGTATGACCAGGTGCTGAAGTTTGGGGCCTACATCGTGGACGGGCTGCGGGAGTACCGGCAGCCGGTGCTGATCTACATCCCGCCGCAGGGCGAGCTGCGCGGCGGCTCCTGGGTGGTCATCGACCCCACCATCAACCCCCGGCACATGGAGATGTACGCCGACAGGGACAGCAGGTGGGGCCTCTGCCTCAGTCACACCTGGGGTCACACAATCACAGGATAATGAGGCTGGACCAGACCTCTGAGATCATCAATCCAACCCATGCCCTCACACCTCAACCAGACCATAGCACCGAGTGCCATGTCCAGTCTTTTTTAAACACACCCAGAGATGGTGATTCCACCACCTCCTTGAGAAGACAATTCCAGTACTTTATTATTCTTTCAGTGAAAAATTTTCTCCTAGTATCCACCCTGTACCTTCCCTGACGTAGCTGGGGCTGTGTGCTCTGGTTCTGTCAGCGCTGCCGGGGGGCAGAGACCGACCCCACCTGTCTGCAACCTCCCTTCAGGAGTTGTGGAGAGCAACAAGGTCACCTCTGAGCCTCCTCTTCTCCAGGCTGAGCACCCCCAGCTCCTTCAAACGTTCCTCATAGGGCTAAACAGGCCAAACAACCCAGGCTGAGCACCCCCAGCTCCTTCAAACGTTCCTCATAGGGCTAAACAGGCCAAACAACCCAGGCTGAACACCCCCAGCTCCTTCAAACGTTCCTCACAGGGTTTGTGTTCCCAGCCCCTCACCAGTCTCATTGCCTCCTCTGGATGTGCTCAAGCACCTCAATGTCCTTCCCAAACTGAGGGGCCAGAACTGGACACAGCACTCGAGGTGTGCTCTCACCAGCACCGAGTGCAGGGGCAGGATGAGCTCCCTGCTCTGCTGGCCACACTATTCCTGGTCCAGGCCAGGAGCCATTGGCTTCTTGGCCAGCAGGGCACACTGCTGGCTCATATGCTCCCCATGGCCTGGGACAGTTTGTTCCCATGGGGTTGGAGATGTGGGACTTCATCTGTATTTTAAACCGGAGTTAAAAACCCTCCCTTTGTTCGCTGTTCTCCTTTCACACAATTTCCAGCAGGTGCTGGGCCACTCCATTTTGTGCCTGCTGACACAAGGTCAGGTGCAAGAAGTGCCTTTCTGTTTGCTTGCAGAGGAGGGATCCTGGAGCCCGAGGGGACGGTGGAGATCCGCTTCCGCAGGAAGGACCTGGTGAAGACGATGCGCAGGGTGGACCCGGTGTACATCCAGCTGGCCGAGCGCCTGGGTACGTGGGACACCCGCAGGGGCACTGGGACCCGGGCACCCCTCAGGGGCATTTAGTCAGAGTCATTTCCATCTTTATTTACTCTCGTCTGACTTGGGAAGAAAACCAGATGAGATCACGGCACGTGTGTACACGTGAGATGACACTCATGCGTGCTCAGCATACCCAGGGTGTGTAATATTGTGGGTTTTTGAGCTGATTTCTCTTTTTTGTTGTATTTTATTGACTTGATCTCACAACAGACCCTCGCTGCAGATGCCTGGGTCTAATTTCCAGCTCAGCAATTGCTCAGCTCACTGAAGGTTTGTGGGCCAAGCCTTCAGCAGGCATCATTTCCTGTAACGAGGGGTTTGATCAAAGACATTTTGGGCTGCTGGACTGTCACTGAGTGTCTGGGGTAGTTTGCAGTAATGATATCCGTGTGCTCTTCAGTTCCAAGGGAATCAGGAGTGTTGTCCATGTCCCTGTGAACAGGGGGGCCGTGCAGAGCTCAGTGCTGGCACGACCAGGGTTGTGTTATTTCCACTCCGAGCGATCCCAGCGCCTGCTGTACACTCAACATCCCAAAATACAGAGTGTTCAGCAAAATGTACTTAATATCAGATATGTTCTCTCTCGGGGGAATAGGCTTTTTAAATAGTCCTTTACTGGCTCTTACTACAAGAGTATAATCTTACAGAGCCTCCTTTTACCTCCAAAATTGACTACATTTCAGTGGAGGGAGAAGCGTGCCATGTGGGTATGGCTTGAATTTATAAAGCCTTTTGGGATTCTTCAGGAGGAAAAGTGTTCTGCAAATGACTGATAAATCCTGGCTATTGCTGCGGTTACATTTTATTATTTGGGTTTTTTTTTTTTTAATTTATGGCAGGGCAACAATTTATACACAAAACAACCTTCCTGATACACCTCAGGAAGAGAATAGCGGGTGAAGGGTGAAGGGGTGCCCTGGGATAGTGACAGGTGTCCCTGCCCATGGCAGGGAGTGGAATGAAATGATCTTTAAAGTCCTTTTCAACTCAAACCATTCTATTATTCCATGACTTAAATCCCAGTTTGAAAGTCTGCAGCTGCAGCAAGGAAGTTATTTTCAGCAATCCTCGCTTTTGGCCTCTGTCAGACTTGACAGTGTCCCTGTAGGAGCAAAGGGACAGTGACCACCTCAAATCATGGGGACCCAGCCCTCTGTTGGTACAGAACACCTGCAGGCCACCCCTGAATCCTATGGGACACTGAAAAAAAACCCAAAAGGGGAAAGATGGGGTGGAGTTCTCTGCCAACAGCCTCACAGCCCCATGTGAGGAGCCTGGTCAGGGTTTTTTTCCCCTCCTCTTCCTCTACAGGGTAATTACTCCCAGCAAACTCCATACACTTTAATTAAAATGACTGCAACACAAGAGCAAGTCACTTACAACTGTACATAGGGAGAGCTCTAAAAGCTTCAGTCACTGATAAGCATCTCCCTGAGATGGATCGTAATTGCTCCCAGCACCGGGTGATCATTGCTGTTGTTTTGCCACTAATTCCACACCAGAGCAGGAAAGCCAAGATTGCAGGACACACTGAATTGCATAATTTTTTTTCTTTTTTTTTTTTTTTTCTTTTTTTTTCTTTTTTTTTTTTTTTTTTGCCGGTTTTCTTTCTGGCCAATTTAAAATTTGTCAAAGTCGGTCTTCTTCTGGATCACTGCCCTTTGATATTTCGCGCACTCCATTTGCCACAAACAAGCCGCAGGGCCGCAGTTCATGCTGACTCCAGCAGAAGCAGAGAAAGCTCCATTTATCTTACACTGCCTGCTGAATTCTTACTCATTAGCTGGGGGTTCACTGCCTCTCTTTAACCCCTGAGTGGCTGTCATCCCTCCCCGGAGCTGCACCAGGAGATGCTCTCCCTCTCCCACCAGCCCACGCCGGGAGTGGGAGAGCAGGGGAGGCTCCAGATATCGAATCATTTGACATAAATCTGTTCATTATCAATTCTGCAGCGCGATTGCTGAAATGTTGATTAGCCCCCGTGGTTTATTAAAGTGTCACTCAAGAGTTGAGTGCAGGGGGAGAGAGGGGTGGCACTTCTCCTGCCCCAGAGCACATTCCCACATGGAATTGGGGTGCAGCCTGCAAGCCTTGGGCCAGAGTTTAAAATGCAGAGACTCAATTTCATTTATTTATTACAACTGGACTAGAACATGTAGGAGTGGAGTGAAAATCGGCCTCATTGTACAGATTCCGTGCCTTGTGTCAGAGGTGCAAAAATGGGGTGGAATCTGGGTGAAAGGAATGGCAGAATGGCTCCAGTTACAGCAAGAGTGGCTATTGCATTTCCATGGTTTTTGTAGGAAAAAGGCAGCATCCAGTCATCACCTGATGCACATTGTGATAGTGGGAATGTCCTCCTTGTTGATCCTGTGAGGTTTTCCTGTGTGCTGAATGCACCTCTAATTTTACTTATTTCACTTGTTAAATTTCCTAGGGCACTCAATCCGTGCTGCTGGGGCTTGGTTCACACCTAACTTGGCTAAAGAGCATCCAAAATTGTCTTTAAATTTCCAAATAACGAGTGAACACTCAATTATTCATCACTCAGCTCCACTTCAGCACAGCAGTTCCTCTCTGAAAAGAGCATTTTGGGGTGCAGGATCAGAACTGACCCCCACTGCCAGTTTTTAAGGAAAACCTGGGAGAAACACTGATCTTCTGATTCCCTCTCTCCTGGGGTGTTGGATGAACACAGGCTGTAACTTTGTTTTGTGGGTGATGCTGGTTTCAGTAGCTGCTTCCCTGTGCAGGTGCTGCTGCATTTAAATTGGTGTTAATTCACAATCACAAAGCTCCCAGAGCAAGTCCTGCTTTCTCTCAGCTCCTGCGTGGCTCTTGGTGCTGGGATATCCTCCCAGGAGGGCTGGGGGCAGGAATTTTTTGGAATTATGTCGCTGCCACACTTCACCTGCTGAGAAATGAGACCTCAGGAGCGGAGAGAGGGAAGGGCCAGGGTGGGAGTCACAGGGATTCTGCACAAGGATATTTGCAGCCTGTGCCACGAGCTGGTGTGACCTTCACTGGCTGTTCATGCTGCACCTTTCTGACATAAATCCTGCTGAATATTTAGTGAAGCAATTACAGCCTGTCTCATTTAAAGAAACAAGAGACAATCCAAAAATGCCTGTCTCTCCAGGGACGTGAGTGGCTCCCTGTGACCTTCCCTCTCCCCTCTGGAGCAGCTCCCTCCAGCCGGGCTGGGGGAGTTGCCTGGGCAGCCCAGACACCTTTGGCATTTTTGCTGCCTTTGCTGAATTTTGTGGAATCCCAGGATGGTTGGGATCAGGAGGAACCCTAAAGCTCATCAGGGACAGCTTCCATTATCCCAGGCTGCTCCAAGCCGTGTCCAGCCTGGCCTTGGGCACTGCCAGGGATCCAGGGGCAGCCACAGCTGCTCTGGGCACACTGTGCCAGGGCCTCACACCCTCTCAAGAGAATAAATTTATGTCTGGCAGTGCTTTGCTGAAGGAGAGAAGGTGAGGTTCAGGTGGGAGGCTGTTGTTGCAGGTGTGGGACCCCAAAGCTGCTGCTTTCCCAGGGCATCTTTTCCACTTTGTTAAGGCAGTTCTGTTGCTGATTTAAAAAGAGAAAAAAGCATGTGGTGCTGGGGTGTTCCCTGCCGTGGGTGGGCTCTGGGGGTGCTGGGAACAGAATTCAGAGGTTTCCCAGCCCCTTCCCATCCCAGCAGCCTCTGGAGCCGTGGTGATGGGGAAGCTGCAGTCCAAGAGCAGTAGGTGACATTTGCTGGCACTCAGGAGCCTGCCCTGTGCCCCTGCCAGGGTGGGGGTCACACAGTTCCTGGTGCTGCCCCAGCGGGTGCCAGGCTCTGCTCATGGAGCGGGGCTGTCTCACAGTGCTGCTCCTTTTGTTTCCCTATTGATTAGCAGCCAATCCATACCTAGAGGTCTATAATGTTCCTATGATTTAAACTTTAACAGTTTCATTAACTGTCAAGTACCTCTAGAGCAAAGGAATCCCATATTTTAACTCCCTTCTCCTTGCCAGGATAAGATTTGTGGAAGATACTTCTTTTTTTCTTTTTCTTTTTTTTTTTTATTTCCTTGAGAAATAAATAAATAAAGCCCAGGCTTTCTGAAAAACCCTGAGGCCTCGAGATCTGACTAGGAAAGAAAGAAAACCATTCCAAGATATTTAATTGTACAGGGGGCTTATGGGATTGATCGAGAGCTTAGCTTTTTACAATAGTCCAGTGAATAAGAAATGCTCCTGACAAACGATCGATGATGGGATAATCACTCTTTATCCCCCCTCCTCATTGTTACCTTCTTTCTTCCAGGAGAACAGGGTTCAGAAGTCAAAAATCTTTATAGACGCTGCTTTTAAATTAAGCAGAAAATAGACATTGACATATTTGTTAATCTCACCTAAATCATTACTGGGCCTGGCTGGGTGGACTCGGTGGCAGGGGCCGGAATTCACCAGCGGGGCTGCCTTAAGTGCTTGTGTTGCCATTAAAAGCAGGGAGCCTGGGAGTTCAACGTGGATAAATACAGATAATTTTTTATTCTGAAGGTTATAAGGGGAGCTTCTCTTAATTAAAACCTTCTTATTCGCATCTGAAGGGTTAGGTAACATTTATATTGGTAGGCACAGGAAAAAAAAAAAACATTCTTTCCCTGGGAAGGATCTTTGTCTGGAGGGCCTGTGCCTTGGAAAAATACATATGTGGGGTGTGTGAGCACCCAGCTCAGGTGCTGGGAGCTCTCCCCTTTGGACCAGCAGCCTTGGATTGCTGTGTGTGTGGGAATGAGGCGTGCAAGGAGCAGCGGCATCCTGGGATGGAGCCCCCAGCATGCTGTCTCAGCTCCCAGCTGTGGTTTAGAGGCTTCCTGAGCACAGATTAATATCTGATCCTCATGCTCAGGCGCCTGTGCTGGAATCTCCTTGCATGAGTTTGTCTCATCACCCTCTGTGAACCCCTTTGGGCCCAGTGACGGTGAATTCCAGCCTTGGGTTCTGTCCTGGTCCCCTTGGGGTTTCTGTAAAGCTTCTGCCCAGTGGTTTAGGCTGGGTTTGTTGGCTTGGGGTGCTTTGGCTTCCTGCAGTGATGGCAGAGCCCCTGGAGTGGGCTGTGGCAGGCAGCAGCCTGAAGGAGAGCTCGCAGGGGTGAAGCTGCTGTGCCACGCTCTGTGTTTCCTGCTGAATGAACAGCAGTGTTGGACATCATTCTCTTTTAGGAGTAAGTCCTGTAAATGTCACTTAATTGGCGGCTCAGATCGTTGGCATTTAAATGGAACAGAGTTTCCATGATGAAAACACCCTCAGAGCCCTTTTCTGGATCTCTGTGGCACAAAGTCTGGGCTGGACTAGGGATTTGCGGGGCACTGCTGGAAGCTGATGCTCCAGGGTTTATCCTTTAGCTTTTCCAAGCTCTGGAGCTGCACTCCCGAGCTTCCCTGGGGTCTGAGCTGTGTGTGGTTTCAGGCACCCCTGACTTTCCCTGGGGTCTGAGCTGTGTGTGGTTTCAGGCACCCCTGAGCTGTGTGTAGTTCCAGGCACCCCCGATCTCTGTGTGGTTTCAGGCACCCCTGATCTCTGTGTGGTTTCAGGTACCCCTGATCTCTGTGGTTTCAGACACCCCAGGTCTGAGCTGTGTGTGGTTTCAGAGACCCCTGAGGAGTTGTGTGTGGTTCCAGGTACCCCTGATCTCGCCCAGGTGTGTGGTTCCAGGTACCCCTGATTTTCCCCATGTCTGAGCTGTGTGTGGTTCCAGGTACCCCTGATCTCTGTGTGATTTAAGGCACCCCTGGTCTCTGTGTGGTTCCAGGCACCCCTGATTTTCCCCCCCTGACCTCGCTGTGCTTGCAGGCACCCCCGAGCTGAGCCCGGCGGACAGGAAGGAGCTGGAGGCCAAGCTGAAGGAGCGGGAGGAGTTCCTGGCCCCCATGTACCAGCAGGTGGCCATTCAGTTCGCTGACCTGCACGACACGCCCGGCAGGATGCAGGAGAAGGGCGCCATCACCGTGAGTGTCCCTGGGACGGGGGATCCCCGAGGAGTCTCCATCCTCCTCTGGTTGGATCTGGGGTGTGGTGTGGCCGTGCCTCACTGCGTGCCCGTCCCCAGGACGTGCTGGACTGGAAAACCTCGCGCACCTTCTTCTACTGGCGGCTGCGGCGGCTGCTGCTGGAGGAGGCCGTGAAGGGCAAGATCCACGAGGCCAACCCCGAGCTGACGGACGGGCAGATCCAGGCCATGCTGCGCCGCTGGTTCGTCGAGGTGGAGGGCACGGTCAAGGTCAGTCGGGCTCGGGTACCCACCTGGCCAGGGCGTGGGCAGAGACCGTGGGCACAGAGACTGTGGGCAGAGACCGTGGGCAGAGAGACCGTGGGCATTCCTTCTGGAATTGTGCTCAACTGCAGGCTCTGAACAAGGCCAGGCTGCTCCTGAGTTGGTTTGTCACAAGCCTCCAATCTCAGTATTGTATTTTATTTTATTTTATTTTATTTTATTTTATTTTATTTTATTTTATTTTATTTTATTTTATTTTATTTTATTTTATTTTATTTTATTTTATTTTATTTTATTTTTCTATTTTATTTAATTTTATTTTATTTTTTTTTTTTTTTTTATCTTATTTTATTTTATTTTATTTTATTTTTTCTGTTGTATTTTATTCTACTTTATTCTCTATTTTATTCTGTTTTATTCCATATTTCATTCCATATTTCATTCCATATTTTATTCTATATTTTATTCAATACTTTGTCCATATTTTATTCCATTTTTTATTCTATATTCTGTATTTTATTCTATATTTTATTCTATTCTATTCTGTATTCTATTCTATTCTGTTTTATTTCATTAATTTTATTTATATTGCTTAATTTTATGTATCTATTTCATTTTACTTTGTTACTGTATTATTTAATTTATATTATTTTGTTTATTTATGTAATTTTATTATACTTTATGCTACTTTATTTTACTTTGTTACTTTATTTATTTTACTTTATTTGTTACTTTATTTTACTTTATTTTATTTTACTTTATGCTACTTTATTTTACTTGGTTACTTTATTTATTTTAATTTATTTGTTACTTTATTTTACTTTATTTTACTTTATTTTACTTTTATTTTATTTTATTTTACTTTATTTTATTTTACTTTTTTTTAAATTCTGTTTTATTTCAGTGTTTTATTTTTTAATTCTATTTTTTATTTTTCATTCTGTTTTTGAAGTGCCCAGCAGCCAGGGGTTCCAGGGAAGGGGGGAATGTTCTCTGGAGGGCAGCAGCCTTTCCAAGGTAGAGCCTGAGCTCTCCAAAAGCAGGCAGCTCGTTAGCTAATACATTACACCAATCAAGGAGAGTTATCTTAAGCCACAATTAATCTGCTCCCTGGCATATGTTGATAGGGAAGCATCATGCTGTTTCTTAATTAAAAGCAAACGGATTAAAAATGATTAATAAGAGTATTAAATATTCTCCTAAACGAAAAGCTTTGGGATTCTTGGGTAAATGGAGCTTTACACAGGTCCGGGGCTGGGCTTTCCCCCCTTCCCTGGAACCTTCCTTTGTATGCAGGGAGTGCTGCTGCCTGCCAGGGGCACAGGCAGGCAGCAAAACTCCCACTTCCAAGTCAGAATAAGGAGAAAAACAATGAAATAAGCAAAATCTTGAAGTGACATCACTGAGCTGAGACAATCAGAGATGTCGTGTGAAAGGAAATAAAATAATCCTGGGGTTTGTGAAGTGTGTCAGGGGCTGGGATGGGCTCTGAAACCAAAATTCCTCCCTGGGAGAGGTTCCGGAGGAGCAGTGGCTGCCCCTGGATCCCTGGCAGTGCCCGAGGCCAGGGCTGGGAGCAGCTGGGACAGAGGGACGTGTCCCCTCTGCACAGCTCCCTGCCAGGAGGGGACAGCAGGGGACAGGGACAGCAGGAGAGGGGAGGTCCAGGCTGGGTATTGGCAAAACTCCTCTTGGGAAAGGAAAGTCCTCCTTGGGAAGGGCAATTCCTCCTTGGGAAGGGCAATTCCTCCTTGGGAAGGGCAATTCCTCCATGGGAAAGGAAATTCCTCCATGGGAAGGGCAATTCCTCCATGGGAAAGGAAATTTCTCCTTGGGAAGGGCAATTCCTCCTTGGGAAGGCTGCCCAGGGCAGGGCTGAGTGCCCGTCCCTGGAGGGATGGGGACAGGGGCAGTGGTGGCCTTGGCAGCGCTGGGGAATGGTTGGACTCGCTGATCCCGGAGGTTTTTCCAGCCCTGGTGACTCTGTGACTCCCTGGCTCTCTGTGCAGCACGGGGTGCCCAGGAGGTGCCACCACGGTGTCACCGCCCCCAGCTCATTGTCATTCTGCCTTTGGCTTGGTTAGTGATAACAGAGAAGGATAGTGCACCTTTAAATGAGGAGCTTTGTGTTTAATTACCCAAATAAAATGACATAAATATGAATGAGTGCTAATGGCAGTACTTGCTTTTCCGGAAACCATTAACAAAACGATTCTTAAATGATTTGTAAAGAAAATGAGAGGAGAGGAGAGAAGGCTGTTAGGGGCTCACACACTCCTGAGTTATTACACAGCCAACTATCTAGCAAATATCAGGTGAAATGATCTTGTGAAAGGCAAAAAGGGGGTTGTGGCTGAGGGTTCCAGACACTCCGACCTGCCTGGCCGTGCCCAAGGGGCTGCCTGGCTCCAGGGCTGGGTCAGGGCTCCACCAGCACAGGGGCAGGCTGGAGGTGATGGGGATCACAGGTCCCCTGATGATTTAGCACTGAGAGAACCCCTGGAGCAGCTGCACCTCAGGCCAGCCCTGTTCCACCAGAATTTGGGGAGCTGATCACCAGGGAAACTGGGATTTATCTGGGACAGCTCCTGGGTTTGATGCAGCTCGTTCCCTGCAGCACTGACCAAGCACCTCCTTGCTCCCCTTCCATCTCATTTACGGCAGGATGCAAAAGAAATGGGTAATCTCTGACCTTGTGCTGATTGTTGGGTGCGTTTGTGGGGATGCCCAGCCAGATGTGTCACCACAGCTGCCAGTCCAGGAGCCGTGGGGTAAATGTGGGGCGTGGGCAGGGCGAATCTGGGCTGCGGGCTGAGCTGTGGCGTTTTGGCAGGCCTACCTGTGGGACAGCAACAAGGACCTGGTGGAGTGGCTGGAGAAGCAGCTGACGGAGGAGGAGGGCGTCCGCTCGGTGGTGGAGGAGAACATCAAGTACATCTCCAGGGATTACGTGCTCAAGCAGATCCGGAGGTGAGCCAGGGAGGGGACGTGGGCGGATCGGGGATGGCTCTGGAGCTGCTGCCCTCTCCGTGGGGCACAGGGGATTCCATTCCTGTGTGACCCCAGCCCAGCAGTGTCCTGGGGAAGCGTGTCCATGCACAGCCCCAGCTCCAGCCCCCTGGAACTGCTGCTGGGAGCTGCCTCACTCGCTCCTCTCCGTGCTCTTTGCAGCCTGGTCCAGGCCAACCCCGAGGTTGCCATGGATTCCATCGTGCACATGACCCAGCACATCTCCCCCACGCAGCGAGCCGAGGTCGTGCGGATCCTCTCCACAATGGACTCGCCTTCGTCCACGTAGGAGCCCGGGCTGCTCTGCCCCGGAGCGGGATCTGCCCTGGTCTGCTCGGCCACGCCGCCGGGGGAGGCTCAGGGAGCGCTGCTGCAGTGACATTTTATCTTTTCAAATCAGGCTGGCCAGAGGAAGCGTGTCCTTTGGCCAGGGACACGAGGAAAATGTATAAAAACACAAAGCGCCTGCGGAACCGAGTCCCCGCTGTCCTCCTGTACCTTATTTATTGAACAGAGCGGGGCTGGGTGCTCCAGTACCGCGAGGCCTTGGCATGGCAGGGACGCCCCTGTCCCTCCAGGGACACCCCTGTCCTTGCAGGGACACCCTGCCCTCCTCTCCTCTCCTCTCCTCCCCAGTGCTGACAAGTGCCAATGTCCCCCTGTCCCCCCGCAGCCCCTGGCTCTGTCAGTGGGGATTTGTGTGTCACCCTCTGTCAGCGGTGATCTGATTTGTGTGTCCCACGTCTGTCTTGTCTCCTAGGTAGAGGAAAACCAGCCTTTAGCTGCTGTGGCAGGGCTGTCCCCGTGCCCCCAGGAGGCTCCCGGGCTCCCCAGGGCTGGGAAGGTTTTTGGGGCGCAGGATTTTGGGGGATTTGCACCCCTGTCGCTTTGTGTTTGTGCCCGATTCCTTTAGAGCAGGCTGTGAATTGTGTGGAAGGCCCTTCTGGGAGGAGGCACAAGAGACCAAAGTGCAGCTGCTCAGCATTTCTGCCCTCCCTGCCCTGGTTTTTCAGGGCTAACGGGGGGGCAGCCCCGCTGTGCATCCTCGGTGAGTGAGGGAGGAGAAAGGACAGAGCCAAATCCCCCAGTGGGGCTGCAGAAGGAAATCTCAGTGTGAGGATCCAGGAGAGCTTTTCTCCATCGCCCTGCCCTGCCCCAGAGCTGCTGTGTGTATCCAGGGAGGGGCCACCTCTTACCTGGGAATGGGAAAAATGTCGGGTTTGGATCTCATTGCAATGGTCAGGAAGAACTGGGTGGCAGGTGAGTGCAGGAAGGGGTGGCAGCTGCCCAGGTCCCCCCCGATCCCCAACTTCTTTCTACTCGTTTTTTATGTAAGAGAAGCTCGGAGAAGCTGCAGTGCTGGAGGGGAGCACAGCCCACCCCTCACACACAGCTCCTGCTGCCGGGCTGGGCCTGGGCACTCCGGGCTCACCAGTGATGGTCTTGGAAGAATTTCAGATTTTACAGCCCCTCCTCTAGTCCAGCAGGAAGGGCTGTAGGTCAGAAGTATGGCACATCAGAAGGGCTGTTTTATGAGAGAATTAATCCATGATGCTGCCAGTGCCTCTCGCCCTTCCCTGTTTCCTCCTGAAGTGCAATGCAGCCCTTCTGCCTGTGCTGCCAGTGACTGGAGGTGCCAGCCCGGGGCCGCTGCTCCCCTGCCTGTGGCCAGCAGAGCTCAGCCACCTGCAGGTTTTGCTTTTTCTTAATAGTTAAGAACCCTAATTTGATTTAAGAGATTTTTTTTTTTCCACTAGAGCCCCCTGAACAAGCCCCAAAGATGCTTTTGCTTACGCCAGGGTGGGCTGCAGCAGGACACACAGACAGAGAATGTTTCAGCCAGGCAGGACCGGGACTTGTGGGGCTCCTCTGCTGTCACCAGGGTCCCTTTTGCAGGACATCTGCAGGTGCAGTGGGAGCTGTCCCCGTGCCCACTGTGCCACGGCCTCCCCCAATTTCAGTGTTACAACACCGGCTCAGACCCCACTCAGTCTGGGGGTAAAGCAGCTCCAAAAACACCTGCTGGGTGACATCGGGGGCTGCAGTGGCCCTGGGGCGTCTGGGCCTGCTGGGGCCCTGTGGCAGCAGCACCTGGATGTCCCCAGGTGTGGGGGGTCACCGGGAGGGGGACAGCCCTGGGTACGAACGGTTCTCGCTGGTGCTGAAGTATTTCACTTACCTCAATTTCTTTTAATAAAAAGAATGAATTCCAGCTCTGTTGCTGCGAGTGGAATCTGTCACCTCTGTCCTGGGGGAGCTGAGCTGTGCTTGAGGACACAGAGGGTTCTGTGGAACCCCTCCAGGTCAGCTGTGCCCTGCCCTGAGCTCCCAGCTCGGTGTCACCAAACCTGCTGGTGGCCACTCCCCATTCCCAGCCTCCACTGTCACCTTCAGCATCACAGTGAATGGGACAAACAGGGAAAACCCCCCCAGACCCCAGAGGCTGCTGCTGAGGCGGGAGAACTTCAGGACCCTTTTCCCAGGGCTGTTCTGTGGGCAGGGATGGTTGGACTGGATGATCCTGGAGACCTTTTCCAGCCTCATTCTGTGCCCTGCTCAGTCAGAGCCTGCAGGGAAAGGCCACCAGGACTTTGGCTAAAGGATGTCCTTGGGAGCTGATCCACAAATACCCTTTGGAGGGCTCCCCACAGAAGGTGAGATTTAAATTTGCCCACCACAACTCCAGTGGTTGATTTTTCCACATTTCTCAAAGCAGAATCATGATGGTTAAAATTTGGGGGGTGGTGAGGGGACAGACCCTACTGAACTCCAGCATCACGTTTAAAACTCTTTAGCCTAAAATAGCTCCATATTAAAATGCCAAGAAAAGCCGTACCAAAGCTGTAAGCTCTCCAAAGCCCAAGATCAAAGTGCCATCATCTTTTAATGTAAACCTTTTGTTGCATCAACAGTCTTAAGAGGGATGAGAGACATCAAAATAAAAACTGAGACAAACTGGGGCTTTGTAGCTGTTTTTTGTTTTAGTCTCTTCTCTCAATTTGGGCCATGAAATAGGTCAGCTCCATTACTGATCAGCCTTCCCACAAATATTTAAAACAAATTGAATTGCACACCCAATACCCATCACAATTACGCCAGGCACAATAACTAAATTAGCAATTCAACAAAATAATTGGAAATGCGATTCTCTCCATTCCAGAGCCTCCCCCGGGGGTTTGGCCGATCTATGGGGGGAAAACTCTGCTTTACTAATTCTGCAGCTAATTAGAGACACACTTGTAAATGAAGTTGTTTGTCTGAAAGTTGAAATTCTTGGCTGTGGCGGGGTTGTGGGGAGAGGATTAACACAACCCTCTGTCCCTCCCTCTGCACACCCCAGTCCCCAAAACACCTCCGAGTGTTTTGCTAAGGTGTAATGCCCATTTGTGGAGGTACTAATTAGCAGCTGTATCATGAATTAATAAAGAATTAATATTCTATTGGTGGGGGTGGGGGGGAAGGAGAGGGAAGATGTCAGCACATCTAAAGTGGTTCCTGTTGCAATTTTAACATTACAGCCGGAAAGGGAACGGGGAAAAACCACCGAGAGCTGCGGAGCCGCGGCTGCAGAGGACATGGAGTCACACGGAGGGGTGGCACAGAGGGCACAGGTGTCACAGGGCAGGGGTGGCACAGACAGGTGTCACAGGGCAGGGGTGGCACAGGACACAGGTGTCACACCGAGGGGTGGCACAGACACAGTGTCACAGGGCAGGGGTGGCACTGAGGGCACAGGTGTCACAGGGCAGGGGTGGCACAGATGTCACCTGGCAGGGGTGGCACAGCTCTGGGACTGAACCCAGGGGTTTGATGCCGTGGATGGCAGAACCTCAGCTCCCTGCAGGCCAAAGCAGGGCTGCTGACCTGGCACAGGTGACAAAAATCAGCCTTTCCCTGTGTCCCCCACAGCTCCTGGCTGGGGCTGTGCCTGCAATGGGCTCTGCTGGATGTGGGGTCATTGAAATCCCATAAGGTCATCAGTGGATCCCGAAATCCAGGTGCTTTTCTGGCTTGGATCTCTGTGAGGAACAGAGATTTACTCATCCCTGAAAGCTCTTCCAGCCAAGTCAAGCCTCACCTGGCACTTGCTTTGCTTTCTGAAGGAAACCCGATGGGGCAGGGAGGGATGGGGATTCCTGCACGGATCACACCGGGACAAGCAGCTCACAAACCTTTTTAATTGGAGTGCCCAAAGCCCAGCCAGGGCCAGGGGAACTCTGTGGGACAAACCACGGCCGTGACAGGGATCGGTGACACCAGGGCAGCCCCATTTCTGATGGATCCCTTCGTGGGGGTTTACTGCAGACCACAGAAGGTGAACTGGGAGCTCTGGTGCCTGCACAGCAGCACCTTTCCTCTGTTTTAAGGCCATGTTAATTATGGAAATGACATTTAAATCCTCTTGACTGGTAAAAAATTAAGTCAATACGCAGCCAAGCACCAGAACAGGGCACTGAACCCCCCCCAGCCCCCAAATCTCCAAGGTTTTAGCACAGCTTTGGGGGACCCAGCTGCAGGGGGGGCTGGATTGTGTCCCTCCCCCCAGACTGTGCCCAGGCTGCAAAATCAAGGTCAGGAATTTAAAGGGAATAGTTAAAAATGGATTGTCCTTGGGAGGAGGCATTTCAGGCTGGGCAGGGGGTGTTCAGCCAGGCTCACTCCCCTCTGATTCAGCAGGTTTGGTGCTCCTTCACCGGGGATTTTAGGGACAAACCAGAGGCTGGAGAGAGCTGGCTCTGCTCCTGGGCAGCCTGAGGGAGCAGCTGAGGGCAGAAGCAGCTGGAGAACACCAGGAGCTCAATCCCAGCTCCTAATTCTGCTCAATCCCAGCTCCTAATTCTGCTCTGCCTCTTCTCCATCCCTGACTTTTCCAAACAGCGACCGGTACAGCTCCGTCCTGGGGAAAAAACGGGGAGGGAAAAGTTACTTTCCAAGGTCAAAATGGAAGCAAAAGGCTGCCACAAAGCCTCCACTCCTTCAACAGGAAAGGCCTGGTGTAATTAAAAATCTTTATTAACAAATACAGGCAGAGAGGGGCGACTTGTGTGAGCCCAATCCCAGGCAGGACAGAAATATGGAAATATTCCAGTGTGGCTGGATATTGGATCTCCAGAGAATGAGGGTTTCTATAAGTTTGCCCTTAACAGACAGGCTCTTCAAGTAAGAAAACAAGATTGAATATTTTAATAGGATGTACGGGGCTGTGAGGAGGATTCAATCACACAGCCAACGTGGGGCTGTAATTTAGTTTTCATACATTTTCTTGGACAGTACTTGTAAAACAATGAAAATGACCCAGCAACAAGATTCCAATTAATATCCCATGTGCAGCAATTCTGATAACAGGAGCAAATTTCCCTTAAAAAAAAAAATTAAAAAAGAAAAGTGGGCTGGTGTTATTTATCTTTAATTTTAGAAGCAGAGAACGTGAGCTGGGAGAAAGGAGGGATTCTTATGGAGCAGGCAGTTCTGGCTATGGAGGGAAGAGCTGGATTTTCCCAAACTGCAGCTCCTAAAGCCTCTTGGCTGCACACGTGGAGGGGAGTGCTGGGTACACAGGTGGGATTTTCCCTTCCAAGCACAGCAATATTTGGGTTTGGGCCTGTCCCTGCTTGCAGACACCTCCATGGGAGGGTTCCCTGCCAGCTTCCAAAGGAGGAATTCCATGTGAAAACTTCCCCAGAAGTGCAGGAATGGAGTCTCAGTGCCAGCAGTGCAGGATGGAAGGACAAATTCGTGTCCTGCCCACAGGGAACAGCCTCAAACCTTCCCCAAAAACCACCCTGAGGGAATCCGGGGAAACCCTTGCTCCCCTCTCCAGGCTCTCCAGGCCCTTCTCCCTTTCATATTCATTCTTCCCATCCCCAGGAAGGTTGGGGAGCTCAAAACCGACGTGCACATTTTGGGGAACCCCACAGGAATTACTCAGGGAGAGCAAAGCTTCTGTGTCTGCCTCATGAGCAGCCAAACCCCAAAAGTGCTGCTCTGCCTGCCTTGGCTTTCCCCACTGGGGCAGAACCCAGGAGGAGAATTCCTGGGGGTTTTCTCTTCCTTTTTTGTGGGTTTGATGCTCTCCTGTGTGTGCAGGAGTTCAGGGATGGATGCAGAAATTCCTCCAATCCCACGGATTTTAAATAAACATTTTTCAAGCGAGCAGGGCCCGGGGAGATTTCAAGGAAGAATTTATCTTTGCTGGCAGAGCAATGTTTGCTGGCACGGACAGGCTGACATGGAAACTCCAGGTTTTGGGGTCAGAGGGGTTCCCCCATCCCCCCAGGAATGGCACTGGCAAAAGGAATGGGATGAAGCAAAACCCCAGAGCATCCTTGTGGATAATGACAGCAGGGACAGACACCCTGACAAGAGGAGGAGAGCAACCAGGTAACCCCAGAACCCCCAAAACAGGGCAATCACTTCACCCTGAAAATAAAATATCAAATAACCCAACCCTTTTTCCCCCCTCTCCTCATCAGCCAGGCTCCCTTTCTTCTGCAGCCTCTCCCCTCAGCAGGATTTAACCGTGCACAGAGGAAAACTCATCAATCCTCCAGGTTTAACCTTGTCTGTGTTTCAATTCACCAGGGTAAGTGTGGATTTTAATACTTTCAGCCCCCTTAAGGCTATGCATAATGAACTTGGGTTTTGGTTAAAAAAATATCAAATTTCTCCCCTCCACCCACAGATATGAAACATCAGAGTTGAGGCAGTGGCTTGAGACACCCAGTGCTACCTGGAGCTGGGGGAAAGGTGACTTCAGCACAGGAGGAGTGGAGCAGCCTGTGCTGAGGGACAACCTGTGCAGGGATTTAAATATATATATATATATATAAAATTATATATATTAATATATATAATTATATATATAATATAGAACTATATATATAATTGTATAGATAATTATAAATAAATATATAAATTATATATAATTATATATATAATATAGAACTATATATATAATTGTATATATAATTATAAATAAATATATAAATTATATATATATATAATTCTATATATAATATAGAACTATATATATAATTGTATATATAATTATAAATAAATATATAATTTTTTTTAAATGTATGTTATATATATACATAAAAACCCCCACAACTCCCACCCAGAGCAGGTCGATACAAGGGTCTTCCCTGAATTAAAATTTAACTCACCCTTTATTGCAACCCACAAAAGCAAGTAATGAGCACTAACATTTTTATTTCTTTTAAACTGTCATTTAGGCTGTAGAGGGGATAATTACCTATTTCCACTGTAGTAAGGTTTTATCACCCTTAGTGAGGCATTTTCTAATTTAATATTTTTACTGTATTATCATAAAACCTGTTTCTGGAAAAAATGATCAGGACCCACACAGCCATTTGCCATAAAACATGTGTGTGTGAGTACCTTGGCTTAATTATTTATGCATCTCTTCCAGAGGCAGGGGATGGCACCTCCCCACCTGGCCACTGCTGATATTAATATAATGATAATTAATAAACAAATATAAACAATATAATGATATTTTTAAATACCATTACAATGATATTTTAATATATATATATATATTTATTATATTGCTGGACACAATATTATTTTTAAAAAAAATTAAAATTATTTTTAAAATTTATTTTTAAATATATAATTAAAAAAAATTAAATAAAAGCAGCTACAGCCAGCCCAGGTGCTGAGGGTGGTGCTTCCCCCTCCAAACCCCAGTGACACTCCCTGCTCCAGCATTCCCTGTGGGGTCACTGCCATGGGGCTCACGGGGCTGTGGGGATGCTGCAGCCCCAGGAGGTGGCACTCAGCCTCTCCCCAAAACCCTGGCCATAAATCCCTGGCCAGAAATCCCCAAAGGTCCTCCCAGCTCCTGCAGGAGCTCCCAGAGGCTCCTGCAGCTCCCTGGCAGCTCAGGATCAGGTCCTTCGTGCCCTGCAGATGCTTTTACCCCATGATTTAAATTACAAGAGGTGACATGTGACCCTGGCCCGACCCCTGAGAGCAGGCCCAGACTTTATAAACATTTCAGATAATATTTATTGATTTAAATAATTTAAATAATATTTATAAATATTGCTGGTGCTGGCCCTCAGCAAAGGCACCGTGCACATCTGGAGGGGCTGGATGTGGGGATGGGGTGAGCAGGGGGGGACAGCAGAGATGGAGCTCGGGGTCCCCAGCCCTGGCTCCATCCCTGCTGTCCCCGAATTCCAAAATTCCCCTCCAGCAGCACCCACCCCCTGCCCAGCCCTGTGCTTGGGACACACGTGGAGCACAGCTGGAGCCTCTCCCATCCTCATTTTGGTCCCAGTCCCATTTCCAAAGCAGCACAAAGCATGGAAGATGCAGAGAAGCAGCAAAACACAGAGACCTGCAGGCTGTGCCCTGGCCTGTGCTCCAGCAGCTCCCATTTCCCCAGGAAATCCATCAAATGCTGCCTTCCCAGGCTGCCTTGGGATGGGTGTTTGAGCAGGGCAGGCTCTGGGAAGTGCCCTGTGCAGAGGAAACCATTCTTTGTGCTCCTCATATTCCGAGGACGATTTCCCTCTTTCACAGCTTGCCTGTTTTATAACAGATTTGATGCAGGAGAAGACAAATTGTCTCACAAAGGAAAAACGACAAATCATCTCGCAGCCCTTAACAGGTTATTTTTTTTTCCCCCTTTAAGAGGGAAATTTCCATACCAGAGGCTCCTGTCTGTTTGCCAGGGATGTCAAACATCAGCTGTGGGGACACCACGAGCCCAGCCCAGTGCCACCAGCTGGGTCACACTTCAGACTGGCAGATGAGCCCACAGAGCTGCAGCACCAGCCCTTCCAAAGCTCTGGGTGAGGGACACGGGTGCTACACTGCACCTCCAGGGGCCACAGGCTGGAGGGAGTTTAAATAAAACAAAATCAGGCACAAAGAGAAGAAATGTCAAGGGCAGGTTGGAGCTGGGGCTTGGAGCAGCCTGGGACAGTGGAAGGCGTCCCTGCCCTGGCAGGGGTGGCACTGGGTGGGCTGTGAGTTCTCTCCCACCCAAACCAGTCTGGGATTCTGGGATTCCAAAGCTGTGGTGCCTCAGGATCCATCCAAGCAGGTTTGGTTTCACAGAATAAGGTTTTTCCTTTGGTTCCACAGTGCCCTCCATGCCCTGCTGCCCCCCTTGCTTCCCAAAGCAGGACATCCCTTCTCCCAGGCTGTGCCTGGACAAACCTGGAGGCGTTTTCCTCACACCAGCAGGGTCAGTGAGGTTTGTGCCATGCAGCACTGAGCTGCTGGCTCACTTCTTCCAGCAGGAAGGGCTTTGCTTCCTCCCAGGAGTTCTGTGCTGGTGAACAGCCTGGATTGACAATCGCAGAGCCCAGATTCCTCCATTAATCTGCTCTCATGGTGTTTTAATACCCCAAGTACAAAGTGAGCCAAGTTAAAGGCTGGTATCTCACCAACCTTTTTCTTTAATTTTTTTTTTTTTATTAAACTCCTGTGTCATATAAGTAAATTAATCCTTTAATACCAGGATTTCCTGCTACGTACCCCCCTCTGCTTGCAGCAAGACTCTCTGTGACAAAGCAACTGCACCAAAGGGAGAATGCTGATTGGGAAAATGCACAGGGCCTGGCTGCATCCAAGGGAAAGGCTCTAATCCAAACCTCACTGGATAATCTGGCTGTTCACTGAGCCTCCCAGCAGGCCCCACTCTGCTCCTGCAGGAGCAGCACTGGCTGGAGGCTCCTGTGCCACGCAGGATCCTGGAGCAGGGGCTCATCTCCTGCACCTGCACGTGGGATCGAAGGAAGTGATTCCCACCTCACCTTGTGGTGACACTGCCAGCTCTGACACAGCCCTATCAGAGCCACCTTCTCCCTCTGATCTGGCTCCTAAAGGATGCAAATTCCTCCTCCCTAACCAGGATCCGTGTGCTGAGGCATAACCCAGCCGACATAAAATGGGATCTATTCCCCACCTGGACATCCCCAGCTGGAATTCCAGCGTGTCCTGCCCGACTCTCCTGCAGAAAAGGCTCCTCTGGGCTCCTGCAGAGCCCTGGGTGCTGTGTTTAATGATGATGTATGGGTGCCCTCCCCCTGGGGGGTGTGGGGAGGGGTCACACGTGTGACACTGCCAGCCTGTGTGTCAACAGCAAATTATAAACCGTGTCAATCCCAGCTAATGCAGAGCTGTAATCCTCTTTAACAAGAGATCGAATCAGTGCCATGAGTTATGTTCATTCTGCAATCTGATAAGAAATAGAGTGAGCCTCTAATAAAAGAGTAATGAGAGCCCTTAATGATGCTGTTAAAAGGTAGTGCCAGTTAAAATACTGCTGTTGTTCCAGCTGATTAGATCACTGTTGCATATTTGCACAATCTTGTTTTACCTGTCAGAATAACCTGAGCTGTCTGGGGAGATAAAGGTGTTTGGACCAAACATCTGTGTCCTTGGAGGATGTCTCTTCCTGGAAGTTACTGTCCTCCAGAGGTGAAATGAGGATGTTGGTCAGACTTGGCACTCTTTGACACCAGCCCTTGCTTTGGAGTGCTCAGTCAGGACAGAGCTGAGGGTTTGTGTCTCACAGCTGACAGACAGAGAGGAAAAACCCCAAATGCACACCCAGCTCTTCCAGGGACTGGGAAGAGCTCACCTGAGCTGGGAACTGGATCCAGCCCAGCACTGGGAACACCTCACTGCCCTGCAGGTGTTCTGGGCAATCCTGAGCCTCAGCCTGCCCAGAAATAAACACCTGTACCTGGCACAGGAGATCTCTGCACCTGCACACGTGTCTGACCTCCTAAAAGATGATCAGTGCCTGCACAGGAGGCCTGGGTGCAACCTCAGCTCCAGCCCAGTCCTGTGTGACATCTTTGGGAATTCCCTGAGGCTCTTGCCTCAAGGATCTCAGGACCCAAAGGCCTGTGAGATTAGGGGCTGTCAGCCCTCTGTGCCCCATCTCCACAGCAAAGGCTGCCCTGCTCCCAGCTCTGCTGCACAAGGTGCTCCTGAAGGATGCCATGTCCTGATGGTGGGAAAAACCTATTTCAGGGCAAGTCCAAGAAGGGGAAACCACATCATGCCACACTCAAACCCAGGAGAAGCCACAACCTGCCTTGTCCTGCCCCAGACAGCTCCTGTCTCCTCTGGACAACCCCCAGAGCACAGCCCAGCTCTGCCTTTGGGTTCCTTGTCCCAGGGCAGAGCATTTACCCAGCAGTGACCTTGCACCGATTAGAAAACCCTTGGCCCAAGAGGACAATAAATGTGTTAAAGTCTATAAACACAGACCCCAAGGTAACCATAAAAATCACTTCCCAGTGTGTGTTTTAAAATACTACCAGAGAGGGGTTAAAAAGGAGGAGGGTTGGAGGCCACCAGTGCCCCACACATTACAACATAAAATATGTGAGCAGGAGGTTAAAGAGCCCTGCCCATGCCTGGGGTGCCTGGAAAAGGGGCAAGGGGAAGATTAATTGCCTCCAGCAATGCTGCTATCCCAGCCAGCAGCAGGAGTGAGCAGGAAGTGGCAGGGATGTTGACAAAGGCACTTATTTTGACTTGTGTGCTTCTCTTCTCGAATCCAGGCTGTAAAATCTGGAGTGATCCCCTTCTCCTGGCAGTGCCCAGGCTGCTTCCCCTGACAGGGATCTCTGTGTGCACGGCCAAGGAAGGAGCAGAGCCACAGCACCACTCACTCCCTGCACTCTGTACCAGCCCCAAGCCCACCCACATCTGCAGACACCCATTTATCTATTTACTGGCATTTTCCTGGTGTCTTCCTGCCCCTGTGGCCACTGGTAGAACTCAGAGGAAAAGCTCTGCCAGCTGTTTCTACACCCACTTCATACACAGCTCTGCCACTGGGAAACCTCTCCCACCACAGCACAGTGCCCTGTTGATCACAGGTGCTTCAATTTTGGGGTCGTGCATTTTAAGTGCCTGACCAGAATAAAACAAAACTGGCTCAGAGCACAGTCACAGCCCTGTGAAGGGTACATGTGCATTTTCAATCCAGTAATTCACACTTGCCAGCAGTAAGATTACCTGTTCCTGCCACAAAGGGAAGCTGTTACCACTGCTGCTTCCCCCTCCAGCACACAGGCCTGGCTGCTCTGTTTAATCCACCTGCAGATGTTGAATTCTGCTTGCTTTGTGTGGTGCAGCTGTGTGCTGGACAGAGATCTTGTGGCTCATGCCAGGGGCAGGGGTATTTTGAACAGAGAAGTGAGCTCTGATTTTCAAACAAATGACTGAGAACAGCAGATCTCTTCATCTGAGGAGAGCTGAACCAAAACACCCACAAAAGGCCTCATTTTCAGTCTCCCACTGCAGTATTTTGGATGTGTTCAGTGTATGGATGCAAACACAAGTGGTGTAAACTGTGAGGGGAGACAAAAACTAACACCCAGCTTCTCACAAGAACTCCCACTCAAATGTGCAAGGGCTGCTGCAAAGAGGAAGCAGGAATCTGCTCCCATCTGGAACACGACAAGAAATTATGGTCCTAAATCACAGCAGAGTGAAATTCAAGCTAAACTTTAGGACTGCATAGATGGAGGAACAGCTTGGAGCCTCCCACATTTCTTTCTGTGCTGAGAGGATCCAAACAATACTGAAAAATCAGAGCAGCTGGGCTTTGCTCTCACTTGAAAAGAAAAAAAAAAAAAGGAGTGAAAAAAACCCAGAGTAAAGCAACTCTGAGAAAGATGCAGTGATGAAACAGCACAGGTGCTATGGACACAAAACTTCTCATCCATAAGTCCCTGCAATCCCCCAAAAGGCAGCAGGTATTTGGTTTCCATTTCACAAACAGACAAATGACATCTCTCCCTCACAGAGCACAAACATGTTCCACAACCCAGGGGAAAGATGTTTCTCAAGCTTTCTCCATCCATTCACTGGAAAAATTATCCCACTTCCTTCCCACAAACAGCTCAGCTTTTGGAGATTGGGGTTTAAAGTGTTTTGCTGAAGAAATACGGGTGGATATGTGGGAGAGCTGTCTGGAAACTATGCTCAAAATTTCACTGGTGTTTTCTCTACTAATTACCACATTAAAACATTACAGTCTTCCAATAAAATTCTTTACTCTTTAAATAGAGATAAACACAAGCAACGCAAAAGCCTTGAGTGAACCTTGAGAGAACTATTCCAGTTATTAACTGAGCTAACAAAATGCACATTAAACAGAATTTAGAAGTTGCTATTTCTGTTAGAAGAGAAGCTCTTTTTAAGCTCTGATTCTACCTGAAGACACCAGGTGGCTTAGCTGTGTATTTCCAAATTAATTCCATAAAACGGGGAAATTCCAAAATTTAGGACTTTTGAAATTAGAACTCCTAATTTCAAATCAGGAGTTCTAAAGCAGGAATCAAACCCTAGGTGCTAGAGATTTATGACAATTTCTGGTTTGCTATCACAGTAATTACAGTGTGAAAGCTCAGCCAGGCTGCCAGGACAGATGTGACCAAGACACCCAGGCTGTGATGCCAGTGACAAATGGGGAGCTGATAAGAAGGAATGGAGAGGGTGACAGGCTGAAGAACAGGTCAATACCACGCTGTCATGGAGCCATTTGAGAACCATAATTAATCTCTTACTCACCTGGCATCATCATTCATTGTGCAGAGGTCAATAGGTGCCATGAAGCTCACCAGCTTGCTGTGGACATGGTACCTGGGGAGAGCAGCAGGCAGCACTCAGGAGCTGCTCCCAGGAGGAAATGCTGCTGGCCTGAGCAGCAGCAGCTCCCAGAGGAAAAGCAGGGCTCCCCTGGGGGCTGAGCCCTAAGGAGGCACCAGCTGGAGCTGGCAATGCCCCTCCCCTCTGAGAACAGCAATGAGCAGGTGAACAGTGAACTGAGGGACAGCAAATCCTCTCTCATGCCAGCCAGGGACAGCACAGAGCCCCAGACAGACCAACTGCCCCTCCCTGCCAGCCCTCCCATCACCCCTGCTCCAGCATCCCTCTGCTCCCCCTCCTGCCCTGCTCTGTGCTCTGCAGAGCCCTGAGGGACACCAAAATCCACCCTGGAGCCATTTCCAGAGCTGGGAATCCCACCCTGAGTGACCTGCACATGCAGCATGTGAAAACCAGGGCAGCAGGAGACAGGAAAAGCCTGTGCAGAGATGGGATGGGGCACGTTCTCATCACCAAAACGTTGCTGACAGCTGTCCTGCACCTCCAGAGAGGAGATCCCCATTCCATTTGCCACCCTGGGCAGGAGCCTGCAGGGATTTCATGATTTATATGAAAGCAAAGTCATGAAAGCAAATTTAAGCACTGCTGTCTCAATTTTAGAGAAGGAGAGAGGGTCAGGGATCTCCTGGGGTGACACCAGCTCTCTCAGAGGAAACACCAACTATTTAAAAACCCATTTGGGCTCTACTGCCCTATTCTGAAAAATGCAGGAGCTTAACTGCACCTTAATCCCAACCACAGACAGTGAAACTTTCTCCCTTTTATTGTTATTTTCCCCGCAGGGTCAGCACAACTTTTAGTCAGAGGAGCAAAAAGAGGCACTAAGATGTAAGAGGCAGCTGGCTGGGGGGAGAGCTGCTCCCCCAGGAGTGCTGAAGGCACAGACTGCACCCAAGGAGAGATTCCCCATTATTCCTGGAGCTTTACGAGGCTGCCTCAGTTGTGTGATGTTGTCAGGAGTTTTGACTGAATCCTGAATATATCCAATTATGTGTGATGCTGACAGAAAAGAATATTGATAGTCAATAATTATAGGCTTTTCAGGCCAACAAAGTAGCTCTTCCCTCTTTCAATAAATTATCTTATGACATCTATCTTAAAAATTGCTATGCCAGGCCAGACCCAGACTGACTCCACTGACTTTCTATCAGATGCCATCTAAACTCAGGATTTATGGTTTACTCACAAAGGATGGTTAATGTGCTGGATTTTTCAGGAAGCAGAGCAGCTTCTCAGCATCCTCCCTCCTCCACCACAAATCACGCTGATCTCAGGGAGACTCAGAGAGCTGCTCTGCAGAGGGGAAACACCTCCTGCTCTCCAGCCCTTCCCACGTGGGAGATTCTCCCACTGAGCTCAACTCAAGTGAGTGATGCAGGAGGGAAATGATTCAGACATGAAGGGAGCTGTGATGTCAGTTAGCAGCAAAGAGAGATCTGACACCAAATTCCAGCTGGCACTCAGTGAGAAATAGAGATTTACCTGAGGTATTTCTGCACATCTTCCCTTGGAGGTGCTGCCATGTCTCAGTCAGGAAATACAAATTGCACAAGAGGGGTTTGTTGGCTCTCTCTGGAAATCCCAGCCCCACATGGCTCAGGGACATGTGAGCACCTTTCTCTGGTGTTTCCCCAGAGCCTGACTGGGGCAATGCTCCCAGGCTGCATCCACCAAGCTTTTATTCCAGGCTCCAGGAACATCAGCATTCCCCAGTGACTGCCCAGAGCAAGAAATGCCCTCAAAGTCACAAATCAGCCAAGATTCCCCAAAGCCAACTGGGGTAAAACACACCCAGAGCTGTCAGATTTTTTTTTTTTTCTCAAAATCAGGATTGATGTGTGCTTGCAGAAGGTGTCACTCACCGGATTCTCCTTCCTTTGCTGGCTTTTCTGTCCACTTTCTTCTTTATTTTGCTCCGTAACTTCTGTATGGCCAGCCACTGCCTGGGGGATGCAGAACAACAGGAACACAACTTCAGAGCCACTGAACACTCCCAGAAACACTCTCTGATCCCCAGCTGTATTAAAAGCTCCACTTCTCAACCAAAACTTCCTCAAGTCAAAGAAGTTTCCAGCAGGGAAAAACTTCTCCTGGTTATAAATATTTTTTTTAACTGAAACCAGCGTCATCTCACCTGATTTATACAATGAAAACTCGACATCAGGGAAAAAATCTAACAAAATCCAATTACTGCAATCTTAATATAATCTTAATTACTGTAATCTATTTTATTGCAAAGTCAGATAAATGTACAATGCAATCACCACTTAAATGTAATTTTGTCTGTATCGTGTTAAATCATAGTGAATAGCTTTCCATAATATTCCAGACGTACACAAAATAAATCTGACACATTGCACCAAAATCTGGCTGGTATTTTACATGGAGAAAAGTTGTTTCACCATCACAACATTTCCTGATGCATTTTCTTCCCCTCCCTATAGACAACTCCCCCAAAATTGTTTCAGGAAGAGCCCAACTCCAGCTTTTTCAGCCTTCCTTGGCTTTTCCACTTTCCTGAATTAGAGCCTGTGGTTATTTCAATGTACACTGCTCATGAAGTGGCATTTGGAAGATTCTTTACTTTTTAACTCTAAAATTAAACAGAGAAATAAGAGCTTCCCTGCATGGAATTATGTTTTACTTTTGCACGCAGGGAGCATTCCCTGATATTGTTTTAATTGTACAGAATCCTTTCTTACAGGAGGGATACACAGGAATTGCTTTAACTGCTGTCAGAAGGTTTATTCTTCTAAAATTACATCAAAGCAGAGTTAATAAAGAGTCAAAGCCAAATTTCAGCAGTGGGCAGCCAGTTTTTGTGTCACTTAGTGCTGCAGGAAGCACTGAGAGACAGAAACACCTGGACCAAACCTTTCCAATGGGGAAACATCTCCAGAGGATCACACACAAAAAAAGCCAGACTGGTGATCCAGGAGTCTGCTGGAGAGGATGAGCTGCCTGCCTGATGCCATCGTGCCTTTTTCCAGATGAACTCAGCATTGTGCCCTCTGCAAGGAGCTGTGCACAGGGCACAGGGCTGGGAAGGGATGTCCCAGGCACCCACTCACCTGCCCATGGCCACCTGGTCGTTGGGGTCCAGGGACGCGGTTTTGCGCTCGATCAGCTCTCGCAGGAGCTGCAGGGAAAGACAAAAAGCCCATCTGAAATAAGCACAGTTGGTTTGCAGCCAGCTGCCACGGCTCTAACAGGGACAGGAGTGCAGGGAAAGTCAGCCCCACAGGGCAGGGGAACTGAAACAAGTCCCAGGCAGAAGCTGGGCAGCGATGCTCGCTCGGAGAACAGCACAGCAAAATCCTTTTTACAGCTACAGCAGGAATGCTCAGGCAGCCTTTTCTATTTCTTTCTGTGTCCTGAGGGCTGGGGTTTGTCCTCTTTGCTTCCTGCAGCCAAAGGATGCTGTGAACAGCCTTTTTGGATCCTTGAGTGGTCCTGTGTGTTTATCACCACTCACTGCAAACCCTGCCTGCTGTGCCGTGGGTATTGGCCAAGATATCAACACAAGGAGCAGAAATAAACCCTCCAAAACTGAGGGGAACAAATTGCTTTGTGGACACCTACAATTCAGCAGCGAAGTTACAGCTCAGAAACACCTGAAACAGAACCAGAATCCAGGCAAGTCCAGGCAAGAAAGGATGCAGGATGCTTTTCCTCCACCCTGCACCTTCCTCTCCTTCGAGGCATACACCACATTACCAGAAAAAAAAGTGATTCAAACATAATTAAAAGCCTGCCACTACTTTTTTTTTTTTTTCTTTTTTTTTTTTTTTTACTACTTGCTTATTTTTGGAGATTATTACTGCAGCAATTACATTTAAAAATTCCAGGAGCCAGGCCACTGGTTTATTATCACTAGAAAACAGCAAGCTACTTCTCTGCCCTGTTTATCTGATTGATTCCCAACATCTTTCTGGCACACAATCTATCAGTTTATCTCTGCCACTTCATCACAGTCACTTCTGGCAGCTAAATACAAGATCCAAATCCAGTGTTACACAGACACACGACACAGTAAACCTGTGTAGCACTGCCACTCTGCAAACAGCTGCCCTTAAGGCTAAGCAGAAATGGGATCTTGCTTCCCAGTCAATATTCTGTCAAAAGCAAGGTGGGAGGGAGGCTTGGAGCAGCAGCCACAAGTGGTGCAGAGAGGTGAGAGTGGTTTCCTCCTGCTCCAGCAGGCAGGGGTGTGTGCTGTCTCCTCTGATCTTGTGCCTGGCACGAGGCACAGGGCAGATGTCACACACAGCCACCCTGCGCTCCTGGAACCAGCAGCAGGACATTTCCTGCAGGGCTTGGCTCCTCCTGCTGGCCCAGAAATCCAGACTGCAACACCCAGGAGTGCCCCAGGATCTTACAGCTGTGCCCACACTGCTGAGACAACGAGGGGCAGGGCTGGATGGGATATTGGGCAGGAATTCCCGGCTGGGAGGGTGGGGATGCCCTGGCACAGGGTGCCAGAGCAGCTGTGGCTGCCCCTGGATCCCTGAAGTGCCCAAGGACAGGGCTGGGAGCAGCCTGGGACAGCGGAAGGTGTCCCTGACTGTGATGGGGTGGAACAAGTTGAGCTTTAAGGCTCCTTCCAACCCAAACCATTCCACGATTCCAAGATGTATTTTTGGGGCTGGTTCCTAGCCCTTAGCCAGTTCTGTGGACCTTGGGGCTGACAAGGCCTTGCAGTGCTCCAAATGTTTTTCCAGTGCAGTGTCAGCTGGGGGACTGGGGCACTGCCTGGGAGAGCAGAGCAAGGCAAGGATGAGGGAGAAGTGGGGGAAAAAAAAAAAAAAGCAGGAGCAAGAGGGAAATTAGGAAATGGAAATAAAAGCTGTGAAGCATCTTGTTACATCTAAATAGCAAAAGTCTCCGAGCTGAGGTTATAAATCATGCTAACAATGGTTACTAAAATAAAAGTGGATGTAGCCAGAGGCTACCACTGAAAAAGTCAGCCCAGGCCTGCCTGGCTGCCTTTGGTCTTTAAGGATTTGATTAGTTTTCTGCTTTCTGGTTCAGAGTCTTGCATCCAGCCCGTGCTCCAGAGCCAGCCAGGGCCTGGGATACAGAGTGAATGATAAATTCATTTACTGAATAAAGCAACACTGTTTTCCCAGCACAAGACTTAAACCACTTCCCAAACAGTAATATTTCATTAAGCCTGGCGATTCTGCTTAAAATTTATTAGTCAAAACAGAAAACTCTCATCAGACCCCATATATTCCATTAGGAGTGATATATGGTGTCTCCCAATGCCTAATTATTAACTAGGAAGCGTGAGTAAATCACCATCAGCGTTAAGCCCTGATGTGTGAAGACAGAGTTAGGCAATTCCAGCATCAAAAGGCTTTGATTTGAAACAGATCCTGCTTTGCTTTCCCTCCTTCACCTCTTCCCTTGGCTTGCAGAGCCCCAGCCCGGTGTCCCAGGGCAGCACAGGGCACCAAGGGAGGCACAGCCCATCCCACAGCTCAGCTCCAGGGCTCTGCTGCTGCCCACAGTGGGACAGGACAAAGCACGGGGCAGAGGGCAGCTGTCCCTGCCAGCTGAATGCCCCTTGGCACGGAGTGCTGCTGGCTGCCAGGAGAGCTCCTGCAGAACCCAAAAGCTGTCCTGACACTGTGGATGTTCCCTGTTCAGTCAGAGAGAAAAAGAGAAAGATTTCTGCCAGGATAAATCCGGGGAAAAGTCCTGGAAGAATGTAAACAATCTATTATTTTGTTTATAGATATGTTCTACCACACTGACCTAAGCCCAGTGCACCAATCAAGAGAAATATTTTTACTTTAAGACCAACGGAATGAATGTTCACAATGTTCTCTATAAAAGAGAGAGGTGCTTTTAAATAAAGATAATTTTTACCTGCTAAAGATGGAGTCTCATCATTCCTGTCCCTGCCTCAACAGTGACACTGCCACCAGAACCAAGACCCCTGAAGCACAGAGGGGTTCCCACAGAATTCCCCTCAGGTGCACCCCAAGTCCAGTGGGCACAAGCAGAGGGACAGGAAAATGCCACCAGGGAGTTGTCCCAGGGTAACACAGACTCATTTCTCATTTGAGAGGTCAATTTTCATTTTAGAGGTTAGGTCTCATTTTCATGCACTATCTATCAGTGTTTCTAATCCTACACTCGCTGACCTTTCTGATTTGCAGACCCCTATGAATTTCCAGTTGAGACAAAGAGCTAAGGAGAGCTGAAATCAGCCTCGTGACAAAAGGCTCGCTCTTCTTAGACTTTACAGAGCAAACTAAATTTAAAAAGAAGCACATCTATAGATCCCATGTCAAGCTCCCACTCAGTAGCCATGTAACAACACTTGGATTTCTACCAACACCAGAGAAAATTTAAGTTTGCAGCTCAAATATTATTTTAAATACCCCTTGAAATGCTTTTTAAAAGTTTAATTTTTATATTTAATAAAATGCCAGTGGAAATCACTGGACAGTTTCTTTTTAAAGTCAATTTTATTCAAATTCAGGTTTGTGTAAGATGCACAGATTTGCCTATTTTCGAAGAACCCATTAAGAGAAGCTCCAAATCAAGCTTTAAAATGTGTTATTAACCATCTACCCAGCCATTTGAAAGATACATGCCTGTGATAAGAGTATTGTATTGCCATTAACCTGTGGGATGGTTCGAGACATCTCTTATTCACACAAAACTCTAAATGCATCTAATTAAAGCCACAAGATCAGCTGTCCATATTAATCACTCACCGGTTTAATTAAGGTAAACCAGCTTGTCACAAAGCCAGGCTTCTCTATTCTTCACCATTATTGACTTTTAATAGTTCTCTGGATTGGAAATTCCTTGTTTGGGGCATGACCAAATTCCTGGGAGAGGACACCACACTGTGGGCAGGAAACTGCTGGGGACACGAGGGGAAATCTCCCCATCAGCCAGGTTTTCCAAAGACACACAGGGGGGTTTAAGGACACTGACCTGGGGGTAAATCCCAGCTGGGGGGGGATGAGAACCCTCCTGGAAGGTTTTGGGTGATTCTTGGGTGTTCCCCCAGGACTGGTGGCCGTGGGCTTGTCACAAAATGCCCAAACCAGGGGAGGAGGGAGCAGGAGAGCAGAGGAAAAAAGGGATTATGGATATTCCCAATTCTCCTTAGGCATACCTGCTGCCAGAAGTGATGAACATTTGTTCTGGGAAGAGCTGCTACCAGTGGAACACTTAGCATATGAACACTAACCTAATTCCTGTTGGAAATAAACCAATTTCCACTCTCTCCTTTACCAGAGGAGTATTTCAACCTAACAATAAAATCTCCACTGTAGCATGTCAGAGCAGCAGCTCCCTGGTAGCAGGCTGGAATTTTAAGTTTTAATGCTGCAATATCAGCTGTAATGAATTCTACGTAAATATGACTTCTAAAAATAAAAATCCTTTTTCTTCCCTAAAAACCATGTATGAAGGAGAATTTAAAGGAAAAGGAAACGGGCTCCAGCCTCTCACTGCTGCCAGTAATGAGGAGCCTTCTGAAACACTTTAACTATTCCCACCCAAATAAAAATATTTCACTGCATTACTCAGCTCAGCTTCCCATCACCATCCAATATGGATCATCACAATAAAAATTGTAACTGCTTATAAAACAAGTGAAGAATAGGAGAAAAGGCAAAGTGGGATGAACAGGCAGAAGAGAGTTAAATCCTGAATCATCACAAAATTCCACCAGACCCACCTGCTGAATTCTACTTAATATTAAGACCTGGACAAGAAAATTGTTTTTCCAGAAGAAAAACAGATTAATTAAAGAGCTTTTTATTATAATGTATAATAAAACAGTGTAACTACCTATTCTGTTATCATTAACTTGTGCACATTCATCAAATCTGGTTCATTTTTACTTGCCTAATTTCACAGTGACACATAGAGGAAGCTGCTTTCCAGTGCTGTTCTTTACCTGAATGTTTACCTTTTAAGCAGTAATCAGAATAAATTCACAACTCTAAAATGTTATTTACAGGAGTGCAAATGATCCCCAGGAAAGGCTGGATGTAGATTTAAAGAGGAAGGAAGCGGCAGGTGCTGAAATGCAGGCTGCAATCAGCGTTATGCACGGGGGTCAGAGGTTGTGAGCACCCCCAGCTCGCTGCTGCAGGCTCCTGGAGGAGCAGCTCCCTTCCCAGGTTTTATTTCCGTGCCCACATGCAATCCCACACACACAAAGCTCTGCTCAGCTATGACCCAGGGAAAGCAGAGCCATTCAGGGCCTTGTCAGCTCCATTGTGCTGCGCCCTCCCTGCTCTCAATGCAATGTTCAGCTCCAGCTCAGCGCTCTGACAAATAAAGGAAAGCACTTTATGAATCCAATTTAATTGGGAGGTGACAGAAAACACAGAGCCATTTTCCTCAGCCTCATCCCTGAACTGGCTCCAATCTCTGGCAAACCCCACCGAGCACGGGACACAAACAGGGGCGACTCCACAAACACTGGGAGCTGCACGGATCCCCTCCGCCAGGCAGCACCCTGGGGATGGAGGAGAGGGGAAGGGTGGAAGGAAGGGAGAGGAGGAGGGAGAGGGATCAAAAAAAGCCCAGCAAGAGAGGAAAATGGATGTGCAGCTGCCTGGCTGCTCAGCAGATGTCTGTGTGTGATGTACGAGGCCGGCAGAGGCTGTCGGAGCTGCTGCCAAGGACTGGCGAGTGATTAAAGCCTGCACCAGCCTCAGCTCAGCATTTCCAGGCCGTGGGGTGCCCACAGTGGCACCCATGCCCGGCTGTGCTGCCAGATGTTGTGGCTGGTGCTGCTCCTGCAGCTGGAGCAGCAGGGAAGGCAATCTGCAGCGCTGCCCTCCGGAGGGGCCGCGCCGAGCCCTGTCACCCTGTCACCCATCCTTCACCTCTGCCCGGGCCTCAAACTGCTCCAATTTGCTGCCACTTCCCTCTTGGGAAATGGCCAAGATACAGCTGTGCCTGGCAGACCCATTTGTTTTACTCAGGTGATTCTCTTCCCTCAATGACCTCTATTAGTTTAAGTTTTAATTTAGATTAACCCCAGCACCCCAATTAACCAGTGAGGGGAGAAGCTAAGCTGGGCCTGCTCATATTTCTGAAATCACAATTTAGCACAGTTACAGTTATTAGAGGGAAAGGTGGGGACACTCATCCATTGCTGTTTTCTTTTAAAGAGTTTAACATTTCATGGCCAAGAAACACCTTCTCTGCACACGTCCTTGGGCTGTCAACCTCAGCTGTTTCTCCACTCCATGATTTTGTAACACCAACTTCACTTCTTCTGTGTTCTTAGGGTCCAATTTGCCCCAAAGTTGAGCTTCTGGACCCTAAACTCCACCTCAGCAGTATCCCAACAGATTTATCTTTATTAAGCTTTATCTTCAATCCCTGCTGCCGACAGGCCCTCTCCCATCGCCACTGGAAGCCTGGCACCCTCACATGGCACCAGCTCTCTCCTGTTCCCCTAGCACTTTACTGGCCACTCTAATGACTATTCAGATTGAAAAATCTGTCCTTCCAGTGATATGATATTTGTTTAGTCCTGAAGTTCAGGCTCTGTGTGGATTATCAAAGCAGGCAGAGGTTTCCACACACTGTGAAGGGCTTACCGTGACATATTCCTGAGCATGTGACAATTCCAATTTTCATAAAGCTGGCACTGTCTTCATTAAATGAACTACAAACACGGTGTTTCCCTGCACTCGGTGCAGATTCCTTGCTTCTAAGAATTTTGCAAATAAAAGGAATAACTGGCCTGGATCCAAGCTGGCCCAATTCCAAGAGAAGTGCTGGAGCAGCCCAGGAGCTCTCCCATCCAGCAAGTGAATGAGATGATTTAGGCTGAGACAAGAGCACATTTCAGTGCTCCTGAGGCTCTCTGGCATTGTTTTTCCTAAGGGGGCTCTGTCCACAGAGAACAGAGAGGATTCAGAGCCTTTTTTCCTGTGCTGTTCCCCAGGCAGAGCAACAGGCACAGCTCCTGCAGCCCTGACACGCTCAAGCACCAGCAGCAAGTTCACATCCACAGGGCAACTTCAAACTCACACAGCCCTAGAGCAAAAACTGAGAGCAGAGTGCCCTGAGGGACTTGCAGAGATTTTGGGTGTTAAAACAGGAAACTGAGTTTTACAGGTAAAGAGAAATACGGAGCACAGAACCAAGTGCATTTTCTCTGTAAGTATTAAAACCCAACTGGAGTTGTAATTGCAACACACATTTACCATCCCCTACCTGGTGGTAAAAGTCATCATCATCAAATATCTCCTCATCGATGTCCTTCAGGTGCCTGTTGGAGTCTGAGGGGGGCAGGACTTCCTGCAAGCATCAAGGAAATACTGAGAGCTCATATGTGCACGTTTCTGCCCCTAACTCCAGAGACATCCAGCAGCAGCTTGTAAACACACTTGATGATGTGAAGAAATGGAGAAAAGCTCCCAACATAACCAGCTTTTAAGGACCAGGAATACATTTAAAGGCAAGGCAGAAACGCTGCCAATGCCAAAATAGATTTATGATGCCTTTACTGGGAAATAAATAGGACTGCGAAAAGTCTTTCTGGCTAAATACTACAGATATTTTTTATGTAATGGCAAAAATACATCTTGCAAGTCCAGTAATTCTACCTGATCTCTCAGAATTGAGTATTTATTCATTCTTAAATACTAAATTAATAAAGGGCTTACTACTAACATATTCTGGAGGTTATATGCAGTATGATTTTTAAAGGGACTTTCTGGGTTAAACACTCTAAACTGAAGAGCGAAAACCAAGTTTTGCTGCCACTACCTCAAAAATCAGATTTAGTGAGCAGCACAGGAGGGGCACATCAAGGAAAACCTCGTTTTCCCCTGTCAGGAGCTGGGATAGGAGATAATGCAAACATCACAAAACTTGGGATTTCAGTGTTTTTCCTTAGCCATTACACCGCAGGAATCAAGAATCAGACCCCTCCTCCTACACCCACCTCCCAAACAAGCACAATACCTGCCGAAGGCTGGGCTGAGGGCTCAGCAGAGTTTCCCAGGATGAGTCAGAGAAATAAAACCCCTCCTTACCGAGCTGTCGGGCTGTGGGGCCGGGGCAGGCTGCTGCTCCTGCTTGCCCAGCACGGTGTAGAGCGAGCGGCGGGTCTGGGTGCGCCGCAGCAATCGCTCCCTGTCCAGCAGGACGTGATCGATCTGCGCCAGCACCGAGCGCTCCAAGGCTCCGAAGCCCTGCAGGGCACCAAGCAGTGTCAGATCACACACCCAGCCTCTCCTCAGGCACCACCAGGCCCTCTCTATCTCCCCATGTCACTGCATAAGCAGCTCCAGCAGCAGGAGGGGATCTGCAGCTCGTCGCAGGGATTTCTGCGAGGATTTTTTATTTGTTTCTCCCTCGCTCTCTCTTCCCAACCTGAGGCAAGTTGATGCCTGGCTTAATAAAATGCCTTTGCTGTTCTGGTTCAGATTAACTTCTCCTTGATTAATACCGACTCAGAGATGTGAGGAGACCCCGGATCTCTGGGTGAAATGATTACCCATTGTATTAAAGCCTACACTTCATGGAGGGGGAGAGCCTCAGAGGGCCCTGCTTCTGGGAGGAACCACAAACAGCTCCTGCAGCAGCAGAGTGACATTTTCCCGGAGATTATTTGCTGCTGGAGATTGGCTGTGATGGGATGTCTGGCTGACAGAACTCAGAAACTACCAAGAGATACCTGACACTGTCCCAGGTTGCTCCCAGCTCCGTCCAAGCTGGCCTTGGACACTGCCAGGGATGGGGCAGGCACAGCTGCTCTGGGCACCCTGTGTCAGGGCACTCATAGATAAGAATTTATTCCATCTACCCCACCCAAATTTCCCCTTTTTCAGTATGGACTTGTTCCCAGATCCCTGCTCCATGAGAGCCATGCCAGCACACACAAACCAGGCCTTGCCTTCCCCATCTTGCCAGTTGCCAGCTTGGTCTTGTCGTGCCACTTCTGCAGGGTGCTGTTCCTGTAGGTCCTGAAGTCCTTGTAGCGCTTGGCTATGAACTCAGGGTACTCTTCAAACTTCAGCTTCCGTTTGGGGAGGCTCCTCCTCTTCTCCTGAGCCTTCTCCACTGGCTCCTCATCGCTGCTGCTCAGGATTTCATCCTCACTGGAACAAAAGCACTCAGGATAAACACCCTGTCCCTCCCTAAGGCAAAGTGGCAGTCCTTGCTGGCCCCTCCACGCTGATATTTTTGTTAAAAGCCCCATGATTTAGTCCCTGCTCCATTATCAGAAATATTCCAAACCACACTTCCCAGAAGGAATTCAAGTAACAGAGTGTCTGTCAGCCAGACACAGCAGCAGGATGAGGGTGGTCAGGAAGGCTGGGCATTGTCCTGTTTGCTGGACACCAAAGGGTTCAGGAAGTTCTCATCTCCTTTTGCATTTACCTCTCAGTTTTTGCTTGCTTTCCATCCACCAGATGCCTCGTGCCTGGGTACTGATAAAGCAGCTCGTCCTGAAGCTCCACCAGCACTTTCAGCAAGGCCTCCAGGGTTTTACAACCTGCAGAGCAAGAGACACAAGTGATGACATCTGATCTATGGGGGAAACTTTAAACCATGACCTGGCCGGTTTAATGAGGGGACTCTGATCAGAAAAGCAGAACTGCAGACCCAGGAAGAGAGAAAGGGAAGAAAAGATGGGGTGGAGGGGTGTAAATTGATCAATACACGGTGTGAATGTGATTTTTACTGGCATGAGCAGCTGCACCCCAGGGTGTTCACACACAGATCCTGAAGGGAGATGTGATGCTGTGCAAATGCTTTTGCAGCTGGCAGTTTTCCTGTATCCATGCAGTGCCTGTTCCAGTGGCTGTGGGTTCTCCAAGGACACACAGCTCCAGCTGACTGTGGGACAGGTTAACTGCACACTGCCACAGCATCTGCTCTTCAAAAGCAATTCTTCTGTGGCAACCAACAAGCCTCCCTGCAGAATTCTCAGACAGAAAACAAGTGTCTGCCCAGACCCACACAAACTGTCCCCCTGCACATCCATCACAGGGCCAGCTCTCCCCGGTGAAACACTTGGCACAGCCCCACCCCAAACCCAAACTGACCTTACTCTGGCTGGCAGAGCAGGTTGGTTTGTGTGGAGAGCAGGAGCTAGGACCTTCCCCAGAGCTTCCCCTGGTGCCTCCTCTGCCACGGAGCCAGTGGGGCTGCTCTGTTAACTCCTCAGCCTCCCTTTGTGCATGGCACAAAAAGATCAGGGAGAACTTTCCCCCGCTCCATTTTTTTTTTTTTTCTTTATTTCTGCTCTTCAGTGGGGGACACAGAGATCATGGGTAGAGTGAACAGCAAATCTTCCTCAGGCAGACAGAGGCAGAAATCAGCCCAGACACTCAGAGGTCTCAATCTCCTGTGTGTTCCCACTGTGATATTGCTCAGTTGTCACCACCTTCAGATAAATTATGGCCTGACCTCAGTAGCAGCAGTGTCAAGGAGAAGATGCTTTAAGATTTCTGTTGCAGATCAGCTGTTGGACTCGCCCTCCCTGAGCCCATGGTTCATTATAGATACACTCTGACAACTCCTCTATATAAACCTATTAACGGATTAGGTTTGCTGCACTTGTAAATCAGACGTGTGTGAGCATCAAAACAATTCCACCAGACAAACAGACAAAAGCCCTTAAAAATGCATTTGTTGTAGGTGTCTGCAGCTGAAGCATCACTTGCAGGAGCCAAGTGCCCCCACCCTAGCCTGAGTGCACAGCTTACACCAGAAAAATCCTTCCCACTGCCTGCAACACAGGCAAATGTCCCCAGAGCTTCCCAAACTGTTTATTTTCTCCCTGCCGCCTCTCCTCCAGCAGCAGTGCTAATGCACCCCAGGCAGCTTTGATCCTGGCAATTACAACTGGAGTAGCACTCCAGCCCTTCTGGGGTATAGCAGGGCCGTGGTGAGCAGGCAAGGAAATAAAGACAGGCTCAAGCTGCTCCAGGCTACGAGCTACAGACCCCAGCAGAAGTGGGGATGGGGAGCAATTTTATTTGGAGTGAAGGGGCTGGAGAGGGCAGGGAAGACAATGACCGTGTGGCTAACCGGGTGGGAGGGCTAATTATTCCAGGCAGTGGCTTCATCAGGAGCCTCTTACAGCTGGGTAATTTCCCTGTTCTCAGTTCTCATGCATTTAATGGCATTATTGGATGGCATTCTCACTTCTACCGTTGGCTGCTTAAGTGTGCTGTAAACTCAACTTCAGAAGCCAAGAGTCCCCCTGCTCTGCTCTCCTCCCGCCCAGCCCTGCCCTATCCATCTCACATTTCATTCCAGAAGGGGCTGCTTTCCCCCCAGCCTCCTCCTCACCTCCTCTTCCCTCTGAAGCCCCTTTACACCACCTGCTTTGGGGCAGAGTCTGGCCCCATTTGTGAGTGAAGGCAGCACAAACCCAAACTGCTCCATGGATGCAAACCGGGTCACTTTGAAAGGAGGCTGGACACTGACTGACCCTCCCACCCCCAGCAGGATTTTTGTAATGCTGCTCCTTGTCTGAAACCAGCACACAACAAACCTGGCTGCAGTATAACCTCCAGCTCAGATGGGACTCGGAGTGCCTGAGGTGAGACACTGCCTTGGAAGAGTCACTTTCCAGAGTCCACAGGAGCCCCTGCATTTTGTGTCCAGGAGGGAAAAAGTTGTTCCAGACCCACCCAGGATGCTGGGAGCCAGCACCAGGAAATCAGTGTGCCTCAATACTCCTCTTCTGTCCTGCTTTCATCCAGGCTGGAAGCAGCCCTGGAGTATTTAGCTCCATTCAGGGATAGCACTGCCATGGATCCCAGTGCCAGGAGACCCACCAGAGATGGGTCCTCCTGCTCTCAAACCTCCCAAAAGCAATTCTGTCAGTGCCAGGGGGTGTGGACAGACTGGAGTGGGGTTGTGGCTGCAGGGACTGACCCCAGAGCTGCCCTGGAATCCACACAGTGCCCACGGGGATGGGCTGCCAGGGGGCTGCTGTGCTTATCCACGCTCCAAGGCAGCATTCCCACAGCTTCCCACACAGCTGCTGCACACAGGGCCACTGAATCCATGGGAAAACCCTTCCCAGGATGGACCAGCAGGAACCACCACCTACCCAGCACACAGCTCCACTGCAGAGCCCCTGCCAGCACTGGAAATTGAGGAGTTTTCCCCCCTCAATTCAACCTGGGGCTCTGGCATCACAGGAATACCAGAGGCATGCAGTGCTTTCCATTCTCCCTGCCCCTGCACAGGGGAAGCACTCACACAGGACAGCAGCAGCAATGCTGGGGTGAGGGGATGCAGAGCAAAAGCTGAGCTGGGAGCACTCCCCTGCCCCCATGGACACCCCCAGGGACACCCCCATGTCCCCACCAGGCAAACCACAAGAGGAGAGGAGCCCACCCTCTGCTCTGAAAGGCTGCACACAAGGAGCAGGATCTCCACCCAGTGCACAGGTTTAGCACTGGGATGGAGAGGGGGAATCCTCCCTCCCTTCAAGGGCTGTGGGACAGGAGTTAAACTCCAGGTCAAAATGGCCCTCGACGGGCTGGCCTCGGAACAATGCTCCCCATTCACAGCCAGCAGCCAGCCACTTGCACTCCTCATCCCCAGCAATTAATCCCCCACCAAACACGTTTGATTAAATCTTTTCAAGCAAATCCTTTGCTTTGCTTTTGTTAGTTCACTTCTTGTCAACATCTATTAAAATATGCCTTTAATTCTCCCACAATCTTAAAAAACACCGATTCCACTGTCTTCAACTTTAATCAACTGTATGGCCGGCATTTTTCATTTCATAATAATGTGCTGTTTGGAATTCAAGAGGCAGGCTCAACATCAATCATTCGGCAAGAATTTTTCCACTGCAATAAATATGCAAATGAGGAAAGCCAGTCAGTCGTATTTCAGGCCCGACTTGCTAGTGTTTTAAAAAAGACACAAATTTATTAATTGCCGTTGGCCAGCGGAATCCTATTACTTTGGGCATTGATTACAAAGCTGTGTGAGTGATTATTGTGCAACTCGCAGGCTATCCAGGCATGAGGAAAAATTATTAAAGCAAGGCAGAGATTATCAACTCGGAATAACAATAAGCCTTAACATTTTAGGCCTCTAACTTCTTCAACAAAGAATTACGCCGCAGCTCCAGTGTATCATAATTCTGAAGCCTGTCAGTATTACTTTTGGAGCTTGCTCTCTATTCCCAGCAGCAGGACGACGTTCCCAGCCAGGAAAAGGAGGGGGAATTCCTCCAGGTGTCACATCTCAGACATGGGGCTGTGGACAGGAGCCTGGATGGAATTCCCAGTGTGGAAGGAACCTCAGCAGGAACAGCGTGGGGCAGGCAGGACGCCAGCAGCTCCAGCCTGAGCATCCCGGGGTCCCAAAGCCACATGGCACAGAAATAAAGAAATAATTCTGTTGGATAAGCCTCAGACAGGAGCTCCAAGAGCCAGCCCAGACTCAGTGTTAGGCTAAAGGTGATTTTTCACAGGTGGTGTGGTGACACTCCCATTTCTCACAGACTTCAGCACAAAGCACTGGGAAATCTGTCCAAATTTAGGAAATTATGGGAGCAACACTTCTTTCATGTTTCCCAAAACAAGGAGTTTGGGAAATTTTGCCAAATGATAGGAGGAAAAGGACCAACTTTGCTGCTGGCAGCAAAGGTCTGCTCCACACCCAAGCCCAGTTTGCTGGTTCCACTGGAATGCAAATGATTCAAAAGCCTTTGCAGAGGGGAAAACTGTATTCCCTGGGCACAAGGAGCCAGGGCTGCACCTCCCTTCCACAGCAGTGCTCCAGCTGACTCCCAGAGAGCTCCAGAACAGTCTCAATTTAGCCCTTTCACTCCAATATTACTGCATCTGACAGGGAGGACAACAGGATCAGACACAGATGAGTTTGCTAAAAGTAAAGAAAATAACTGGATTCAACAACAGAATAAAGGCTGGGTATTCCAGGGTTTGTTAGAGGGGACTGGGGGAGGGGGAGAGCTGAGGAGGAGAGAAAGAGAAACACTTCCTTGAAGTTCATGCTCTGCTGATTCACCTCAACCATCATCTTTTGATATCAGCCCAAACCAGGGAGGGGATGGGGCTGGCAAAAACGAGATTTATAAAAACTGATGCTTTCCATTACTGGAAATGCAAAGAAGCTGACAGCACACATTCCTGCCCCTGCCAGCCTGGAGGCCCCAAGTACATGGGCAAGGAGGAGAAAGGAAGAGGAAATGTGAGATTTCATTGTTATATCTGGGTATTAAGGCCAGAAGGGAACATCAGCCCATCCAGACTGACCTCCCCACATAATACCAGGCCATTAATTATATTTATCATGACAAGCCCCAAGTTTCCATCTCAAGGTACCAAATTAATCCGAGTTGGCTGACATTTGCACACACTTGTCTGGACACTTTTAAAGCCTTTGTTTCCCTGCATCTTGTTTGTGCAGTACACAGACTAACATGCACAAATATTTAGCTAAATTCAGTTTAATTAGCTATTAATCTTGAGAAACTCAGGTGTAGGCAAAGCT